TATACAATGACATCCTTGACGTGCAGCCGTGATAATAATAGTATCGCTGAAAGAGGCTCTGCCACTATATGGCGTTTGGTAAGTTCACTTGAATCCAATCAATCCCACAATGAACCTCTTACCTTGTGGCATTTCTCAATAGCATTCCATTGATGGTTGTAAATAACCTTGTATCCATCCGATCCAGTATGTGCTGCTGCTGTTTTATGGTAAGGTTGATTAATTAAGTGGTCCTGCATTGTAGATCCAACACCATGCATACCATTGACCCACCGTACCGAGCTCTTGCTTTGATATCAATGTCTTCTTGTTGCTGCCACTGGTACCATAAACCAACGTGTCCAAGCTACAGTAAATGAAGTGTAAGGTAACAATAGCATTCGCTTTTCATGTTGACATACCCATAGTAACAATAGGTTGCGACCCTCCTTGATGACAACCATGGAAAGCATACACCAGACACACGATGCCCCCTTTGGATCTTGTATAAACGCGAGAACAGCAAACTACACGTGAACTTTAGAACCACAATGTCCAGCTTGAATGATAAAGGAATGGAGCGATGGAACGTACATGTTGTATTGCAATGGAAGCTTGAGTCATGGGCAGATCGCGCGCGTACTTGCTGTTGAATGTCTGCAACTGGAAAGTGTCGCCATTGACCACATGTTCACCCCAATGAACGCTGTACATCGTAAGGAAATGCCAGCAATTAACGCGTTGTAGCTTGTAAATGGAGACAAGCTTAACTTTTTTTGTGAAGTGGAAGTGAAGAAGAGTGGTCTCTTTGCTCCTCCTGTTTGCTCCAATTCGTGCACTCCATGCCACCCCGCTTGCTACAGCTATTACTGTTTATACGTACCCTCAACAATATCCTATGCTCTTAGCTCCATAAGAATGATCACTCCTCAAGACTTCAATTGAGAACAGCCCTCGTAATTAAGCTATTAGGTCTGTGCGCATCACATCGATCGATTAGTTATGCATCTCCACTCCTGGACCTGCTTGTGTAACCTATTGTGTAACCTCCTACCAAATATATGATATCCATTCCCTTCAATGCAGAAATAACCAAGTGATCCACACTTTGCACATCTGAGCTGATAGTACGATCCCCAAAGTATTATATATTGAATCCAATTCCAATTTTCATTCAATAAAAAGTCGAAGAGCACGTACCAGCACACGGTACTGTGGATGTTTATCGAGCAAATATGATAATAAAAGAACAGCATTGAATAAGAAGCGGGTGGATTACATAGAGGGAGCAGGGATAATTGTGCCATTCTATTCTTGATTGCAAAATAGATGCTGTATACTTTGGCTCGAGTATTCCAATATCATCCGTAGCTGTGAAACACCTTCCTTCGTCAAAGGTATAAAGCCCTTTTGTCACTTCTTCCAACCCATCATCATCCTAAGCCGCATGCATATGGTATGATTCATCCTTCCGACAACGCGACAAATAATCCTTGCCTTGATTGAACCCATCCGCCATAACCACTACAAATCCAATGTTGGTAGAAAGAAGCCCCAGAGGTCGCTGCTGATACGTTCCCTTTCCCATCGACCCTTGATCGCTCTCTTCGTGGTTCACTTTCCATCGCAGCTCAATCAGTTGAAGACTGCTTGTATTACGGCGTCGTTGATGGCTGATGGCATGTCATCCAAACTAGACATCGCGTTTAAAATGGGCCAACAAGGGAGTCAATAGATCCATTCCTTCCATCTCATGTACCAAAGTAATACAGCATTCAGATCCATATCCATATCCATAAGAAGTCATATGTATTGAAGCAAGTTGTTACACGTCAATAAAGCTGCTGCTCCTCTATGATGGCTATCTGCTGTTCACGTAAAAAAGCTGTAAGACACGCTTGCAAGTAAAGAACGCTGTTGGGTACGATGGAGTAAAGAGCTTGCTGATAGCAACCGCTGCATTGGGTACTGTTACATTGGATTGTGCCAGGGAAGAGCGCAAGAGTGTGTGTGGTGTCGAGAAACTCGTGTGTTGTAGAAGAGTGACAGGAACGTGTACACGCCATCAACTTGCCTCTCGGTCCAAGACAATCGGATAAAGACGTTCGTAGGATGGACGTGATGGGTTGAAGCAGGACAATCGTTCGCAGGTGGTAGTTGTGCTTGAATGCACCAACAGTGAGAATGGGAGAAAGAGGCAAGAAACAGGGAGTGGAAGACCTTGAAATTAAATAGATTTTTCTGATGCTTGGGTGACGTTTCTTTGTTAAAGTGTTGCACAGTCAACCCCTCTGGGATCAAGAAAGTTGAATGATGGGAGTGTTGGACTGGAGCAGGACAACCATTCACATGCATTGGATTGGGTAAAAAGGGTGATTGGGAAGAATGGAATATCAAGTGGCAGTTTACGAATAACTAATCAACTGATTCTTTTTGAAGTTGGATGATGTTTCTTTGTTTGAGCATTGTTCAGCCAAATCAGCTCGGATCAAGGAAGTTGAAGGATGGGCATGATGGGTTGGAGCATCACAATCGTTCACATGCATTGTTTTGGGCAACAAAGGTGAATGGGAGGAATGGGCGATTAGATGCCAATGATGAGCTGGTCCTGAATGGGTTGGAGGCATCATGCGTCGGCGCAAAAACCGGCTGTGTTACACAAAGAGGTCCATCCGCATCTCCCAGTCTATTGCGGTTGAGACTTGGCAATGAGCGAAGACCACTTGTCATATAGCATCACGCTTACACCATATGCAAAACATAAAGGCACTTGTATCTCTAAACTTTACAATGAAACGTGGGGTTTTGAATAGAGCAATGTGCTCGGCTTGGCCAACAGCACCTTGTGTGAAAGTTTCACGTTCAATGTCGCAACTAGCCCAAAAAATATTTTTTGGTCGTCGTCGTCATTGAAGAGGTCGACCCCCAGATCCAGTTTGGCTGGTAGCGACATTGCGAAATCTGGGAATGGCCACGATGAACTTCATACTTTGACACAAGATCGCTTTGACCCCGCCGAGCAACTTTGTCCTCATAAAGACCCCGCATTTGATTGTAAAGTTTAGAGATACAGGCACCTTTATGTTTTACCTATGCTGCATGCGTGACGCTATATGAAAGACGCTCTTTGTTCATTGTCAATCAGATTGACGCTGATAGAGCCAAAGATGGAGAAGAACTTCTTTGTGTAACACAGTCGATTTGCAGGATTGGAAGGGGCCATGCGTGATACGTTTACGCTTTTCAGTAACAGTTCATATTGCGAGCTAATAGCCACTTGTTTCCAATCAGGACTGTTGCCCAATCCAATGCATGTGAACGATTGTCGTGCTCCAGCCCAGCATGTCCATCCTTCAACTTTCTTGATCCGAGAGGATTTTACTGAAAAACGCTGAAACACAGAAGTATCATCCAAAAGTACAAAGTTCATTTTGGTTAGTTACTTGTAAACTGCCAGCTATCAGCCCATTCCTCTCAATCATCTTTGTTTCCCAATCCAATGCATGTGAGCGATTCTCCTGCTCCAGCCCAGCATGCCCATCCTTCAACTTTCTTGATCCGAGTGGATTTGGTTGAGTTACGCTCAAACACAAAACATCATCCAATATGAGAAAAATCATTTTGCGAAGTTATTTGTAAACTGCCAGCTAGCAGCCCATTCCTCCCAATCACCATTGCTGCCCAATCCAATGCATACGAACGATTCTTCTCCCTAGCCTATCATGTCCATCATTCAACTTTCTTGATCCGAGAGGATTTGATCTATTTAATTTCCCACTTCTTCCACTCCCCCTTCTTTCCTCTTCCTCCCATTCTCAACTGTTTCCCCATTCAATTACAACTAACACCTGCGAACGATTGTCCTGCTTCAACCCATCATGTCAATCCTACAACACTCTCGATCCGATTGTCTTTGACTGAATGGCAAGTCCATGGCGTGTATACAGCCCATTACAACACACGTGTCTCTTGACACTGCACACGCTCTTGCATGCTCCTCTGCCACCATCAAACGTAACAGCGTTTACGATTAGCAAGGACCTTTACTCCATTGCCTCAATCGACGTTCACTACTTGCAGCAACTTGCCTTGCAGCCTTTTTTCACGTGAACAGCAGATAGCCAATGTATAGAAGCAGCTTTATATACGTGTAGCAACTTGTTTCAATACATACGACACTTTATGAGCATATGGATATGGGTTATGGGATGGAAGGAATTGGGTCTTTTGGTTTGGTTGGTTCCCTTGGCTCATTTAGAACGTTGGGTGATACCACATCAGCCATCAGCTACAACGCTGTAAAGAAGTGACCAAGGATGTGATTGATCAAATGTGTGATGGGAAAGGAAGTATGCATCTCAGCAGATCTTATGGCACTTTACTATCAGCTATTCCTTGAGAACAAGTTTTTATTGTATGAGCATGCGTTATGGGTTAAGGAGATGGATCAACAGTAACAGGAAACGAAAGACTTTATTTGGGATCAAGAGAAAATAGTGATATGAGGTCCTAAGCGTTCATGAGCGTATCTAATTGTTTCCTTGGAGATGCCTGTACATTCCGTCACATTGAGCCAAGTGAGTGCTGCTCGTCTTCGATGCATGATCTCAGCCGTACTAGCAACAATCTTATCCGTGAACCGACGAAGCGCATGATCGGTGATAAGGCATGCACGTTCAATATCAAAGACAATGAGATCTTGGGCCATACGATCGGTGATAGCATCAAGGACTTGGTTGGTGATAGCTTGTGAGAGGCCTGGTAAATGGAGTTGCTGCATACAAGAAAAACGGCCATGGCGTGCCCAACGAATAAGGCTATCCGGTGATAACAGCTGACAGTGATTACCTCCTTGCAAGTTGAGTGAGCGTAAATGTACAAGTTGGGCAAGGGTATCAAAGAGGGCATCATTGACAAGGCGGCTGCTTTGCTCGGAGACACAAAAATGGATCGACTCGAGTTGTTGTGCGTTGCTAATCATTCGAACCAAATCCTGATTTCCATCATAGTTGTTATAGGTATCCCACATAAAGTTCACACGCAGATCACGTAGATTGGGATAAGGTGCACTCGCTAAGCATTGCATGATTGACTTTGGTGGTGGTGATGATAATGGTATTGGTGATGATGATGATGATGTAGAAGAATAGGATGATCGGGTATGTAGTGCTTGCAAGGTAGTGTGATGATTGAGGATCAATGGCACAACATGCTTATCATGTAGTCCTTCCGCCGTTTCAATGCTAAGCTCGCATAAGCCCCTTCTCGTGGAACCAGGACGTATCTTTGCAAAGGAGGTAAAGGTGGATCGGCTTCCAGTGCCGCCTAGCTGGATGTTTTTCATTCGGGGACAATAGGAATTCATAACGTCGAGGATCAAACCAACATCATCAAAGACAACACCATCCCCTTCTCGCCGCGTATTGCATATATGTAGACGGATCCTTTCGAGATTGGGCATCAATGTCACTAGGGTAGCTGCATCGGATAAATATATGGTGGCATCCAATACAAATTCAGCAAGATGATGATGCATGATTTGTAATTGTGGCTGGGTGTGTAATGATTGAAGATTGATCGATGACTGAGAATAGCTATTCCTGCTGGTAAACCGATGATGATATCGAAAAGTGTGCAGCTTTGGGCATGTTGCCATGACGGTGGGTATGAGACATTCGTCAATGATGCATCGCATTGTCAGGTCGACGAGCGTGTTTCTCGAGAGATTGATAAGAGCTTTCACATCAGGTACCATCATGTTGTCATGACATGGGATATCCACTGTCCAAAGAGATCATCATCAGCATCCAATCTGTATGCGTGGATGGGAAGACGATAAGCATGAATAGGATTACGTACATGTCTTGATGCTTGAACAGCCACTCTTGGCAAAAAAGGAAGCAGCAGCCATTTGTCGCTCGATGTTACTGTACTCGGTCAAGTGTACACGCTTTACATGCTGTGCTTTGAAGAACGTTGAATAGGGTGCCAAGTTCAAGACAAGGTCGCAATGCATGTCGGAAATGTCTTGCCATAAGAGATGCGGACTCGATTGTAGCCAAGCACGCCAATGCTGTGATAAGCTCATGCACCGAATGCGTTCACGGAATGTCAACCTCTCGAAGATAGCACCGAGGATCTCTTGTGGAAGACAATAAAGAATATCACAAGTCATGCAGGTATGTGAAAAAGAGTGAAAGTAAAAAAGGGGCGAGCTGAACCCATTGTGTGCCAGGGTGCATTTCTCTAGGCACGCACACGCACGTTGGTGTTACACAAACAATGCAAACAAGAGAACGATTGGTGTTCTTCTTCCCTTTGGTCACATGCAGCTATCTCCAACTATAGATATTCCATCGTGAGAACACATGAAACAAAAAGGACATTCCTTTTATCCAATAAAGCAGGAATTATTCGTATGTTTAATTAAGTACTTGTACTTTTCACAGGTCTTCTTCTATGTATGATGGTATACAAAAGATGCAATAAAGTGATGGGAGATCTTGTATCACTTGATAGATAATAGGGATGCGTGTCTATTTTATAATTCGGATGGCTGCATCAAGCCATAATGACGTCTGATACGTGGACCATAAAACTTGACAATGGCCAGCAATGCCATGGATGCAAATGTCAAAACTGCCAAAATGACCATGGTGTAACCAGGACCGATGGCACTGACGAGAGGATTGACAACGAGGGTAAGTACACATGCAACGACCATACGTACAAGGTTGGCAGCTGCTGTGATGGATGCACCTTCACCTGGAACAGCATCAACGAGATAAGCGCTTGTAGCTGTCATGACTTGATTCATGCCGAAATTGTGTACGCCAAAACCAACAATGCCTGTCCAATAGCTGAGACGTCGTTCAATGCCCCATCCAAAGAGAAGCAATCCAAATGGCATGAACACAAATCCACACGACCAAAGGTTTACTGTCAACCTGTCTTCGGCAAGAGGTTTGCCACCACGTTTGGCTCGTGCACGCATCAATAATCGATCAGATAAAAAGCCATTGATGATGGCGCCACATGTATTACCAACACCGGCACCAAGGAAACTCAAACCTAAAAAAGGTGGTAGATTCATGTTAATAGCCTGTTGTCATGGATACGCAAATAAATGTTACCTGTTTGCCATGCGTTAAAGTTGTAGGTGGATTCGAACAAATCGGGCAACACCGTTTCAACAGCAAACATGCTACCGAAAGCAACGCTGGCAACGAGCGAAGTAAGCATGACGTGCGGATGACGAAGCATAAGAAAGGGTCGAATAGGATTGATGCGTTTCTTTTTGACAGGTGTCACTTGTTTGTCCACTGGATCTTGCTGTTTTTCGACATCTTTCTTTTCATTTTGCTGATACGAGTTGGTTGTTTCATCACTGGTACCTGCTGGGATGGCGATGGAAACGGTTGTTGATTCTGAGCTGGCATCATCATTATCAGTACCACGTGCTGCTGCTTCTTCTTGCTGTTCTGGTGGATCAAACTTTGCATTGATACGATAAGTTTCAGGATACACGGCAAGGATCACAATGGCCACAAGCATTCCAAAGGCGAAACAAAACCAAAACGTGGCTCGCCATGTTTGATCGCTCATGATCAAGAAACCACCTACATTGGATCATCATCATCATCATGAGTTTATGCGCTACATACTATGCGCGTGTAGGGCATATGCTTACCAAGGATCGGTCCTATGAGGGGTCCAATAAAGTATCCAAGAAAGAACTTTCCAAAGGCAGCACCCCGTTTTTCAATTGGATAACAGTCGCTTATAACACCAGCTCCAACGGATTGGCCGCAGCTTGCGCCCACACTTTGTACGCAACGTAAGACAACCATACCCCAAATGTTTGTCATTAATGCATTGCCAAGTGATGCAACGGCAAAAATGATCATGGATACAAAGAGCAAAAAGCGTCGAATTTGGTAGTAATCAGAAAGGGCAGCCCTGGTAACGCTTTGATTAGTATACACAGTAAGAGGTGATGATGATGATGTTGGACCTACCAGATTACTGGTGATATTCCCATAAATAGAATAAAAAGAGCTGCGGTCAGCGTGGTGGCCATCGGAGGTGCATGAAAATCTTCAGTAATCATGGGCATGCCTAAGGATGATGATAGTGCATGTTTAGTCTTTGGGCCTTTTCATCTCGAAAGTTCTATAGAGCAATGTGTACCTGGAAAGTAGATTGTACTAGAAAAACCCGCTGTGGTAGCTGCAAGAGCAATGATAACAAGAATAAGGGCTTTGGAGCCTCTACTTAAAAGTCGAGGATCGCTATCAACGGGGGGTTGTATCAGTAGCCGTGATTTAAGGAATCGTTTCGTCTTGGATTCTTCATCATTTGAGGAAGCCATGATGATGATGATGATGCAGTTGCGTGTGGTATAGAACAAGAAAAGAAAAGAATCCGACAGCAAAAAAAGCTATCGTTTCGCTGTTTATATAAATTGTCTGACAACAAGAGCGGATCAGAGATCGCCGGGATTTCCCCGCTCTCCCCGCCCATACCACATCAGCCCAACTTTAAAGCAACAACGGTACACAAATCATGTTCATGATCACAACTTTATCACGTATGTACAATGGGTGTTGATTAGCCATAATGTATCCATGAGAGGGTCTTTTTGACAAGCATGTGGAATGATGCATCTTGTTTACAAGGGTATGTAATTTGTAAGAGGGCGGTCATTCGGTGATGAGTGGTAGACGATATCCATGTCGCAGATTACTCTGTACCAGCAATGTATCATCTCCTTCATCCCCGCGACATTTTGCCGTTCATCCTCCCTTTTAAATGATCCCGTGCGCGCATTTGTGTTATCAGATTCATGATCTCTCTTATCAGCCACACTAACTTGAGACATCACAGGTTCATCTCAGCATGATACATAGCATGTTCTTTAGCATACAAATAAAGTGCTGCATACATTGTGGATCGTATATGCATGTGGGCATACCTGAATCATTGATTTGAACCTATCAAAGAAGCTCGTTGGTCTTAATAATATCATCATGGCTGCTCACCCTAAATGGGACATTGTTCGGAGCCATCTTGAGTCCCGGTAAATGTTCCAGTGTCCCATTTCGTATATACGTTCATGCATTATTCAAATAACCCTGGATGCATGATATGCCAGTGATACCTTGTGCTCCTTTCAACATGACGTTTTGCTTTACTAATACCGAGAATCATTGATTACCACTGCTGCTGTTGCTGTGTCGTCATGCTGCCATAGAATGATCACCAATGCTTGCATTTTTCGATCCACACATTATCCAATCATGAGTGAGATCGATGCTACTACATTGTTGTGGTCGCAAGAAGGTAATAGTAGTATTAGTCATCCATCACGCATGCCCTCTTTCTACTTTGATGGCTAACATAAATGAAACATCATTTGTGGTGTATGACACAAGGTTCCATCATTGTTGCACTCCCCACACCATATTCATTGTATTCTCCAATTGGAAGTTTTTCACAAAGGCCCATCCTCCCTTACTCTGTATACTCATTATTATTATCTTGATTTCATTCTTTGATGGAGTCTTTGTTTTATTCATCCCAAAATGTATTCAATGATAACGAAAACAATGACAACGCCACTGTGAGGGGAACAATGAAATTTGCCATGGCAACCAGCCATTTACAGCAATGCAAGGGGAATTAATTTCGCGGGTTTCTTAGTCATCCAAAGAATCCTATCACGGGAGCAATCCGAAAATGAGAGTCCGTGGTAATGCAGAAAAGTTAGAGTGATATTGCTGCTGAGTGATGAAATAGTGTGGGAGAGAGAGCGAGAGAGAGCGAGAGAGAGAGAAAAAACCTCCACCATTGTTCTTTTCCTTCTTACCATTTTCTTTTTATGAAAGGCATTAGAACCATGGCAACTAGAGTACTCGATGCATTACCCTTACGACCCAGCGTGTTTACGCAGAATCTTCCAGCTGATGCTTACACTGAATCGTTGACCGATCTACAAGCGTCAGAGCGGCTATTGAGAGTATCACGACCTGTTTACAACGCTGCCTACTCGTACGTCTTGCCAGAAAAGAGCCCAGAGCCACGAGTCCTTGCCGTATCCAGTGAAGCAGCCGAAGCGATCGAGTTGGATATTCAACAACAAGACGACGGCGAGTTTGTGCAAGTGTTCTCGGGCAACAAAGTATTGCGTGATACGCGACCATGGGCCCAATGTTATGGTGGACATCAATTTGGCTTTTTTGCAGGACAATTGGGTGATGGTCGAGCTATTTCATTGTTTGAGACTGAAACATCCAAAGGGGATCGTTGGGAACTTCAACTCAAGGGCGCGGGTCGTACACCTTATGCTCGTAATGGTGATGGTTATGCTGTGCTCCGTTCAAGTGTACGGGAGTTTCTCATGTCCGAACACATGCACGCACTCGGTGTGCCTACAACAAGAGCTCTTGCCCTCGTGTTAACATCCCGAGATGTGTTTAGAGATGATGCTTTACCCAGTAAGTGATATACATGGGCCATCATTCTTTTTGTTTATTGACATTCAAAATTAGATGAACCACAGCCTGAAAAAGGCGCCGTGGTGACACGCATGGCTCCATCTTGGGTTCGCTTTGGCTCCTTTGAGATCTTCTATTCACGCGGTGATATGGACATGGTGAAGAAGTTGGCTGATTATGTCATTGACAATGTCTATACCCTTGATACCAACCATGGCGGTGATGAGAACAAGTATGCTCGTCTCGTGAGAGCTGTGGCACAACGTACAGCCAAAATGGTCGCAGAATGGCAAGCGATTGGTATGGTTCTTTTTTTACTTTTGTGCATGGCAACGGTGGTACTAACATTGTTTACATGATAGGTTTCAATCACGGTGTGATGAACACTGACAACATGTCGATCTTGGGCCTTACCCTGGATTATGGACCCTACGAGATGATGGACTTTTATACTCCTTCCAATATTTGCAATCACTCGGATGAGACAGGACGTAAGTAGTTATCGAGTATACGTATACCCTCTTCGATATTGACCTGATGGATGTAGAATATGCCTTTAAACGTCAACCTACGGTGGCCATTTTTAACTTATTCAAGTTTGCCGTGACCTTGTTTGAGTTGATTGGTGCCAAGGACAAGGTGGATACGCTTGTTTTCCCACCTAGCAAGAACACGGAAGGAGAAGAGGAGCGATCCAATGTTACGGATGATGAGACACGCCAAGTGTATCGAGAAGCAGGCAAATCATGGGCCGCTCAATTACTCCAAAACGAATTTTCAGATTGGTTTATGCAAGATTTACTTTCCAAGATGCGTCAAAAGCTGGGTTTCAAAGCGGATGCTGCCAATGCTGCTAGTGATATGAATGATGTGATTATCCCATTGCTCGATTGGTTGACCGAGTTTGATGTTGATTATCATCGCTTTTATCGATCCTTATCCAATTACTATGTCACGGGCGATGGCGAGGAACATGATGCAGAAACGGCTGCTTTGGATGTGATACCTAGGGATGGTGCACGTACGGATGAATGCAAAAAGAGTCTCAAGCCTTGGCTTGCCATCTACCGCCATCGTTTACTTGCTCAAGGCACCAAGGATACGGCTGCTGATAACGAGGCACGTCAACGTCAAATGGATGCTGTGAATCCTCGGTTTGTCTTGCGCAATTGGATCGCTCAACAAGTTGTGGAAAACTTTGAAAAGATGGATGAAGACGAGGCGAAATCGGTGCTTCAAGCGTGTCTTTATGCATGTACCCATCCCTTTGAAAGCCACTATGAAGATCAACGTATTGAAGATTGGGCTAATCAACCCGTGCCTGAGGTAAGTTGCCCATCTTGCTATTTATATATAAGACAACTAACATCCTCTCTCTTTACTAGTGGGGCCGTGATCTCAAATGTTCATGCAGCTCGTAATTACGTACCCTCTCCTCCATGCCAATAACAATAAAATTGATATACATAGCGTTTTATAAGTATGTACGATGGAGGAGATAATTAAATTATTGGGGTGGTGGGAAACAAAGGTTGGGTATACTATATCCATGCTTGACGATCAATGATCCAATTGTCATTGCCTTGTTCATCAGCCTGTTGTTGTTGTTGTTGCTGTTGTTGCTGCTTGTTAGCATTCTTGACCCGATTAGCGACATCATTAAACACGCTCTTGCCCAGTGTGAACATTTTGTTGAAATCAAACAATTCTTCTTCATCATCTTGACCTTCCTCATCTTCTTCTTGTAGAGGTAAAATGGATGGCGAAGCAACTCGTGGAGGCCGTTGTCTTGCTAGCAATGGATCATGGCGTTTGGCTTCGGTATTATTATCTGATGATTCATGGCTCTCGGGTGCAGCGAGGGATGCGAAAAAGGAAGAAGGTGAAAAGGATCCACCACGGTCTTCACCATTGCCTTCACCACTCATTTGATTAAGAAAACGGGCAATAGCAGGAGAGGCAACATCCATCAAGGAACTACTACGTTTATGCTGTCGCTGTTGTTGTTGTTGCTGCATGACCGGTGGTGTACTTCGTTCTCGTGTTGGTTTTACCAATGGATCAAATGATGTTCTATATAGAATACACACGTTAAATAAACGTCATTATATTGTATATAGATGTATACCACCTACCTTCGTCGATTCGTTTCTGAAAAGGATGGTTTGAGTACACGATCCTCTTCATCCATGTTCTCCTCATCCTCAAGGCTCATGATAATATTCTTTTTAATGAAGGCCAGCTTCTCTGTAAAATCTTCCAATCGATCACCAAGAATGGATTGAGCCATGGTGGCAGCCACTGATGTCCTCTTGTTATTGTTGCTGTTACCATCATCCACTTGAGAATACGTAGCATCTGCTGGTAGTACAACAGGTGACTTTTGAGCTGTCGATTCAGTCAATGGAATAACTGGTTGTTGTTGTTGTTGCGTATCCAAGGGATGTTGTTGTTGCTCTGTTTCCAAGGGAAGCAAATCGTCGGTTGTAACGGTAGTCTCGGGAACGGGAGTGGGAGGTGATGGTGGCGGTAGTAATAATGCTTCATCCTCCGCTGTTGTTGTTGTTGCAGGTTTGTTTAGTGCTGTTGCTGCTGGGATAGGTGTTGGAGCAACCACTTGCGTACGTGGTAGGCCAAGAATAGGAAAGTCGTTATTGCTGATGGGAGTAGTAGTTGTAGTAGATTCTTCCTTGGCAGTAAGAGATGTCGTACGAGTCGTTGGTTGGATACTGGTCGCCACAAATGTCGATGTTGTTGTATTTTGAAGACTGGATTCTGCTGCATGTGTGGTGGTGTTGGTAGTATCAGCCATCTCTTTATCCTCTTTTTGATCCATTTGTGTCCAATCGTCAAGTTCTTTGGTACTTTGAGGAGGACGCACCACATCCACTAGTTCCTGCCCAAATTCCTCATCCTTATCCATGCCGTTATCCTCTTTTTCCTCCTTGCCATCATCCTGCTACATATAAACGATCATCATGAGTTTCATATGCATTCTAATGCAACAAGATCCATGTTTACCTCTTGGTTTTGCTCCAGCACATCCGATATCCGACGATCCGAAAGAAATTGCGCATCCTCATCATAAAAGTCGGTAGATCCCAGTATACCCGAGGAAGATGAAGTTGTAGCAAAAGGATTTCGAGATAAGAAGCGATGTGGCTCATTAAACATGTCATGTTTCATGAATGGCTTATTGTTGTTGTCGTCGTCTTCATCATCATCATCATCGTCTTCACCTTGGTTGTCGGGGATGGCATGTTGTGCAAGTAGTGGTTCAATACCAACGGTCGTATTTGGATCCAAATAATCATCCAGGAGATCGTCTGCTGCTGCATCATCAGGCAATCGGATGCGTCCTGTTGTTCCAAGAAGACATGTCGTGAATGGCCAACCCAGCCCACAATTCCGATGGCGTGTTGAGTGGTGGTGATGGTGATGGTCGTCGTGTTCCTCCCCTTCGTCTTCAGCTGATAAACGAATCGGTTGTTGTTTAATACAAGCACTGAACGGGTTCATGAGTGGGGTATACAAAAGAGCAAAGGACAACTGTGTGGAGAAGAGCGTTGTGGATATTCAAAAGGGCATCGTTCCATTTAGCATCGAGTCCGCCTGTGTAACAGTACACACACACATAGATACAACAACCGCTGTTAAACTCAAAATGAAAAAGGACATGACGATCACTGTTATGATCACTCGTCCCCAATATTGTTTTGCATACATTGTGCTTTGTCTTGATGATGGGATTGTTTACCATGCATTGTAGAATTTTTTATATAAGGAAAGGGATTAAAAGGGACCGCAAATGACATTTCATTGTGCAACTTGGATGTCTTACGTCAAAAAAATGATTATGATCATCACCCTTGGGTGCAAGGCTAGACACATTCAATTGTAGGCTGAGCAAGGTGGTACTTGGTTCATTAGCTTGGTCCATTTACTAGTAATCCTATTACACTTCACGCTTGTTCCTACATTCTATATACACAAAGAACCCATAATTATCCTTTGTAGATTGTATATAGTTCACTTCTTTGTTCAACCGTGAAATTGGGTCATGTGATTTGCATACGTACAATCCAGGAAGAATAAAAGAGCTGGTATGCCATGTTCTTTGTTGGCTTAACCATGACCAGTCTTGCAACTTTTTCGTGATCAAGCTTATTATTGGCACAAGAGTGCCATAAAAGAATGCTCCCTACCACTTGTACACACACACACGCACACACACACACACACACACACACACGAATTGTATCCCTTTGTATATCAAGATAGCTCTATGTCCTTATGTACATGAATAATTTCCCATCTCACATATTCATAGCCCATATAAAGTTGCATACGTAATTGTTGCTTCACATTTACAAAACAACCCACATGCTTATTCCCTTTGAAATTGGAGGGAAGGGGTGTCAATACTAGTATTGTATCCAGGTAATGCGTCCTAGCTACTACAAATACCAAGCAGCTGTTGTTGTGGTGGTGATCAAGAACAAGAGATGGATGAGTAGTGGTAGGTAGTGTCGTATGTAGCTCCGGCTAACCGCTTTATTGGATTACAACAACATGTATCTGCGTAAGCGTTATTCTCTATATAACATTATCCCCACTCTCTCTTTTACTGCAACTTGTTCCTTGTCTCCGATCAGCTTACAACCACCCTCTTTTATTTCTTCCATGGCAAGCACAATCCACCATTCCACCAACGACGACGCGCATGACGACCCGGTAGTGGATTGGCCTCTTGGATCGCAACGGATCCAGATATCACTTGTGGTGTTGCGGCTGTGCACGTATATCCTTGACGAGTTGTTGGGTTGCTACTCTGTATTCCCCTTTGTTTCGCCAGTGCCTGCAGCTGCCGTGCTATATCATGCCAAGATACAGCATCCTATGGACTTTTCAACCCTCGAATACAACCTCTACAACAACAAGTACAAGACCTTGGAAGATTTCGAGCAGGATCTGTCACTCATTTGGCGCAATGCCAAAGCATTCCATGAACCCGTGGCTTTCATTTACAAACTTGCTGTACACCTCGAGGAACGCTTTGCAGCCATTCTTGCAAGTATCAAAGGTCAAGAAGGGTAAGTTTGAAACAATGTGCATGTGTGTATTGATCCTATATTGATAATGATGATGATGTTCTTTTTAGAGCGTCGATGCCATCACCCGATCCCACTGTAGTATCCATACCCGAAGAAACCGACTTTTCCACACCATTATTCAATGAGGTACAATATTCAACAGAAAGGTACAATTTGTTGTCAGTATTCGAGGGCTTTATTTGCTTATACATTTGTCTGCTCTAGTGTGCTTTATTTCTTGCAATTGGTGCTGCCTGGTGAAAAGGGGTCCAAAGCGATTCGTGGATTTTCCAAAGTACGAGCGCTGTATGATGAATTGAATGCACCCTTTATTCGTGTGGTGGAAGGTCTCAAGGCTGCTGGTGGAGGCGATGGTACTACGATGGGACGCCCTTTACCACGTTTATACATTGGCAAGAATCGTACGCTTTTGACAGAAGCACGGCGTACCCCTCATGCGACCGTAGCCGTATTGATGAATGTACGAGTGACACCTTATCGACATAGCAAACGGAGCGATTTATTCCATATGACAGCCGATGTTGCCATTGTACGTCCTTTGGGCGAGTGTCGTGAATTTGATGCTGCTGGTGTGGATCCATCTCTTACAGCTGATTATCTTCCCAAAGCATGTATCAAGGTTTGCGTCGTCAAGGTGGTTTCTGGTATCCAAGCTGTCATTACGGATGCTATGGAGAAGCTCTTTTTCCGCCGTGCCTACACAACACATCGATTATCACGCTATCATTTGCCAGACTTGAAAAAAGTGCGTGATACTGAAATAGCAAAGATGTTCACCCAAGCGATTATTGATGGACACACTTCGCTTTTGCCTGAAGACGCCTACTATACATCCTCAGCCGCTGGAGTCTCATTAGCCAATTCCAATGCTAGCAGTCCAAGTGCCAAACGACCCACATCTCCCGCCAATAGCAGTTCACCTGGAAGCATTCACACACCTAGCAGCAGCAACAAACCCAGCAAAGAGACCCATTCACCAAGTCCAGACACTGAACAACTTGTACCATCTTCCTCCTCCACTATCCACGCTACTACTGCCATCGACCAGATACCCGATAAACAAAAAGATGGCATCGCATACACAAAGTATCTGGCACCTGATGATGAGGCTACCAACCAATCTCAAGTGGGCAGTGACGCTCGACGACATTATTATTTGGAACAAGCAAAGAAGCTTTGGTCAAAGGTGTTTGAATGTAAGTGCTCTATATACCAACATGGATAAAAGTCATCTCATGCCAATACATATATGTACCTAGTTTGCAGCCAAAAGAACGTCCCCGTAGTCCATGTGAACAAGTACTTGAGCAACACATCGACGTTTCCCAATGCCGAAGGATTCTTCAAGCATGTATATCACGTGCACAACGACAGCAATGTGGTGGTGCAAACATTTCGACGCATGACCATTACACAACGTGCAACAGAATTGGTGAGCTTGTTGATGGTGCATGGCCATGACAATATGGGGCAGATCGTGGAAGTGCTTCAAGAGGATGGCGGTGAGATTATTGGATTGGCGATGCGACGCTATCAAAAGACACTCAAGCAATACGCCCACAAGCATTCGCATCATCGCTTAACAGCACACCAAAAGATGGATGTGATCCGCCAAATGTTGAGATGCATTGCTACCATTCACAGCCTTGGGATTGCTCACCGTGATTTGGCCGAGGTTAACTTTATGGTGGATGAGACAGCTGAGAAGCTTCCAGATGATAGCCCACGTTCGCATGTGTACCTGATTGATTTCGGCAAGGCTATCTTTGTACGACCTGAAGATTTGTCAAGGTGGTGGGTGGATCGACCTCGGGTGCAAGGAGAGTATGAAGGGGAAGTGTTACCTGAAAGCCGTCAAGAGCTGGAGGAATGGTGCAAGGAGTTGCCATGGGTACGATCCAAGCCTGATCATGGATATCGCCATTATCGCTCTATTCAAACTTTACCACGTGCGCGTACGGACAATGATACCTTGCCTTACTTGGTGAATCCATTGGCAGAAGATGTCTATTCACTGGGGACGCTTGTATGGAAGACATTGGGTGATACGGAACCTTGGTGCGGTATCCTGGATACGGATCTACGTGGATTGCGTGAAGCTGTCATGACCGATCATGCCATTGACAACATTCTTGCTCGTGAAGTGCCTGGTCCTTTGAGTCGACAATTGCTACGCTTCTTTTTGAGGACACAGCCTCAAGAGCGGAAATCGGCAGCAGCCATTCTGGAATGGCTTGAACAACCTGGTATCCAAGAACGTCTCATTTCTGAATGGACCGAGTTTGCATCCCTCTCACGTACAAAGCGACACAGACCTAAATTACTAGAAGACGTTGACTCGACCTCACAACAACATCGTCCTAATCGCAAAAAGCAACGCACCACCACCACCACGTCTCCATCCAAAACAACACCCGATAGCAGCAGCAGTGCCAACAACACCAACCATGTCGAGACAACAACAACAACAACAACGCCCACCGCTGATGGTAGTAGTAGTACCAATAGTAGCAGTGCTGCTAATACCTTTATATTTCCTGGAAACTTGGTATTCCCTAGCGAATAATTCATCATTGCATCTTTACACATTTCCCCCACCTCATTGCACATTCCACCATTTTTGTTGTTATAAAAAGCATACCATCCTCCACCTTGTTTTATTCTATAAGCTACATGTTTGGTGTGTGATTTGAATGGTGTTATGTCAAGAGCTATATGAGAAGGTCTCCATAACGTTAGCTCCACTGATTCGCTGCAAAGGAATAATGCATTAATGATAGCCCACACGACCTTTATTCGAATTGAACGCTCCACAGGCTAAAATGACCCGCATTGATTGATCAGACACATCCACCTAGGAATAATGACCCGTTGTACCAGGAGACCGCATGTCAAACATTACCATCTCATCATCCACAAGAATATCCTCCCCATATCATCCCATCAATGCCGGATATTTCGTGATCATGTCGTTTCCTCCATCATCCATATCACATCACGTCACGTAAGGTTGGCTTTGGTCTAACAAGGTGTGTTGTTTATTGTAGCGCGTAACCGAGGATAATTGTTGTATCTCGTTTTGTCTCGTGCAATATCGTCGTATTCTTTTTTTAATGCTCCTCGTCGTGATGGTCGCCGTGGTGGTCCCAGGGGTGTTGCAAGCCCTATGATAAAAGTGAGTATGGCAATTGTTGACAATGTAGAGGGAGAATCAAGGCATTACCAACAAGACGGGGCCATCTTGCTTAGCACGGTACATCATCCAGAACCACATGGTAGCACCAAGAGTCTTGCCAGCGAATCGGTGCCAGAAACCGGCAAAGTGAGGGTGGAATCCAAGACCTGCAGCGCCTGCCATTTCAGTTGTTTGCAAAGAGAGTGGGGTGTTTAAAAAGAACAAGGACGTTTATGTAAGTGTATGTGTGTATATGTTTATCGAGCGAGCCCAGCAACAGCGCTTGTGACGTTGAGCCGAATTTCCCTCCTCCACCTCCTCTAACTAGACTAGAGCTTGTAGCGGGGATGGTAATCCTCTTCTCCACCCACTTTCCATCATGCATAAGGTAGTTCTATAGCAAACCTCAATAAAGAGATTATTGACACATGATCCATGCGTTCAATCATGATGACAACGTGTATTCACCTGGAAATGAAAAATCACCATTTTATGCCGAGACCCCTGCTCTGTATCCATAAAACTACATCTTTCTCTTGTAATGGATAAAACAAGCTTGAGTGGTTTGGATAATTTTTATCTACAAGTTGAAAAAGCATGGAAGCTAAAGACGCTTTCGAGTGTGTGGATCTTTGATGAACGGCTCGATTCTGGATTGGTGCACCAAACACTCGACTGGCTTTGCGATACATACCCACAATATGCTTCTGTACCAGCACATGGTTCCATGTTCCATACAGCTTCATGGACACGGCCTATCGGATGGCAACCCAAGATGAATGTTGAGCATTATCGTCTAAAGACACCTACGCGTGAAGCACTTGAGGAATACATTGCCGACAAGGTAATCTTTCATTTCTCTGATACGTACAGCAACAACAACAACAGTGCTGAAACGAATGATAGATTGCACGCCCTTTTATCTATTCAAAGCCATTATGGGAACTACACGCCATTTCAGGATTGGAAGACGAACGTATCGCATTCTTGTGGAAAGCGCATTGTTGTCTTGGTGATGTACAACATGTGCTTGACCAACTTCTTCAAAATAACAGCAGCAGCAAACAACAACGACAAAGCAACAACAGCACCCTGCCATTTTCAGGATCATCATCTTCTTCTCCCTTGATATCCCTACCGATCCCAAATCATTTATGGGCATTGTTTCCTTTCTGGTTACAAGGTGTCACCATGAACATTTGGCATGTTTTGTGCTGGGTGTACCGCTTATGGATCACCGCGGTGCATGACATGTGGATCCTTTTATATTGTTTGTTTACGCCGCGGTCCATACATCGTGATTTCTATTACAAGGGACAACAAACGGCAAGTAAACAAGTGGCATGGTCAAGCAGCATACGTTACAAGGATATAAGAACGGTCAATTATTTCCTGAGTGGAGAAAGGACATCCTCATCCGCCATGGACATCATCATCATGGTGATTTCACGATGCATCAAAGGGTATCTGGATGATTTGAATATTCGACACGATGATTATCTTCGATTGTTTGTTCCTATGGATGTAACAACATCGCATCATAAAAGGTATACATGAATGTGGTGTGATCTGATTATTATGCTTACATACATGCATCTATAGCAAATCACGCGTATCGGGCACCAGTGGATCATGGGGTTGGTTTTCTATCAAGGATGACCTATCAACCCATCAGCAACTACAACAAATCCGATCTCAAATGGAAGCCTTGCAGTCTTCGCCATTATCGTTTCAAAATGTCCTTGTGCATCTTTTAAAGTACCTCCCCGGTTTCTTATTGCCTTTTCAATCAACCCTTGAGCGTATGTCTGATATTCCTCATGGTATCATTGTGGATTATGTGGATACAACAGCGGTGGATGCAAGTAAGTTATAGGGGGAGTATATGGTGTCTTTGATTGTAACTAACAATACGTATGTACACAAGAAGGTAAACCTTCAAGTCCACTCGAGTTTGGCGGCAATGTTATCAGTGAGCTGCGTATGATTCCTCCACAATTAGGCAAAGGCAGTCTAGCGATTGGCCTAAGTTGTTTCCAAGGCAATGTCAGCATTGCTGTACTCGCTGATAATAATCCACGTTACCCACGACTCTCCCACAGCATCTGTGAACGCTTTCCACATGAATTCCAACAACTTATGCGTCAAGTTAGCATGACAGCAAGTAGACCCACATCCTCGTTTGGATCTCACGAAGAGTAAAAAAGAAAGATATAAAGCAGCATGGAAGATTGTATTATTAGTAGAAAAGAATTTAAAGCGTATACGTGCGTGCGTGAAAATAAAGAATGAAGAGGATATGCGTGTGTGCGTGTGGCTATTATAATTACAATGAGCGAAATAAAGAAAAAGAAGGATCATGACGAATGCGCGTGTGTGTTGTGAGTGTAGAAAAAAAAGGGGGGATCCAGGACGTTTACCAGGTGGTCATTGGTACAATCTTGCATTGACTTGAAGCATCTTCTTGAGTGGCTGTGGATGGATCAGGGTGGTAATACAAGTCCGTTTCCACTTGAGCGGCCCAAGCTGCCGTTTTGAGAAACTCATCTCCATGGAGACCGACGAGATAATCCATACGAGAAAGCAAGACCCAATCCATGATAGGACGTGCATACTTGAGCTTGAGACGGGGTTCATCGGATGGATCAAGGGTTGCATCATCTTGATTGTCGCCAAATGCAGACGAGGGTGTAAACTCATAGGATTCAGCCACAGCATGAACGATGACAGGACGATTCTTTCGCTTGTGCTGAATGATGGCAGATCGTAATTGTTCAATGATGTCTTGAGAGGAGGCTGATAAAAACACATGGCATTCTTTGCCCATGACTTGCGCCTTGCTGCATACTGACGCCACGCGTGTCGCAATGCATGCATAATCCACATTATCCTCAGTAACACGTACACCAATGCGTATCCAACGAGCAAGGATGCTATCGTTATCGTTCTCAGGAGGTTGTGCCAATACATCAAGAGGATCACGATGCATGTGTCCACCCATTAAATCCAAGTACGGTGTGAGATGACCCGATAACCAGTCGTTGGGTTTGGAAAAGAGTAATTGATGGGCGACCCAAAAGCCTTCAGAAGGTTGCAACTGTTCCAATCGATACTTGTCACGTAGTCTCTTCATGAATGGGTTCTCTTGCATAGCCGTCCAAGCATCCCAGTTGCCACATTGTAACACCCGTACATTTTGGGATCGATACTCGTTTACATAATCCTTGGTAGCCAAATCATGTTGCAGCATGGCATGTTGTGTACGCACCGTGGATGGATCAGCCCGTTCCTTGTAGAATTGGATTTGGCCTGGATTCATCACCATGTAGCGTGGAGACGCCTCAAAGAACCAATCAAACTTGACAGGTGCCGACATATCAATCCCCACAGCAGCACCATCCCAAAGCATGCCAAATAGATACGCACTGGTAATCCCTTCAAGCCGTTGCTCCAAAGATCCACATTGGCCTCCTCCCTGATGGCAACTGTATAGCACAAGCAATGGTGGCGTATCAAAGTCTGGTGTCCGATTCGCAACATAGCCCACTTGCACATGGGCAAGCACTGAAGTAAGGAGGGTCGTATTCAGCCGCTTGAATGGATTCTCTCGTCGAACAATAAGGTCATTGCGTGGTTGTGGCGATCTTGACTTGGCAACGGAATTCAGTGATGAGAAGCTCAAGTATAAAAAGACAATGAAAACAATGGCAAGGACCCATCCTCTTGATCGCATCTTGTCAGAGGACGGCAAAAAAAAGAAGGTAAGAAACACAAGGAGTAGGAGGAGGAAGAGCAATTGAGTGGAGCACACTTAATCCAGCCTAATAAGGTTTAGCATTTTGGTAGTATCATATCCGCATCAAATGAATAGCTCATGAACATGCATCGTCTTTCTAGATCAAATATGTATTATTTACAGCAACAACGTATTATGGATAGATACAAAAGGAAGAAGGTGAGCCAAGGAGCGACATGATGAAGGGTTGCTGGTTGACAAATATTAGGATCCACCACCACATGCCACCACAGTGCATAAGCTAGTAGTACATAGTCATCTTGATTAATATGATTCCCATAATAAAGAAGCCTATAATGTATATACCATATAAAACAGCATTCTGCTACAGAAGCAAGGGCTGAACAACATGTTAAGGCTGTTAAAGAGCCTGATTTTTCATCACAGTCGTCTTGATCCAGAGTAAGATTATCAGTGGAGACAGCATGGCTATTGTCGGTGGTGGGTGCAGTAGCTTGCTCATAACTTGGTGGGGGTTGTTCTTGTTGTGTTGACATTTTTATAGATGTCGTGGGTATTATGTCCTGGGAGGTGTGTGTGGTTTTCGAGTTTTGGAAGCTTATTTATATACAAAGGGTGAGAACACAGCAGCATCAGCCACACGAGCATGATCCATTGGTAGGTGCAACCTTTCCAGCGGATTGAGACGATTTCAAAGTATGACAGATTGGGCTGATGCTCATTGCTCTCTCGCATCCTTTTTGGGGAGTCGCACAATGCCATCGGATCAACGTCATTTACGAACCGACATTGCGTTTTTAATGATAAGATGTTGTTTGTTCTCTTCAAAAGATAGAACGTATTGAAGGCTGGTACATGGATGGGCAAGGTTACAGCAACATGGACAATGGATAAAGTTATCTTTTGTTCCTGAAAACATCTCCCGATCCCATTCCTCCTCCTAAAGTACGACATGGACGTGAGCTATTTCTGGTATCGTGCACATTTTTATCATCATCATCCGCATTTAAAGCACATGTCATGAACGTTTACTACCATGATGAACGTCATCAATCCGGACAATCCAGAGCTTGTGGTATCATCAAACGTGTCTTTTTGTATTCAGGTGGAGGAGGAGAGGAGCTTGTTGCATCGTAGCTGGTAATGCTAATTATTGGCACCATCTATAATAAAGCCATTCATTGCACAAATGGTGCGTCGTACATAAGCAAATGTGCTGTTAGTAGTGGACGCATTATTGTTGTATTCTAATGGCCCACTGTCATGTTGCCCTTTTGATACTTGGTACCGAGATAGATGGATTCAATTTACCATAAACGGGTTTATCCCCACATTTACCAAATCCACATGGCGTATCTCTTTTGTAGAATTATCCATATACGTGGTCAGCTGTATCATTTACATGCAGGTCCATTGTTGTGGAAACGGAGTACAACAAGGCATTCGCTTTTACTCTTCCGACAGCGAGCTGAGTTGAGTGATGACATGGAAGAAGGTTCCTCATTATGGTAGAAGCTTTCAACCCTGAGTACGCTGTACTTTTTATTGGGTTTTAGGCTTAGCCCGATAACAGATAGACCATGGTGAATACCTACATACTGGGATGCGAGAGGGCGTTGAAAGGATCAAGGAACCATTCGCGTAGTATGGCACAACATTTCACTAGTATAAGACCCGGCTGCTTCAATCCATACGTACATGGAGGGGGCGCACCACCTTGTTTAGCGAGCTTGTAATCCAACATCTTATCCGCATAATATGCAGGTACTCCCTGATGAAAGGATGAAGAAGAGAAACAAGCTTTATTATAGTATTAACGACTAGATAGCAAGCTCTTCTACTGTGTAAAAATTTGAGCATCCTTTGATTTGATATGGATTACGTCTTTTTGGTGTTCTGCAGTAGAGCATGCGGGTAACGCCACTGCCATTGCACGCATAATAGATACCAGGGTATTTTTTGCCATCCACGACTTTAGTAAATGGAGCTGGATGTCTGTATGCCCCATCCTTGTTGGGGTCGCAATTCGCATCTCGAGAGAATCTAATTGATTTCTCTTGCTGCTCCTTGCACGAGTAGTAAGCGTCACCACCTTCAGCATTATGGTACAAGAACAAGGAAATGTCCTTCTTTGCTGGATCCTCACACCCCTTTTTCGCTTCTTCGATAGATTTGACTTGACTCACTTTGGGTGCTCCTGGTGCATTGCCTGCAGTAGTAGAAGGAATTCCCAGCAATAAAAGCGTAGCCATCATCACTAGCAACAATGGAAAATGACGTCCTTGAATGATCATGATAGTGGTGAGAGTGGAAAACGGTATGCATCATCCCATTTTAAAAATGAGCCCTTATATACAGCTTCTTTTTTTACGATGGAGGCATTATGTATCCCATGTGGCGAAAAATTCAGATACATGCATAGGCTTTTCCTCTTCTTTTGTATCTTTCGTCAACATTCATCATGTTGACATTATCGTCCACGCTGTGCATAGTCGTCATCGCTATTCTATTTGCTCGTTTTCTACCTTATCCAAAGATGGGTGGACTTCAATGGTATCATAATGTATAGATATTTGGAATGTGAATACAACAAGGAGGAGCCATGGTTTATACCATCTCCTTTCTTACGAGAACCTTCTTCTTCCCCTGTCAGGGATCCTATTCCCTTGCATTACTGGGTATGAGATAATAAACGTACAAGGCCATGGTACATAATCTTTTGGATGATGTTGTAGTATATGACCATCATTGTACTTGGGCAGATCATCATTGGTATTGTTGAAAAACCTTAAAAGGGCTGCTGTCATGTTGGCTTACAACCGCGTGGTTAAAAATTTATGCAAGATTCCCCGCCCCTGACACTAGTGTCATGGGCTGGCAGTTACATGCAACATGCATTCTGTAAATATGTCTCCGCAAGCACTTGTATGCGGTGAGAACCCCGATAACGATGGCAAAAAGTAAGATGGGTACTTCATCCTTTGCATGTTCTCGGATGATTTTCAAGAGGAAAGTGTTTCTATGGCGGAATGCGTACTGTATTTCATGATAACTTATGACCGCCCAATGGTAGTATTGCTCAAAAAGCAATTACTGGATGTGGGAAAGCTAATCCATTATCTTCTGGATTGTAGGCTAAGATAATCAAACATGGATGCGTGGTAGTAGTATTGTAGTACGCCGTACATTTGATTGCTATGTAACTTTTCGGAGCTGGGTAGGGGCGTATCCTATGTAACCTGGCTGTGATCTCTATTTAGCAGATGGCATACCTACAAGTTTGACAGGCAGTAAGAGTCATCAAAGATGTAAACAGCAAAGAGCGCCCTGTCAAGTACATGTTGGTGATCTTAAGCAGGAGGTGGCATACAACAGCAAATAGCTGCATCAACAGAGATGTGACATGAGTAGGCGAATCAAACAATAGTGATTTGGTTTTACCCCTTTGAAAGAGCCAAATTTCACAACGACGACTATGACAATGAAAGTGGGACAACAATGAAAAGCTCTAAATGGCCACAAAGACCAGCTCTCATTCACAGGCTTCTAGAAAAGACTCTTCATACGCACGTAAACTTGGGTATCTAAAAACTAAACAGCCAAGGAAGTGGGCGTGTGAATTTCCTAGCTCATAAAGAATGATACATGTTTGTTGGAGGTGATGCATCATCAATGAGCCGGTAGAGTGGACTGTGAGTTGATAAAGTGGTCGAGTAGATGAAGCGCCTAATAATGAAACCGTATCAAAGGGCTCTTGGTTTGATTGTTCATGCATGCATAAACCGGAGCTGACATGGCCGAATTAGGGTAGCTGACAACATCCATCAATGATTTAATGGCGCTGATCTGCTATGAGTATCGTAAACAGCAATGATCCAATTACATATCAGCAACCAAAAGAACATGACGCCTAATCCATAGCGACGAGCTTGATGTTGTAACCAGGCAACCAATTTTGGTATACATATTCAACTTTTCTTACACGATGATGGTGCTTGCCATTGGCAATACGTTGACATGATGTATTTGACATGGTGCAAAATAGTAGTATATAATAACAAAGCCCCGGGTACTTGGGCGGAAATGAAAGGAAGAAAGTGTGTGCCTATGTGTGTGGTATCTATATACGATCGCGATGCTGTTTTTATCCCATTAAATCGCACATAGCCTCCCAGAGGAAACAGCATGCTAAGGTTTGAAGGCTAGAAAGCAAAGCAAGTGTTGTTAACTTCATGAAAAATGAAGCCGTTTGGCTACTTCTGTATACGTACCACATGCAACAGCAATCTTGAGCAGGGTCATCTTTTTGCTGTTGCTGAACAACGACCGTTTGTGGAGCAGGGCTACATTGTGTAATTTAGCACGCGTATCTTAAATCAATGATTGTTTTGTAGGTTGCTTACGCTGGTTGATAATAGGGTTGTTGTTGTTGCTGTGGTGGTGGTGCATAGTATTGGCCTCCTGGAGGAGGAGAATAAGGTGCTTGGCCTGATGGAGGTGGTGGATAAGAATAGGGTGGTGCCGACATTATTACTGTTGCTGGTCGCTGCACTTGAAAAAGGGCATTTTGCCCATGTTTTGTCTACCTCCTCCCTATTTATACAATTGAGAAAGCATTTGGCCCGCAAAATCCAATTTCCCGGGCCGACGACACCGACGTCGGAAACCAATGTTGTTTTTGAGCACAATCCTGTAGTTTGGGCCATTTGCTTTCCTCCCATAAAGAGGGCTCCCATGGCAACGTATACTATACAACAAGTAATAATGGATACTTTGATTGGTCAAAACCTATCAGCGAGGGTAAAAGGGGAGGATGGATGACTTGCTTACAGAATCATATGCATCTATTATACCCATATCATCATGTTCCACATTGGCAAAAATGCCAAGATCTTTTAGTGGAAGATGTATTCCCGGGATATCTTTCGCCTAAAGTCAAATACAGATGGTGTATGGAAAGAGTTGTTCCCATGACAAGCAGCACCAATAAACGTTGATGTGGCTGCACAAGGACGATCGACCCCCTTTTTTGTACCGTATTGTATAGTAGTAGAAGACAAGCAATGGTGACATTTATTAGAGTGAATGGATAACATGGTTGATGATCATAAAGAACATGAGATGATAATGTTTATGTGGTCTTATATGAGGAACCGATCAATACCACGCGAGGTTGTTTTTTGGCGGCCACCCAATACCCATTGAAGCGGACACAATTTGGATAGTTTTGGTATCATGCATCTTATCTAACCTATCACAAAGCCATGTCAGGGCAACATGTATCCCCTTGTCATGCATGTCGTATAACTTTATGACGATGCCAATATCATTACAAGAAGGGTATTCCTTCATCATTCAAAGAGTTGACGACAAGCAAGAACCGACCACGACAACAAGAAGGATCGGAAGCAGCAGCCGGGGGTGGTCATCTGTGTAACGGTGCCTGTTGAGGTTTGGTGCTGTGATACTAGTAAACGCACACACACGCGCACACTTTTTCGTTTCCAAAAGCAGTGTACCTTTTTCTTTCTTTCTCTCTCTTTTCTCTCTTTGATTTCCACCTCTCACTTTTTTGAGCCACAATCTATTCTTGCTTGTGACATTGACATTGCAAGCATTCACCCATGACTTCAACTGCCGTGAGGTATGTTTCACTTTTGCATAATGGCTGCGCTGGTGTGTCTCTTTATTGCAACATGGGGCAGAGCTAATGTGCGATGCCTTTGTAGGGTGGCACTACGTGTCCGACCACTGACACAAAAGGAGCAACTTGCCAACTGCACAGAATGTCTTTCGTATATACCCAACGAGCCTCAAATATTGATCGGCACCGACAAGTCCTTCACCTACGATCATGTGTTTGATACCAACACCCATCAAGATACTGTTTACTCTGTCGCAGCAGGTCCTTTGGTACAGAAATTTATGGATGGGTGAGTCTAGTTCCTTTTTCCTCCTCACATGGCCGCCCCCCTTCTTACTTTCAACACACCCCACACAACATACATCATATTAACTTTGTATATCTCTATCGCTGCTTCTTTGATAGATTCAATGCAACCATTCTTGCTTATGGGTAGAGTATTCCATATGCTGTTGTTGCCATGACAACCATGACTGATCGATCACATTTCATATATGCAGACAAACGGGTTCGGGCAAAACTTATAGTATGGGAACTGGGCTGGAGAACAGCGGTGACCCAGAAAATGAAGGTCCGCCATCTTTTTTGCATTTTCTTTTCTTGAAGAGAGAGATAGGCTCATCTTGTTATCATCCATAGGCATCGTACCTCGTTGTATCTATGAGCTCTTTGAAAAGTTGGATCAACAAGCCCAAGAACAAGAAGGCTTTTCTTATGAAGTCGCCGTCTCCTTTTTGGAATTATACAATGAAGAGCTGATCGATCTGCTGAATCCATCCACCGCTCAGAAAAGAAAGAGTCTCAATGGCACCGTGACACACACCACCGAAGTATCCATTCGTGAAGACATTGCTGGCAACATTTATTGGAGTGGTGTACGAGAAGAACCTTGCCATAGCCCTGAAGAATTACTTGGGTAATTAATGTATACATTACGCCAACAACAACTCGATGATACTCATTCCCTATGGCGATATAGATTTCTTGCAAAGGGATCCTTATGTCGTACAACTGGATCTACCGAAATGAATGCCGTTTCTTCACGATCCCATGCCATCTTCTCAGTCATTTTACGACAACATCAACCTGATCAAGAGCAATCCACATCGCTTACCAGCAAATTCCATTTTGTCGATTTAGCTGGTTCTGAAAGAGTAAGTGTGTGATACATATCGCATATGCATTGTCGTCATCATTGACATGTATCTATGTAATTAGTTGAAACGCACCAATGCACAAGGAGATCGTGCACGAGAAGGCATTGCTATCAATTCAGGATTATTGGCTCTTGGCAATGTCATTTCAGCCTTGGGTGATGAAGCCAGACGAACGACGCATATCCCTTACAGAGATTCTAAACTGACAAGACTGCTGCAAGATTCCCTGGGTGGAAACAGCCAAACAATGATGCTTGCATGTGTATCACCTGCCGACACCAATTTCATGGAGACATTGAATACGCTCAAATACGCCAATCGTGCACGCAACATAAAGAATCGAGTCACCATCAACCAAGATTTCGCTGGTAGTTCCATTGAAGTCAATCAACTCAAAGCACTCGTGGGTCGATTACGCATGGAAATTGCTGCATTGCGTGCTGAAGGTGGCAACGGCGGAGGATCTTCTTCTTCCAACAACAACAACATGGCCCATGAAGATCAAATACGAGCACTTAAGAGTGAAATTGGACGACTACGTGAACGCATCGATGACATGTCAGCCAACATTATTCAAGTATCCAGCGAACGTGATACTTTGTTAATGGAGCGTGAATTGGATGAATTTATCAATGATGGCGGCGACCATGATGATAACAACAGCAACAGACCAGCCATTACACAACATCCAATTATTGCTCAATATCAGAAAAAGATTCAGGATTTGACAAATGAATTGGCTGATACGCGCGATCAATTGGCTTTTGCAACAAGCGTCAAACCTACATCTACCAACATGTTATCACGACCCCGTGCTGAACCAAGCTTGTCCACAGGACAACGTCGTCGTCGACAACATCGAAGAAAACGTGGTGGTCGTATGAGCGCCTCTTCGAGTAGCACAACCACAGCCATTCGACCTTCGAGAGCGGCATCGAGACAAGCTGCAAAGAAAAAGAAGCAATCGACCATTGTATACTCGGATATTGAAGAAGATGAAGGCTTTGTCAATGATGAGCAAGAAGGTGATATTCGAAAAGAAGTCAAAGACAGCATCGCCAAAGCACGTGATGAGATCCGCAAAGGCATGGAGGTCCTTGAACTTATCAAGGTAAATAGTAGCATTGATTTATTTATACATCCATTTTTCTTGGATGCTAATTGTCTTTTACTTTTAGCCATTGGATGATACCGCCAAGGCATGGGAGGCTGAATTGCAAGCGTTTGAAGATGAAGAGCGTCGTATCCACCAAGATCGTACATTGACAGATGAAGGCACCTTCTCATCCACACCTTCACCCATTGGCATGGAGAAGCATTATCGCACCGAGGAAGATGATTTCATGGATGAAATTGAAGAATTGGTAAGTAACACAAGAGATGCAGCCAACAATGATACTTACCCTTTGATATTGATTAGGCTGTTCCTACTTGGGAAGATGCTGAGAAGCCAAAGCAACAAACGTGTGATGCCAAATCTGTATCGACAATGGATCAATCAGTGGATAGCGGTTCGACCATGGTGCATCATATCAACAATGAAAAGCCGAATCCCCAAATGGTGCGCATGCTTCATCAAATCCAATCGGATATCAAGGTCAAAGAGGAATTGGTGTCGCACTTGGAAAAGTCTGAGAACGAGTACATCTTTATGCGACGCAAATTTGATGATAAGATTGCCCAATTGCAAACACAACTTGTTGAACTTCAACGTGAACGTGATGAAGCTCTCGATCGCACAAAGTCGCGTCTTCGATCCAAGTCGGATGCCTCTGTACAACAAAAGGAAAAGCAGCAATTGATTGATATTCGACATGCTTATGAGGCCAAGACCAAGCACTTGTTGACCGAGATCCAGGATTTGCGTCGCAAGTATTCACAAATGACCAGCACCATGCAAGCAACACGCAACCAAAATGAAACGTTGCTTCGTTCGTTGCGTGCCAATGTTGACACTCTTCAAGTGGAAAAGAAGCGCATGATCAAACGTATGCGTATGGAAGCGGATCGCGTGAGAGAGCAAATGTCAACCCAAGAACGCCGTATTCATCAATTGCAACGACAACAAGCTGAAGCCAACATGGCCAAACGTCGTCTTGAACGTGAACATGAGAACCAAAAGCAGATCCTCAAGAAGCGCAACGAGGAAATTCTTATCAATCATAATCAACTCAAGCAAATGACCAACGTGTTGAAAAAGGCTGTCCGTGAAGGCGGCATTTTGGATGAACGTCTTTTGAGCAAGGTGTCGCATATTGTGGGTGGCAGCTTTGCCATTGTAGCTCGTGGAAGAGGTCTTGGTTTTGGTCGTCGTCCTCGCAGCAACAAACGTATCAATCCCATCCCTGTTCAAGAAAGAGCGGCACGTAAAAAGGAGCTCTTGGACAAGGCCCTTTCACAATTTATTCAAGGCAAACAAGCGATTGTGGAAATGGAGCAATTGTTGGTGCGTCGTGAGCGTTTGGCCAATGAGAAGCTTGAATTACTTGAAGAGCGCAAGCACATCTACTTGGCTGAAAAGGAGAATGCCGAGACAACAGGCCAGCCTATGGATATGATGGCTGTGGAATTGATGGATGAACGTGTCGATCTCATGTCAGCTGAAATTTCTTACTTGAGTGCCCGTATTCGTGCTTTGCAATCGGAAGCTGCTGGTGAATCCATGGAAGATGAAGCCCACGCCGTAACAACCACGGCAGCACGCATCGAAAAGCATGTGACATTTGCTGATGAAATCATTACCGATCCAGCACCTACCGATGAATGGGCTGATATGGATGCCTTTGAAGAGCAATTCAGTGTCCCCAGCAATGCAGCACCCGAGTTGGCCTATGACATGACGGTCAAGTTGTTAAAGTCACTTGAAGCCGATGAATGTAAACGCATTGCCGAATCCTTGGTGGATGATATCATGACATTGAGAATGAGCGAATGCAATCATCAAGTCACTCAACAAAATCTCGAAAAGTCAGTGATGGATTTACGACGTACGTTGATTGTCATGAAGCGTGCAGCGATTGCCACCACCATTGAAAATGAGCGACGTATTCGTAAGCTTGAAGAAAAGTCTGCATTGCATCATCAAGATGATGAGGAAGAAGACGTTCAGGAGAATCGTTCGAGATCACCTACCGATGAAAAGATTGAGGAATATATCAATGGAGGCAACACGATCTTTGACAAGATTTACGAGGATGGATTACGAGGTCTTATTGCTACCCCTGAACCAGGTGCTGATATACCAACCATGGTAACACCAGCAAGTCCTCGCGGCTTTGACATGTCACGAACACCTACGGGATCGCCTCGACATCACGATGAAGACTTTGGACATTGCTTATCACCATCATTAGCAGCTACAGCCAATGCAGCAGCTGCAGGAAAGCCACCACAGCCACTTAAGGATCAAGATCGTGATATTACGCCATCGCCTGATCGCTTTTACAACATGATCCAAAAACGGTTGTCATGGCAACAACGTCAAGGTGGATCCGAATCACCTGTACCTATTACAATGATCAGCCCAGCTGAATTTGCACGCTATGCAGCTGATCAAGATTCATCCACATCGTCGATCCACAGTAGCCATCTTCGACGTTCTTCCCTTCCATCCGATTATTCATCATCTCAATCACAGCAATCATGGAATCAACATCCAAGCAACGGCGTAGTGAATCAAGTCCCTGATGTACGTAAACCACGACAACGTTTATCTTTGCGAGAACTTTCGACCCATGGTGGTGGTGGTAATGTGGATGCCATTCCTAATATCAGCAATAATGCAGCAGCAGCAGAATACGATCCACCCCTTCCACCTTCATCACCACTCGCCAATTACTCATCCACAGTGACCACCTCAAAGCAATACAAACGCCGTACCATGCCTGCTGTTTTGCCCACCGAACAACGTCCTAGCACACCTGTCACGGGTAATGTGTTTGATCGTCTCTCACAAACGCCAACACGTGCATCACGTGCCAAAATGACACGACATAGCAGTGGCAGCGTAGAAGATCTCAGATTAAGATGGGACAGCTTTGAACATCAAGAACGCTCGTCAAGTCCATTTTATTGATCGCTTTTATACCCTTCTACTACTACCACCCTCTAAATATCTTCACCACCCTCTTCTCGTGTACAATACTCTATTTTATTCGTCTTGTCGGTTGTTGTCACTTTAAAACTTGTTTCCCCCCCCCTGGCACCTTATCATATATAGTAATAAACCATTGAATTTAGAAGTGATTGAAAAAAAGTGTCCGCTGCAGTTGCCGATGAATGTCTTACTTCGCAAATCATGCATGAATCACTGCACCAACTTGTCCTTGCTGCCATCAAATTTTGTTGCAAAGTACTATGTGGATTGTAGGTTCACATTTCCTATACCCTTGTACACGTGTGATTTTGAAGTAGTATTTCCGAAAGCAGCCTTGAGCTCTATCTTTTATTCTTCATCCATTTCGAAAGATCAATTGACCAACGTGATGAAGCTGGCACGAAAACATCAAGCTACGTATAATAGCATGCATGAAATAATCTTTGATTGGATACAAATCCACGTGATTCAAATGCCAAGGATTGAGTGAGCGAGTGAATGGAAGGTTGCGTAGAACAGGTCTATTCCCAAGTGCTATCAAGCGACCCTAAGATCACGTTGTATGTTCAAGAAAGAAGCACCCGATATTATACATGGATGAATTCATCTATTACTGATCGAAAGGCATGACATCATTTAATAGTGGAGAGAGCGAGCTATGGAGCACATGATCTTTTTGTGTTTCGGAATGGATGAGGGCGGGTGTTTTTTTCTCACGGCTACGATGCATGGACCACCTAGTGGGTTGATCTTTTGACAATCGGGATATTAACCCGCCTTTACATTTTTCCTTGACCTGTATTATAGAAAACCAGGTAGGATGGAGAAATGGAACCCTGGAAAGGGATGGAAAAATCAATAAGTTTCAGCCATCCTCTTGATGACCAATCGGACGTGATTGTAAAAATGTCGAAAGTTGTGCGGAGTAGTGGGTACTACCATGAGATCATTTCAACAACTCTTTATTAACCAGAAGCAACCAGAAAGTACAAGGTGACCATGATTTGTCATGCATCATCCATGATCACACCCGCATTGTGGGAGGGGAAAGGGTGGGGATTGTATATGTAGTTAAGTATGTAATGGTTATGTAAGAAGCAAGGACAATTGTATGGAAACAAAAGAGCGAACGACGTCACTAAGACTCTGACTCATCGCAACCAGGTTTTGAAACTGCGTTTTGGGGGACACGAGGTAGGGTGGAGGAAGGTTGATTGGAGGTAAATCTGCACTCCTTTTCTCTTGGCTATGTGCTTTTAAGAGAATACCACACTCCATTCTACTTTTTGCTATTTCTTTGAACAGAACACTGCCGATAACTCTTTCTGCATCTCTTGTTTTCTTTTTCCCCAATGCCTATTGTCTTTAACTCTACTACCCACAAGCTTACTCAGCAATGGCAACTCATTATTGGCAACAAAGTACAATTCGCCACCCTTTCCTCGGCGTACCATTCTCCTCTTGTAATCAACAACGGCGCATGCCCCCATGGGAACTAATTCGAATGAGCTACGACCCTGGTCTCTATGAAGATTCTGCAAGCAACTCATCGTCCTCTGCAGCAAGTACTACTCTCGACTCTATCGACTCCATGCCTTTGGATCCAAGCATGTCGTTACGCAAGCACAAGAAATGCTCATATCATGTGCTATTAAAGGAGATTCGGCGCCTTCGTGCAGAGAATGATGGCTTACACAAGATGGTCGATACGATCCGGGAAGATTTACGCTACGAGCGTGAGTCACGACAGATATCAGAACAATGTCATCTCAAGTATTACAATGAATCAGCCGATCGTCAGATTGAATTAGAGGATGATGTGGCAGACAAGCAAAAGCTTATTGACGATCTCAAGCAACGCATTCAAGAATTAGAAGCATCATCAGCATTATCAAAATCAATATCCACGCCAACACCCATGCCAACCAATCATCCCCTTGCAGCCATTGCCACAACCACCACCACCACACACAACAATACGAATTCTTCATCTTCTTCACGTTGGAGCTGTTTTGATTTCGACGACGACGAGATGCTATGCCAACCGTTGGTAGGCGACTCTGCTATTCCCGATATGCCGTTTGTCGATCATAGCAACCGTAACAATGATACCGACACCAGTGATGAGGATGACGATGATGAGGATGACGAGGATGAAGAAAAAGACAATGACGGCTTGACAGACAATGAACGCTTTGAATCGCTTGCTGGTTCTTACCTCCATCAAGCCATTATTTCCAAATTGACAAGCGCACGTGCCAATCTTGAACTGGATGATTTGATGCTAAAGTACGACCCATCCCCTGCCGTCGTCTTACGTACGCTTGCCACCTCCTTTGTAGCCTGGATTGGGAATGTGGTCAACAACAGCAGCAACAACGATGAATCCATTGCCAAATTATGGGCCTTGGCTGTCACCGATGGATTCCTTGCCTTTTGGAAAGCCATTCTTCAAAAACATGTTCATGATGAAGCCGATCAGACCCAGTTCTTGAATGAAGCCGAGCTCTTATTGAACCGACAAAATGCCGCTGGTGCCTCCTCCTCCTCCTTATTGGTCGACAATTACCATCGTCTCTTGATCATGCTCTACAAGTACGACATTGTGGATGGTGATGCAATTAGTTCTTGGTGGCATGCAACAACAACTACAACAACAAGCCCTCAAGATGTAGCCCATCGTTTACGTGGTGTCACTCGCTCTTTTACAGAATGGCTTGATGAGGATGATGAGGATGACGAAGATGATGAGATTATTGATGACGAGGAAATCGACAGCGATATCGATCACAGTGACAGCGACACCGTCATTGATTCATTGGATAAGCATGATCAAGAACAAGATGATAGTTTATTGGATCACATGCTTCAAGAAGATGATCGGAATTGTTGTGCCTGTCAATTCGAGTCGGACAAGACCCCATGCATCGACACCACCATTGCACATACCACCACACCTACCACAACAACCACAACCCCCACCGCCTCCTCACCTTGTAAATGCGACTTTACATACACTGAATCACCCACTACTACCACTGCCACCGCCACCACCACTGAGAAGAAACCCAAGAAAACGGTTCGGATCATGTTGTAAATATATAATACGTTTGTTTTTCCCTCCCCCTCCCCTCCCCCTTTAGCTACTTTTTCCCTCTCACCACAATACAAAAAACATCCCTCATCTGTGACTCTCCCTTCCCACCCGCGTAACCCATATACTACACGCTTTGAATTAAAACTTTATTGCGCACCTTTGCATTTCCTGAAATAGTAATACCGCAGCTTGTCATCCTCATCATGATTTAAAAAAACAAATGGACCACTCTCCCTCTAAAAAATACTAGGTATGAGAAGCAGCGTACTCCGCTTCTCAGACCATAATATAGCGTGTTATCATCGCGTGTGTATTTTGCAATAAGATTTTCGCTCTCTCTTTTCTATTTCCTTATCTTTGATGGCGTCAACAACAACAACGAACGTGTCGTATCGATGGTTATACCAAGCTGGCAATCAATGGGTTCCTTTTGATCCAACCTCCAATTTAAAGGTTGAAGAGATCTGGCGATCCAATCGACCCTATACTTTTTATGTTCCCTGTTTGGGAGGTGACGCTACCATTCATCCGAGCGAACTGCACATGGAACGTCAAGGCATTCGTATTCCCATTATCCGAACCGGCGCATGAGTTTTGTTGGGATCGTCCTCTTTTGCCTAATCTAGTAATGATGTTCTTTTGTGCCCATCCCATTCTTGTTGATCCAATCAATGTGTACCCTAATTTACCATTCACCTAATAATAAATAATAACCCAACATGATGCCTTGATTAAGAGAGAGCCTGTATTATGAAAGACAAATGGGAAATGAGGCGTTTGGTGGGGGGGGGAGGAAACAACAAGATGCAGGGATAAAAAAAAAGAGCTCGACAATAAATACACACAAAAAGACAAGATGAATGGTAGGAAGGGAGGATGAATGGGATGAGACTAATTTTTTTTACTGGCTCCAATAAGGCTGTTGTTGACGAGCAGGTTGTTGTTGACCCTGTTGCTGTTGCTGTTGTTGCTGTGCAGATGGCATTTGAGCAAAATGAGGATACTGGGGTTGATAAGGGAAACCACCAGCAGCAGCACCAGCACCACCGAAATAGTTGGCAGGGTTATTGTTCATTTGTTGATAGGGCATTTGTTGTTGAGGATGACCATTGGTGCCTGCAGCAGCACCACCAGCAGGTGCCTTATCATTCTTGGGACCTGTTGCTGCACCACCAGCGGTAGGAGGTTGTTGCTGCTGTGGTTGAGCTTGTTGGGGTTGCTGTGGTTGTTGTTGTCCAAGGAAACCAGGCAACTGTTGCTGATACGACTTGTAATCATGCAAACCTCCAGCAGCAGCAGCACCACCCAATTGGTGTTGCAATCCACCCATATCATCGTAACCACCATACATGTGTTGTGTATAAGGCGATGCATAAGGAGAGGCTGCAGAGCCACCACTAGGCTTACCAGCAGAGTGTTGATACATGTTGGGATACATGCTCTTGTTCATGAAGGGTTGATTGTAAGATTGCTGATAGCCGAATTGGTTGGGCATGTAATAGTAAGGATAGTAAGGCATGTTGGGATACATTTGCTGAGCAGCGGCAGCTGCGGCAGCGGGTCCATGAGCGGCGGCGGCAGCAGCAGTATGCGGCAATGATCCATCCTTATCACGTGATTGATACGAAGCCGAGGGGGATTGTGTATAAGCCGAATGGTCATAGTAACCCTAAAATCATATGTTGAATATCACAATGCAACGCATTCCCTCCTGACGATGACAACTTACCATAGCCAAACGTTGTTGATCAGTACCATAAAGACCATAATCAGGAAGCGATCCCATAGGGCTAACACCAAAACCAGAGACACCAGCAGGAGGTTGATTAGGCATGTAAGAGCTATAGCCTGATGACAATTGATCCATGCCAAAGAGAGGTGGTTGTTGTTGAGCAAGAGTAGGTTGGGGCTGAGGATGGATGGAAGTAGGTTGTGGCTGGGTGGTCTGTGCTGCTGCTGCTCCAAGTGGTTCAGCTGCAGCTTGTTGTGGCTTCATGGTTTCTGGAGCAACACCAGTGTTGAATTGTGGCTGTGTTTCTTCCTTTGCTGCTTCAAGTGACTCACTAATAATAACAACAACATGATGATGAATATCCCTTTCCATATCCTTATACCCTCTCTTCTCTTTTTTTTTACCTAGTCTGCGTTTGCAATGTTGTCTCCGACGCTTCCACAGTCTCGGTTGTACCATCATTCAAGCTCAGGCTACCAAACTTGACACCAATAGAGCTGAGAGATGCACCAGTATTTGGCAAAACAACGGGCACATCTTGCTTCAAACGACGATTGCCGGTAGAGGATTTACGGGTAGCGGTGGTGTCTTGAATAGATACATTGGATGATTCAATCTCTTCAAGTTGCTCTGTTGCCTTTGGCTCTTGCTCGGTAGGTTCAATTGACGTGGATGTCCATGGATCAGTGGTAGTAGTAGAAGGAGGTTCTTCCTTTGTGGCAGGCTCTGGTTCATCCCAAGAAGGTTTGATAGTCTCAGCAGGTGCGTCCCATGGATTGGTTGATGCATCCCAAGAATCCTTTGGCTTGTCCCATGAATCATTAGTAGCTGGCGCGTCCCATTCACTTTGTGCTGCTGCTGCAGTAGTAGAAGTAGTAGTATCTTGTTGTTGTGATGGCTCAGGCTCAGGCTTGGGTTGTTTCCTATATATGAAATAATTATGTCAATAAAGCGTGAGAGAGATCACACAATCAACGACTTACTTGAGTAGGCTAGCCCATGTTTTTGGTGCGGATGAATCATTGGTAGTGGTAGTGGTGGTAGTCTTATCAGGTTCTACTTCGGGTTCGGTAGAGCTTCCCCATCCACCTGCATTAGTGTTGGATACACTAGCCGTTGTGGGTGCGTCCCAGCCGCTATTGTTGTCGGTAGTGTCCTGTGATTGACCCCATGTATCACCTCCTCCTGCTGCTGCATTCTTCTTGGATGATGCAATTGCTGCCCAAGAAGACGAAGAACTATCGGGTGCTGCTGCTGCTGTTGTTGTTGTTGGCGTCTTTTGTCCCCATGTTGCTGCTTGGATATGGTTATTGGCAGGTGCTGTAGTAGTTGGCTTTTGTCCACGAGTGCTATGTCCACCGCGTTGACCACCTTGATGATATAAAGAACGCGTCAGCACATGTAAAGAGAGAGAGAGAGAGAGAGAAAAGCCCCTCCTCCTCCCCACGGATACAGAAGATGCCACCCCTTTGAACAGAATTTACCTCTTTTAGGTCGATCATTATTTCCTTTGTATGTACGTTGTGTCGTGGTATTTTGTGGTGGTGGGGCAAATGAAATAGTGCTGCTAGTAGTGTTGTTGGTGTTGGGAACGGCAGCTGCTTTGGCCTTTTGTGCAGCTTCTTTCTTTGACTTTTTGCTCTTGACTTCTCCCCATTGCGATACATGACCTATCATATATCATTCCATATTTAGCTTTCTACTTGATAGTAATAACAACAACAACAAAAACCCTCTATCAACTTGCCTTCACTAATACGGTCGATTGCCAAGTCCAGATCACCGTCCACTTCTTGAAGGGCGAATAAAAGATCTTCGTCCGACCAGTCTGCGAATAGCTCTCTCAGGGTGGATAATTGGGAGGCATATTTCGATTTGAGCTTCTTAAAGTCAGATTGCTCTGTGGATTGTCTCATGGATTGTGAAGAACGTGATCCGTGTGAAGGCATTGGAATGGTTGTATATATATGAGAGTTGTGTGTGTGCGTGTGAGTGAGTGCGTAACGTTGTATTGCGTGCTATTGTGTTGTATCGCTAATAAGGAGAAGAGGAAGAAGAAGGACAAGTGGTTGGTTAACAAGAAAGAGAGAGATTATATATGAAAGGGATAAACTTACGTTGAGTGGCTCCCTCCCTCTTCGGTTGTTGTTGGAAAATATGACAAGAAAGAACGAAAGGCGGAACCAGTGATTCCAGCCTATTGCTCTTTTAACAAGCTGAGAAAGAAAAACATAGGATAAAGACGCACCATTGGCCCTTGAATGCTAACTCCCATCCAGTGGAAACGTGGTGTCAGGTGGTCCATGTTTAGGATCAAAAAGAAATCCTTGCCAAGCAAGCACAATGAATCACCCATCATCTCTACTTTCTGCTTCCATATCCAAATCGGGTAGCTTGTCAATACATTCGATCCAAATCTAGTAGATTCAATCCCAACCCACAAATGATTCATCATGATGGATAATGACTACTACCCTCTTTTGCATGAACAACACCATAACTTGTGGAGAGAGGTTAAATGGAATGAGCTTGTATCCCTTGAGAACTATACCCAAACATTGTTGTTTTCAATCCCAAGCTTATAATAAATGGTGGGGTAGTGCAAACCAAAAGGGTGTTAAGAATGGGGGGTATGGGTGTGGGGATTAAAAACCGCGGCATTGGTATTATCATCCTTTTATCAATACGCGTCTTCTTTTCATACAAATGGTTCTTTATGGGCTGAGTGAAGATGATTTGAATGAAAGCGTCAAAAACGGATCATGAAGGAAGGGAAAACATCAAATTTGAAATAGGCAGGTGACGAGGATTATACAAATCAAGTAAAAGGTACACATGCCACAAAGATCCATCAGAGGGAAAAAGTCGAATGTTATTATAGAGACAACAACGAGGTGATGATGAAGAACTACAAAGGATCAAATTGCCTGATACGTGTCGGGGTTCTCTCTCTATCAAAGAGCATGATTTCTTTCACGTCTACTCTCAACTTGACATTGCCATTCTCAACCACTTCCTCCCTTCCAACATGACACAGTGTATCGACACCAATGCGAGCCATCCGTTACGATTCAGCTACGAGCAATGAAGAATACCAACGACTATGTCCTTGCTCGACATTGAACGCTCTTGATCTATAGCAACTTGTTCCAAGAAGTCTTTGTTTCGTCGTGCTGTGTTGCAACAAGTTGACGATGATATGAACAACAAACATCATACGATCATCATCTATCCATGCTACCACTAGTCAACAACCCATCTACCAAGGTAAAGATAATCGATAGCTTATTGCCATGGAAATGACATCTCATGTGATTACAATCCAGCACAAGGCTCGAGTCGTGACTTTTACCCTTTGGATGGAGCAACGTTTACTTGCATGTGATCTTAAATATCAAGGTAACAGGTGGATAGGATGATCTGTTTCAAAGAAGAGGCAATGTTAGATATGTTTTCAATGTAGTGAAGCTGCATGAGACGTCGATCTTCCTTGTGGATGATGGTGTGTGTTGTCAGCAGGTGTTGGAACATACGAGAGGACTCTGGTACTCGATCACACCTTACTCAACACCCTATGCGATGGCGAATGAAAAGATACCTTGGCACCCTACGTTATCACTCAATATTATTATACGTCGCGCATGAGCTCATGGAGATCTGGTATGGCACTTTGAACGTTTTGACGACAACTATGGTGGTTGATTGCCTGTGGATACCTGGATCAGAATGAAGAACAGTCTTTTTGAATCCAACATGGAAGATGAAGAGATGGATGCACGGCAGTAACAATACTTTATGAGAGCAACATGACACTACAAACAATGAACAAGAACAGCAGCTACCAGCTTCATTGTCAAGAGATGTTCCTATACCGATCTGATTCCACATGTTGTATTTTTCATTGTTCGTCAACCCTCAGCATCAATTCCTCGCGTCGTCTATCATGTTCACCATCGCCATCATCTGTAACGTTACCATGGCGACAGCAAACACCTTGAGATTGGTTGCAGCAGTCTATACCGATACGATTTTGCCATGTGCAGCTCCAGAGCTTGCCCACGTGGTTACGCTACCATCATAATACAAGTATACCTTATTATGCAGCAGCACACTTGATCCTATATCGCGTCAAAAGATATCTTTTTATGTGGTGCTTTCATTCACGAAGGTACGAAAGGATCGTGGGATGGATTGGGGTCAAAAAGCAACATCTCATCAAAGCATGCTTTTTAAGGTTGGCTGAATCATTTGCGCTGACGGTGGTACCCTATAGTGGTGATGATGAAAAGATGATCATTGGATGCTACGACCAACTACAATGATAGCGAAGGAACCACAACTGGATTGGATTGGGTCATGAGTGATGAATGCGCATTGTCGTTACCTCAAGTCGTGGAGCTACAGTACCGCCCCCTAATTTAACTTGAATCCCCCACTGCGATTACATTGAAATCATCCACTCGCCCCACACGCACCATTATCATCATGATAGTAATACTATAGCTAAATAAATGGAACCATCCTCACGTATAGCAAAAGAGTGTGTGTCATTTTACATTTCACATGATCCAACAACAGCCATTGCCATACTACTACATAGGTCCCCAAGCACCAGCCTTCCTTTCCTCATCCCCGTCCGAAGCATCCTTTTTTCTAGTATCCTCAGCGTTCTTAACAATAAACGTCGTACTTTGCATACATTAACAATCGCACTCCCACCAATAGAAAATCATTCAGGGACAACCTTCTTGCGAGACGAGACACCCATTTCTACGTCTCATGCTTCATGCACTTTCGAACAAGATACTTTTGGATGCAGTAACCATATTTGGCTTATTAACCATACCATGGCCAACTTGAAAAACATTCCATACAGGCTATCGTAGGTGTACATTACTATAGGCGTACAAGGGAAAGCATCATCCATCATGCGCTCTCCACCAATAGGGTCAGCCCTTCAACTCTTGCCCTTCGGCTTGTTACACAAACATATCCTTCTGCATCTTTAGCTCTATGATTGAGGCGATGGACAATGAGCAAAGACCTCTTTTCATATAGCATCACGCTTAAAGCATAGTAAAAACATAAAGACGCCCTTAACTTAAAAATTTACAATCAAGCGCGGGGTCTTGAATAGAACAATGTTGCTCGGCGTGCCTGAATGCACCTACTGACCAAGTCTCATGTTCGTCATGGGCAACCCCAGATTCGCCCAATGTCGCTACCAGCCAAAAATATTTTGGAGTCGTCAACGAACAAAAAATTCAAGAGGTCGACCCCGGATCCAGTTTGGCTGGTAGCGACATTTGCGAAATCTGGGATTGGCCACGATGAACGTGAAACTTGCACACAAGGTGCTGTTGGCCAAGCCGAGCAACTTCGTTCTCTTAAAGACCCTGCGTTTGATTGTAAAGTTTGGAGATACAGGCGTCTTTATGTTTTTACTATGTTGTAAGCGTAATGGAGTTGCTTTTTCCTAGTGGATGGTGTCGGCTGCATTAACGGAAAGATGAAGAGCTGAGTGAAATGGAGCGAGGTGGTTACACAAACACGTCCTTTGACAGGTTGCTGCACAATTGGAACATGATGTTTGCCTTGGAACCCACCCACCCACACACCCATTTCTACTTTTAGCTCCACAACCAAGCTGTGTATCGCGTCAATGCAATTGATCCAGATGTAGTAGATCTAATCTCAATTCCTAACAATACATCAATGACTGACGAAGATGTACTACATATCATCTTTGCATGAACATCATCTACAGCTAACTGGCGAGAGTGATGGGGCTTGAAATGGATGGCTGTGTGAGTGTCTTCTAATAATTAGCAAGGTGTCTTCCATTCCAGGCTAACAAAAATCCCATATCTTTTGTTTGCATTTCATAAAGAGGACGGTCGAGAGATACATACGGTGTTCGGATGCACTATTATCTTTCAATTCATAGCTTCTCTTCATACAATGGCTCTTGGGGGAGGATTTGTGTTAGAGTACAAGTAGTTCACAGAATCCCGATCATCACAAAGGCGTCAAAGGAGATAATGAAGGCAAGAACTTAAAATAGTAGGCGAGGATTACACGAATCAAGTAAAAGAGACACAAAGATCCATCAGGGGGAAAAGTACGAATGTTATTATAAAGACAACAATGAACAGAAAGCATTGATACATGATGATGATATCCTAGTCGAAGGGAATGGATTGTTTATCGAAGAGCCTATGGAGCCGATCCTCTTTATTATACAAGTTTCTTGGCGACGAAAAAGCTCTTGTAATGACGCATCTGCCATACACAAATCCCACCCAAGACTGCAAGTTGCGTAATTGTCCACCAAACAACGCGAGAATTGGTCAGCTCGGATTGATCACGGAATTCAGCTTCACGTTCCTATGTCATGTTTTCAAATGAGCCATCTTGTATTGCATTTGTATCGCATCAACGTTTACCCTTTGAGCAGCTTGTTCACGTCGAATGTCTTGCACACGTTCATTCAAATCATGGATACGTTTTGCCATATCTAAATGATCAAATCCCATTAATTAACTCCAATGTCTTGTTGTATCTACCATTGCTTACCAGATAAAGTTTCAGTGTGATCATGTTGATCGCCAGCTGGATCATCAAAGTCCATATCAAATGTCATTCGCTAATCAATCAATTGTTAGCATCCTTCAACTTGACACGACGTATGTACGTATTTTCATACCGTTTTTGTAGAGTCAAACCATGATGTGCTAGCCACCGACAAGCATATGGAATGATCGCCTGATTCAGCGGAAGTGAATGTGAATCGTCCAGAAGGTGAATCTTGTCGATTGACGACGACGTGTTCTTGAGGAAGCTCCTGCATAATAATATTCAACATCCTCCCCCCTCCATCATGTATCACCTAGCATAGGCTTACCTCCACTGTGATTTGAATACGAGCTTCAGGGTTGACGATCCATTGGTTCTGTGTAGTTGAAAACTGTTCGGCCTTGTAGATACCTTTACTCCATGGTTAGTGCCATTTGACATGTTGACGCGAAATAGAGATGGTAGTACCAGTCACCATGGTTTCTTTGGGCAATTCCTCCAAGAAGCACTTTTTTTCGGCACCTTCCAAGTAAAAGTACAGTGCATCTGACACTTTTGCAAAGATGGCAAGAGCCACAATGAGCCAGCAAGTCAAACGTCGCGTTGTCAAGGAGAGCATGAGGAGAAGGAAAAAGGTACAGTTGCAAGAGCGTACAAGCGGCGGGCGGTCAATGGTAATCCACGTTTCTATTTCACCCCGCTTCCAGGTGCTGCTGGTTTCCCTGTTGCCTTTACTCTCTTTGCACCACCACCACCACCACCACGATGGCCACATTTGAAAAGGAGAAGCATGTACGCTACTTTGTGTCCAATTTGCGCATGCTACCCACGCCCTACACTGAAACCGAGACCAACCGGTAAGTCAATGTCATGGATGCTCTTGACGCTCACTCATTAACACACGTGTATGTATGTATGTATGTGTATAGTATCACGCTCGGGTTCTTTTGTTTGGCAGCTTTGGATTTGATGGGTGAACTTGAGACAGCTTTATCCGAGCAAGATAGACTCGATTGGATCGAATGGATCTATGCACAACAAGTATTGCCTACAGCCGAAGAACCAGGTACCAAATCAATGTCTTTGGAATACAATGTGGCTAACGCTGGATTTATGCATCCATTAGACTTGAACAAGGCACGCTGTGGATTTAGAGGATCATCTTTCTCAGGTATACCCTTTGATCCAAATGCTGTAAGTACATTCATACATGCATGCATGTTCTTTCTCACTCATCCATAATGTATACTAGACCCATACCGAGCACATACCCTATGATTCAGCCCATATTGCCAATACCTACACGGCTTTGATCAATCTTTTATTACTTGGGGATGATCTTTCTCGTGTCAACCGAGAGGCTATTGTGGAATCCATTCGTCATTTGCAACAAAAGGATGGCAGGTAAGTAAACGATCAAGAGGAATGGCTTATTGGAAATCTCACGTGGTTACTAGCATTATCCCAGCGGAAGGCAGTCTAGAAAAGGATGCTCGGTTTCTGTTTTGCGCATGTGCAGTCTCATACATGTTGAATGATTGGAGTGGACTTGATTTGGATCTATCTCTACAATATGCAAAGCGGTTGCAGGTAAGGCGAATCGCCGTGATATGGAAAACGAGGGGAGTGACTCACTCACATGTATTTAGACCTATGAAGGCACCTTTGGACAAGCTCCTGATAATGAGGCTCATGGTAAGGCGAAGGATGGATTATGAAGGAGGATGGTATTGACCCAATACATGACACACAGGTGGATCTACATTTTGTGGTGTTGGCGCTTTGACGTTGATGGGCAAGCAAGAGGAAGGAATACTAAGGAAAGAAAAGATGATTCGATGGTGCTTGAATCAGCAGACAACCGGGTTCGCTGGACGGCCAAACAAGGATGCTGATACCTGCTATTGTTTTTGGATTGGTGCTGCCCTTGAGGTAAAAGCTTCACCTACGTATCTTTATCGCTCTCTTTAACACGGCTTTGGTAGATGTTGGGAGCCTTTGATATGGTGAATCATTCCAATTGTCGTGAATTTTTACTCTCCTGTCAAACCAAAATTGGAGGATTTGCAAAAGCCCCAGGAAACTTACCAGGTATAAGAAGAAGGGTTGATGGGTCACATGTTGTATATAAACATTGACATCGTTCATCTTTTTTCTAGATGTGATGCATTCCTACATGGGTGTAGCTGCTCTCTCTTTGATGAAGGAACCAGGCATTGGTCCTATTGTAGCATCCATCAATGCACCACTCACTGCCATGGAACGATTACGCAATACTCGTTTTCACCAGGAGCCTACGACTTCCCCATAATTTTTTGATTATCCCACATTCATGCAAGCCCATTGTTTACTATTATAAAACCATCACCTGCTTTGTATCATTATTTCCCATCACTTTCCCATTCTCTCTCTCTTTCTTTTCGCACATCATCACTTTTTACAATGACCAAAGCCATTGGTATTGACCTGGGTACAACTTACAGTTGCGTTGGTGTATGGGAGAATGAGCGCGTGGAGATCATCGCCAATGATCAAGGCAATCGTACTATGCCATCTTATGTCGCCTTTACTTCTTCGGAACGATTGATTGGTGATGCTGCAAAGAATCAAGTGGCTGTAAGAAAGCATACGTACCATCACTTTGATAAACACACCAACTGATCTCTTCTCCTACTAGTATAATCCACGTAATACGGTGTATGATGCCAAACGCCTTATGGGCCGCCAATATGGTGATCCAGAAGTGCAGGAGGATATGAAGCAGTGGCCTTTCCAGGTGGTGAATAAGGATGACAAACCCATGATCCAAGTGGAGAGCCAGGGCAAGCAGCGACAATTTGCACCAGAGGAGATTTCAGCCATGGTCTTGAGCAAGATGCGTGAAACAGCCCAACATTATCTTGGTGATGATGCAGTGGAGAATGCAGTGATCACAGTCCCTGCTTACTTTAACGACTCGCAACGACAAGCAACCAAGGATGCTGGTACCATTGCAGGCTTGAATGTATTGCGTATCATCAATGAACCCACAGCAGCCGCTATTGCTTATGGCCTCGACCATCAAGAAGAACGCAACGAAAGCCAACACATCCTTATCTTTGATTTGGGCGGTGGCACGTTTGATGTTTCATTGCTCACGGTGGAAGGAGGTATCTTTGAAGTACGCGCTACGGCTGGCAACACGCATTTGGGTGGTGAAGACTTTGATACACGCCTCGTCAATTATCTTGCTCAAGAATTCAAGCGAAAAACCCACAAGGATGTCACTTGTAATCCACGTGCATTGCGTCGTTTGCGAACAGCATGTGAACGAGCCAAACGCACACTTTCATCCATTGCACAAGTGACTATTGAAATCGATTCTCTTTTGGATGGCATGGATTTTTATACGACCATCACACGTGCACGTTTTGAAGAGTTATGCAATGATCTCTTTCGCCAAACATTGGAACCCGTGGAACGTGTGCTCAAGGATGCCAAGATTGACAAGGATGACGTGGGCGATATTGTCTTGGTGGGTGGATCCACTCGTATTCCAAAGATCCAAAAGATGGTTGCTGGTTTGTTTGATGGCAAGGAGCCAAGTCGATCCATCAATCCTGACGAGGCTGTTGCTTATGGTGCTGCCGTACAAGCTTCCATCCTTTCTGGTGAAACATCCGACAAGATTGACAGGGTGCTTTTGATTGACGTAACGCCATTGTCATTGGGTATCAAAGTATGTACTATATTATATATGCGTGTGTATGAAAGAAGCTAACCATGCTATGTATGTATGTAGACAATGGGAGGCATCATGTCCACCTTGATCAAGCGCAATACCACTGTGCCCACTCGCAAGTGTGAAACCTTCACCACTGGCAGAACCAACCAAATGAATGTCCACATTGAAGTCTATGAAGGTGAACGTGCACGTACTCAAGACAACAATCTTCTCGGTCATTTTATGCTTTGTGGCATCCCTCCTGCACCTGCTGGTATTCCCAAAGTGGAAGTGACCTTCAATATTGATGTCAATGGTATCTTGCATGTGAGTGCACAAGAAACGGCTACGGGACGATCCAACAAGATTACGCTTGTCAACAATGGAAGTCGCTTATCCAATGATCAAATCGAACAAATGGTGGCTGATGCTCGACGTTTCAAGGCGCAAGATGATGCTGCTGCTGCCCGTATCCATGCAAAGAATGCACTTGAAAGCGTCATTTACCAGTTGCGAGAGCAAGTCGATCTTGTTCATGGTGTTGGAGGCATCGTGGAGACATCAGATGAGTGGGAACGATTTGAACAAACATTGAATGATACCATCCATTGGCTCAACCAACAGGAGCATGCGACTCGCCAGGAATATGAGGAAAAACGTCAACATCTTATGACCCTTGCCAGACCTATTTTGAGAGCCTTTAGCAATCCCGCTCCCTTTTCTTTTCTTTTTTCACCTGATCATTGATCATGCATCACACACCTTTAAGCATAGCTTATTCTCACTCACTCACACACATTCACACATTCACAAACATAGCGATGAAGCTTCGATTTGCGTAACGAACAAAAGCAAAATGAACAATGGCTAATAATAAACCTTCTTGGTTACACAAGCTAAAAAGACCTTGTCAAAGATGGAAGCGTCTAGGCATGGTGGGATTCGAATTACCAAGGAATGATGTTTGTTTGTCTATCTCATGTTGAAGGGGATGAAAGTGTCATTTCCTGTAGACTTGGGATTGTCATCCTAACAAAAGGGAATGGTTACATGTGCAAGGCAAAGAATGGGCAATACGAAGTCATTTGCATTGAAAGCAAAAGTCAAATTATGCATTGTATTAAAAGTACTTTTTGTAAATAAAAGAGGCATATTAGTGAATAGGCGGTAGTAAGATAAAACAGTAAATGGTAAAAGCGTAATAACACAGGAGGGGGTAAAGAGACGTATGTCATCATTATTGACAGCAATGATGGATGCTTTCAAGGTTGATGTCTTGTTTGGGGGGAGGGACGCGTCATCGCGGTGATTAATGTGTGTGGGTGAGTGTGAGTGTGCGTGGTAGCAAAAAAAGAAGAGAGGGGTTGGGTAATGATGATGCTGATGATGCTGATGATGGTGCTCATGCTCGGGTACATCGATCACAATCTTCATCCACTCCTAAAGCCCGCCCACACACCGAGCAGTTGCGTCGGCAATAAGGACAATCCCAGCCTCGTTGTAAGGGCCGACCACATCCGCAAGTGGCAGGACCATCACTAAAGCTGTTACTGGATCCATCATCATCGTGTGGTGGTGGTTCAGGTGTTGATGGTGCTGTATGGTTATTATGGGGTGGTGGTGTAGGTGGTAAATGAGGTGGTGGCGTGGGTGGCGATTGTCGTTGTTGGTTAAATGAACGTGATCGAGCATCCTTTTCATCATTTTGACAGCATCGTAATCCCAGTATTCGGGCTATGCAGTGTAGAATGGCTTGTATGTATTGTTTCAATTTCCGCAGAAACATGATCGACGTGTCAACTCTTGTAATGTGTATCGGTGATTGTGTTGCTTAGTTGGCGTGTTGTTGTTGTTGTTGTTGTTGTTGTTGTTGTTGTGTGTGTGTGTTTTTATCAAGGATATAAAGGATGAATAGTTGATGTCTGGTGCCGGATTGTGATTAAATGAAAAAGGGACCTAGCACCCTTTTATAGCATACGATGGCAGAAAAGTAGTCAGCGTCAAAAGCTCCGCAATAAAAAAAAAGACGAGCCATCGAAGAACTGAGTCAAGGGATTGCGTATGTTGGATGATGGTCAGTGTTTGTTGGGGGGGAGAGGGTTGTGGTGGGACGGGGGAGAACAAGGCCTGTCTCTCTCTAAACATATCTCATGATGATGATAGCTCGTAGCACAAATTAATTGCAACGAGCCAGTTGAAGCACATGGAATTTATTTCATGGTGGGTCGCTGATAGAGGGGGATGACGAGCCATGATATCACACAACCTGATACTCTATACACTACACACGCCATAGATGCTCAAACACGGCAATTGACCCAAGATGTTGGGAACTTTCTTATTTACGTGGTTTGTACAACGTCCTTGTCAATTGTGCACCTTGACACATATCAATAATAGAAACACAACGTGGGCCATGACCCACAATGACAATCATGTTCAGCCACGCGCCACCAACAGCGCTTCATACGCACCACGCTTTTCACCGCAATACGCCTAATAAGGATAGACACATGGGAATACAGATTTTCAATAACTGTACACAATGGACAGCAGCGGCGATCCAATGGTGTACAGGCATTACGATTGGTTCCTATTGCGGCACTCGACCTTTACTACGTAGATCCGCCACGTGGAAATGAGCAAAAGGAACCCCGTGTCAACAACTGCTTACGACAGCAAATATGCTTTTCGAGAACCTTTTCACCGGAACTCACGGAAACTATCTCCTCATTTCAATTTATGCCTTAGCTACCATGCTACCGCTTTTAGTCATCCTTGGCATGGTTACTACGTAACCGCTACCACCACCACCACCACCCCATCTTTATGCCAATGTTCTCTTTTTTCGTTCTTTTGGATTAACCATATCAGGCACAAATCATGCCATTGGCACCATAAAGTGTATCCATCATTATGTATATCCCGTTACAAGAAAAGAGAGAAATGAGGGTTTGTTGTGGTGTAGGACATACGTGGTCAATTCAGCTTATCTCAGGACTATTGGCATGTTTATTCATTAGCAGAAGCAATTACAACTATTATGCTTTCAAGGAGTCAAGGATAACACCTGATGATGATGGGCTGATAGCTCATTGGCAGTGATCACGTGAATTGAAGATGTGGGTTCGGTACGCTTGGCTTGAAGTCCCGCAACCGCTTGTCTCTCGTTCTCTGACCCGTGTAATGGATCCACAACAACCCATCGATGACGAGCAACGCTTCCAAATCGAACTTGAATTTGTACAATGCCTCGCCAATCCCTGGTATTTGAATCGTATGTTGGGTGGAAGAGTAGTGCAAAACAAAGAAAAGGTCAACTCATTGGTGTGGAATGCATAGACTTGGCACAGCAGCAATATTTCAAGGATGATGCGTTTATACGATATCTCGAATATCTTCAGTATTGGAAAAAGCCCGAATACGCACGCTTTGTAGTGTGAGTGGATATGGTTTCTATGGAAGATGTGCATGATGATGGGCTGACTCGATGATGGTAGATACCCACACGCTTTGTATTTCCTCGATCTTCTTCAACATCCGCAATTTAGAGATCATATCACTACATCTGAAAACACCCAAGAGATCCATCGTATGCAGTATTATCATTGGATGTATCTACGTAACCCTCCAAAGACTACCAATGACAATCAACAACAACAGCAATCCACATCATCACCACCACCGCCCACAACATCTGATGAACAACAACAACAAGCAGCACCACAAGGACCGACACCATCATCATCATCACAACCCCTATTATCACAATAAACGATATACAATTTTTATGATACTTGTTGATCGACTACTTGTTTCTCTAATCGATTAAACTCATCAAATCGAGCAGCGTATTGTTGGGTGGTTTCGAGATCAGGTTCACAAATGAGCTCAGGTTCATCGGCTTGCTGTTGTTTCATCATGTCTTGGAAGGCTGCTTTACCATGTAAGGTACCATATTTAGCAAGGAGTGATCCACCGAGACTTGCACTATTCATTCCTTTTTGCTTGTAAACAGGAAGGCCGAATACATTGGAGAGGATCTTTAGGATTTCATGGTTGGCAGCAGCACCACCTGTGGCAAGGATACGTTTTGATTCGACCGTGGTCATACGCTGAAGACGAATGCGCATTGATAAGAACTGTGACTCAACAATAGCACGTACGTTGGTGGATGGATCTTCGAATTCCTCTACAGGTTGACCCTTTTGGAAACGATAGATGCCCTTTGCAAAAGGGATAATCTCTTGCATTGAATAATAAAAGCCCATGCAATCGTTTGCTGATTTCTCTTGCAATAACTTGTTGAATTCATCCCAATCGCCGTGTGCATATTGATCACGAATGTGTTGTCGTGTAAGTGATCCATTCTTGTAACACAACATGCCCATAAAGCCTGTAGGATCGGTTGGATGGGCCATCAAATGGGCTTCTGTGGTGGCCTTGGCAGCGCCTTGCTTTAAATAAACCAACACCGTGTCTGATGTTCCCAATGATACAACACAATCACCCTCTTTCAAGTTCATGGATACAAGTGTAGCCGAGTTGTCACCCGTAAAAGGCATAATGCCACATTCTAGTAGTAGGTATCATCATCATCAGCAATGCCATTCTATAGGATGGATCCCCTTTTGATCCTTCTTACCTGGATGAAATCCATATCGCTCAACGAAAAAGGGATGGATCTTTCCCAATTCAACACCACCTTCAACAGGTTCCAATCCAAGCTTATCATGTAACGAGTCACCACCACAATGCTTGAGCAGCTTGTCCTCCCATTGATGCGTCTGGATATTCATGAGATTGGTGCCTGAGCCTTCGGGTGAATCCACAGGAGCAAGACGACCCAGCAACACGGATGCGATAAAAGAGCTGACAAGACTAATGTGCTTGGTTTCATCATAGGCGTCACGTCGCGTATTATAGATCTAATATGGATGCATCATAAGCTTTCAAATATCTCTTTTTACGTGTACGCACACGAAAACTTACCTTTGCAATTTGGTTACCAGTGAATCGTTCATAGCCTTTTGAACCTGTCAAATCCGCTAGTGCTTGTGGACCACCAACAAGGTTCTCGAGTGATCGGCATTCTTTAGTGGTGCTTGCATCTTGCCAAATGGGAGATTGATCAATCGCAAAACCATCCGATAACTGCTCCGCCAGCGTCTTGGTGGCATCCAAATGATGCAATGCCTTCATACCACGTTCACTCCAATAAACACTGCCATGTTGCTATGGATTCCATTTAATCATCATCATCCTTCTTTGCTACAAATGGATGTCTCTATCTTACCTGCCCTGCGCCCGAGATGCCCTGGATGTTACCAATAATTGAACTCTTTTTGAGTCGTTCAAACAAGATATCCATGGCCTTGACCCACATCAAGGTTGGTGAAGTGACAACGTCGCCGTTTTGAATAGCACCATGCTTTGTACCAAATTCAGGGAGATCCCGATCGAAATTGACAGCTTCCTCCAGCACGATCGCGTGAGCGTCATTCATGACGGTGCATTTCAGTTGTTGGGTTGACAAGTCAAGGCCGAGATAGTAAGCAGTGCCCGTGGTCATTTGTGTTGTTGTAGAAAGAGAAGAGGTAGAGAAAATAAAGAAAGGTTAATGCGCTGAATGATATAACTGCCGCTGGGATTGAGGCACACACACGACGCACTAAAACTGACATGTGTGTGTGGAGATGGTCCAAGAGCTCCCAAAAGGGGCCAAATTGGATAAAGCTCCGTGTGAAAAGATCCGATTGGGCCATTGTTTCTTTCCGTCCCGTCACTTTCAAGGTACATCCCAGGTGATACGGTTGCTACCCAACCATGTCAAGGTATTAGCTTAGATCTGCTTATTCGAGGATACTTTTGATGCAATAAAGTTTCAGTCAATTGGGTCTATTTGTTGCTGCATACATCAATGAACGTTGCCGTTTCATCAACACAATAATAATGGTGATTCATGGATCATGCCAAGATGAAAGCTCGATTCATTATTGATTCAATTATAAAGGACCAGTTTAGAGATGATTAAGCATTGGTCATTGTGAATGACAATGAATAGTCAATAAGCGACTCTATTGCTAAGTGAAACAGCTATACAAAGTGTGCCGTTTTTCTTTGTGTAGAACAACCCTATGGTGGATGTCTCTTGTGGTGCATTTAAATTGCAAATTTACAATCTACGTATGGATCAATTACCTGTAATTACACAAGGCCGGCACTCTTATGACCGTGGAACCATTCCATTGGAGGCTCATAATCGATTTAAGAATGTCATGAAGGATGTGGCCGAGGAAAAAGGAAACTGTAATAGTATTCGATGCCTGTTCCTTATAGCTACAAGATCGCCTAGTATGTAGGAAGACCGATTATTGGGATCGTAATAATGAAATAAGCTCCTTTGATTGACAGCAATCCAAATGATCGGACAAATTCAGCATCGTCCATCCTTCCGCAAAAGTGGTCTATCCACTGTACACATGGCGTTATGCGATGCCAAATATGTGGTAGAGCACTCGATGACATCTCATGATGGAGAAGTAGATGAAAATGGAAAGCGAATGAGGAGACGAGTCATGTAGTTGACGGATGTATAGGGGTTGTTGACGATGTTAATGTTATAGCACATATAGCAGCGGGTGCTGCAAGTTAAAGCAAGCAAGCAATCGATGGGCCCTTTATTTCCTCTTGCCTATGTGTGGAATGAAAAGGAGAAACCAACATGACACAAAATGAAACGCTCGTGGTTTGCAGATCTGGAGCATCTCCATCCTTCTCCCTGTTCTCGAAATTACATCCTCTCCTACTCTCTTTGCCCTCCTCCTCCTGCTCCTTCTTTCCAGCCCCCTCCCTCTCAAACACAGTAATTCATCTTTCTCCACGCCTATACGTATCCCTTTATCCCTTTGAATGTGAGACAATGGACACACATTTCTGCATGTGATCGTGAATAGTAATAGTGATTGCCCATGATGGCTCGTTTTCTACAGCACAAAATGTAAAGAATAAACCCGTCATCATTAGAGACAATCGTCATCATGCAAACACAAAGATCGATACGTAAAATTTCGTGAATCTAGAAGCAAGCGACACAACGGCATGGGTTGCGTATATGTTATGCTTGATCCAAACGCCAGGAAGATTGTGACCCCCTATTTTTTTACGCCATCCCCATTTGCTTGTAATAGAACTTTGATCAAATTGTGGTGAAAGTGAAGAAAGTTAAACAAAGACGGTGATGGTATTGATAGTTAAGAAGCATATTACCAGCAGCATGGGATCCTCTATGTGCGGTTTTTTTTAGATCACGCATTGATGTGTTGGGAAGAGGAAGACACGTATGTAGGACCCCGATTGCTTGCCAAGCATGAGCTATATATTCATGCATTGCTGGGATATATAGTTGCACATGCATCTATCTCATGTAGATTGTTTTCCATTGTATCCAAAAGTGAGAGAGATAGAGATGGCAATAGAAGTAATTAATGGCCATTTGGAAAGAAGGGACATGCAGGTTAAATGACGATTGGCTGACTGTAATAGGCTGGTACCCATGAGGCTCATCAGGAGCTATACAAAAAGGAAAGAGAAAATGGGTATCGAGTAGTATTGTTCAAATGTTTGCTTTACGTACGTATCATCCATTTCATCGCGAACGATATGGCTCTTTCCAACGTGGTGACTTTACAGCTTGTAGTCGCATGTACATGCGAGCGACAAAATGTAGCCACAAACAATATGGAGAAGCCGTTTGGTTTATGTTCTGTCCCCTTAGCATTGGTGTGGTGTTGAAGCCCCTGGATTTATTATGGCAATGGACTTTTTCGTATTTCTTTAAAAGGGACCAGTGAAATGGAAAGCCCATTCATTGAATTTATTCTTCATCTTTTTTCCCTCCCCCAACAACCCATACATACCTTTTTCTCTTTCTTTTGCAAAGGCATCACAAATCAACAACCTTCATCTACTACTACTACTGCTGCTGCAAACATCTTTAGTTTTTCACATTATTATGAGCTTCGAAGTAGATCGTCCCATTCGGCTCCTTGCTGATCCTTCCGAGCTACTTAAAGACGGCTTGAATCATCACGCATTGACCAACCCTGCCAATAATAATAATCGCACAAACACTAGTTGTGTATCGGATCTGCCACATCACCATCACGTACAACAACAACCATCCACAGGCAACAGTAGCACTGCTGCAGGTGTTTCCTCACCCACTTACAGTATTGCAAGCAGCTCGTTGAGCAGTAACAGTGCTGCAAGCAGCACCATTTACAGCAACTCCTCAGCAACACACGATGGAGCCTATGATGGTGGATCGGACAGCAGCAGCTCAACAAAGCAAATAAATGGCGTGAGCAACAAATCAACATCATCATCAAGCAATTTATACATGTATCAACACGATGTATCACCAAGGCAACGTGGGATGAATTATAATAGTAAATCGATGGGTGCTGGAGGAGGCTATGATAATAAGCATCTTTTGTCTCCTGTGCCTGATTGCCTTGATCATGATCCGACAGCAGCAGCAGCAGCAGCCGTTGCAGCTTGTACTTCAGGAGTGAATGAACATTGTACCCCTACACCACGAGTCCCCTTGCCAACGCCACCAGCATCTGGAGGAACGCCACCGCAGCAAACTTGGCGAGACATGGATCGTAGGTATGATTTTGCTCCAAGATCAAGCATGAGCCATCCTTATTGGGCTCCTTCAACAACCTCATCCATGTGTATGCCACCTGCTGCTGCTGCACCACCCTTGTATCATGAACTTTTGCCTCAACAACAACAACAACACCCATCTTATTGGATGAGTTTGCATCATCAACAACAACATCCTATTCCACCATCCTCATCCTTGTTGGAGAGTCGACGTTCCCCATATCATCCATCATCGCATCATCATCATCCTTATCCAACAACAACAACAACAACAAAAAAGTCTTTGCATGCTGATCCTGGAACCGCCAACAAGGTTGTGAGTAGCACTGCAACCCCACGTCGTTATAAATGCACAGTCTGTGTCAAGCGTTTTACACGACCCAGTTCGCTGGCTACCCATATGCATAGTCATACAGGCGAGGTAAAGTGATAACCCAGCTGTTATGCATCATCATCATCCGCTGACGTTCTTCTCATAGAAACCTTATCAATGTCAAGTGGAAGGTTGTGGACGTCGATTTTCGGTGGTGAGCAACCTACGTCGTCATGCCAAGATCCATAACAACCAATCCAAATCATCATAGTAGCATATCCCTTCTCCCTCATCATGCATATAGCTGTTGTATATCAAACTCTTTTTTTGTCTATTTTGTTCGAGTATCATCATGTATGCGTGCTTGCACGCACAACACACACACACACATAACCCCCTTGCGGTGTTTATCCTCTTCTCTTCCTCTTTCTTTGATATAGCATATTCAACGCTTCACACCCCCTTAAATGTCGGGAATCACAGTAATTAGGGCAATTAGCTGACTTACCCCCTTGTACGTATTTGTTTTGCTTTTCCTGTTCTCTCTTTGGCCCCCTTTTTATACATACATTTCTTTTTCTTATGCCATGATCGGGTTGTTTAGTCACGCGATGTGGCATCATAAGGAGTGTGAAAAAGGTATTCAAAAGTCAACTGGGGCAATTCACTCTTTAGTAAAATGATGCAATCAACATTGTAGTATAAAAAAGTGTCTCTTTGTTTTCGTAACTAGTGGATGATAGCTGAGCAACTAAAGAAAGAGAGATGGTGGGGGGAAGAGGCGTTGAGCACAAAGCAGGATGCAAAGTGATAGATGGGATGTGTGTGTGTGTGTATAAATGTGATTGTGTGTGGATGTGATGTTGTCATTTGGAATAAGCTATGGGGGGCATGTGATATATCTATTGCTCATCATCGAGCACGACATCCTCTTCCTCTTCAAGATACTCTTCATCCTCCAACATTTCCTCATCATCCACAGTAGCTTCCTGGTATTGTTGGTATTCGGACACCAAATCGTTCATGTTGGATTCGGCTTCGGTGAATTCCATCTCGTCCATACCCTCACCAGTGTACCAATGCAAGAAAGCCTTACGGCGGAACATGGCAGTAAATTGCTCATTGACACGCTTGAACAATTCTTGGATGGCGGTGCTGTTACCAATAAAAGTACCAGACATCTTGAGACCCACAGGAGGAATATCACAAAGCGAGGTCTTGACGCTGTTGGGAATCCATTCCACAAAGTAAGAAGAGTTCTTTTGTTGAACAGCCAACATTTGGTTCTCAACCTCCTTGGTGGACAAACGACCACGGAAAATGGTGGCCACCGTCAAATAACGACCATGGCGAGGATCAGAAGCAGCCATCATGTTGCGAGCATCAAACATTTGAGCCGTCAATTCAGGCACGCTAAGGTTGCGGTATTGTTGAGAGTTGAAAGCGGTCAAAGGAGCAAAGCCAACCATGAAAAAGTGAAGACGAGGGAAAGGCACTACATCAATGATGAGGATCATGTATATATAGAATACGCGTGATGTATGTATAAAACTTACCCATGTTGACAAAGAGCTTACGAAGATCAGAGTTCAATTGACCAGGGAAACGCAACGAGGTGGAGACACCGGACATGACAGCCGAGACAAGTTGGTTAAGTTCACCATAGCCAGGGTTGGAGAGCTTAAGAGTACGGAAGCAAATGTCGTAAAGAGCCTCGTTATCGATACAGAAGGTGGCATCACAGTTTTCAACGAGCTGATGGACCGAAAGGACGGCATTGTAAGGCTCGACAACGGTATCAGAGACCTTGGGAGAAGGAACAACCGAGTAGGTGCACAACATACGATCGGGGTATTCTTCACGGATCTTGGAGAGCAAAAGAGAACCCATACCAGAACCAGTACCACCACCAAGCGAGTGAGCAAGTTGGAAACCTTGGAGACAATCGGTGTGTTCGGCTTCCTTGCGAATCACATCCAAAACGGATTCAACCAATTCGGCACCTTCAGTGTAATAACCCTTGGCCCAAGAGTTGCCAGCACCAGATTGAGCAGAGATGAAGTTGTCAGGGCGGAAAAGTTTGCCGTAACCACTGCCACGAATAGCATCCATTGTTGCAGGTTCCAAATCCACCAACACAGCTCTATATGAAGTAGTAGTAGATCGATCGATCAGCTTCCCTCGTCCTCCTTATTGACTACTACTACTACTACCACCGCCACAAAGCTTACTTACCTAGGCACGTATTTGCCGGAAGAGCCTTCGTTGTAATAGACATTGATACGTTCAAGTTGAAGATCATTGTCACCAGCATAGGCACCCGTGGTATCAATACCATGTTCTTGACTGATGGTTTCCCAGAACTTTTGGCCGATCTACAATAGCAGATGAACCTCATTGTCAGTATCTATGCCATCACGTCGTTGAGTCGATATCGACACGCACTTGGTTACCACATTGACCTGTATAGAAAAAGAAATAAAGAGATGAGCTCTACTGCTGCCATTGGATACGCGTTGAAAACAAACTCACCGGCTTGGACGTGAATGATTTCTCTCATAGTGGATGTAGAATAAAAAGACAAGGAGCTATCAAAACGACAAGAGAAAGAAAGTGTGTTAAAGGGGAGAGCGAGCTTTCAGGAGTTGCAGAAGCAGCCAATGGCCAACACTTACGATTAAGTGAAAGATGAGAAAGGAGGGGAAACAAGGAGCAACCCAAAAAAGCGCGTTCGGACGACTAACCACACGTGCGCGAAATCCACATTTGGTTGTACTCCGTGAGCTCCACCTGAAAAAAAGCATGCGACGTCCTACACACCACATGTCAACTTAGACATACATCTTGTGATCATACATTCAATCGTTAGGCACCTGTGTATACACCTCACTCTATTATCATCAAAAACGATATCGGTCGTCATAGTATGTAGCTTCCCTTTTTCAATCATTTAAATAAAGTACTATGACGAGGATGGAAACTAATACAGCTCACTTGCGTTGCCGTTAATGCATACTGATGCATGCATTGGAATGCATCAGAGCCAGTCATTGATTTTGGCGTCACGTAAATGGAAGTAGTAGTAAAAGTCCATGCTGCATATGCATAAATCAACAAAAGTTATATGCACAACGCTGTTTGCCATCCTTTCTTTCTTCCTTTTACGCCGTTTCTCGTCTCCAAACGAATGAGTGAAGAAAAACAGCCCGACGATAAGAACGATATTGATCATGCTACTACTACGATGATCGCTGATGAAAAGAAGCTACTTCGAAAGATACAGCTTTGCACGATCCCTTTTATATGCCTTGTATTTTTTATTGAGGTGATGATCCTTCTCTATGCTTGCTGCCTCTTCTTTGTGCCATCCTCCTCTGACAGCAGGAACATCTTCTATTAACACCACTGGTACAAAGTAGTACATTGATAAAATATCGTTTGGCTTGTCCGGTGTGCTTGGCATACTTGAAGGCACGCATATTACACATGATCAATTTGGTCAGCTGGGCACCATGTTTTATGTTGGCTTTCTTGTTTTTCAGGTATGTATGTATGTAGAGAGGAGCTCCCTTTTGATGCATGATAGATAACAATGATTTCAACACCAGATCCCAAACAGCTATTTGTTACAACGATTACCTACATCAAAGTATTTGGGCACGGTGATTACTCTTTGGGGAGTTACCTTGGGTTGTATGGCCCTGGCACGGAATTATGCACAATTAGCCGCCATGCGCTTCATTTTGGGAGCGCTCGAGTCCGTGAGCTATCCTGTAATTACCATGAACCTTTAGTATACGACAAAAAAAAAGTGATGATCTAAAGGTATTTTGTTTCAGGCTCTCTATCTGGTGATTACCACAATGTATCGACGCTCCGAACAAGTGACATTTTTTGGATTGGGATACGTATCAGGTTGCATTGCCGCCCCAGTGGGAGGATTGGTAGCTTTTGGTAGCGGCCAACTTTATGCATCGCATCTCTCAAACATCCCTGGCTGGAAGTGGTTTGTGCTCATAGCAGTACTAGTAATGCAACCTTGGATCGCTGATGCTATGTACATAGGAACATGATCATTCTCGGCAGCGTCACCGTAGTGCTTGGTGTTTGTATATTTACCTTTCTTCCTGATAAACCCACGTCAAGATGGCTTCGTCTTCAACCACACGAGTATCCTATTGTAGCGGCTCGGACACATGACAATGGCGTTGTTGCAAATAGAAAGCTTCAATGGTCCCATGTCATTGAATCGATACAAGAACCACGTTTCTACTGCTATCTGGCCGCTGTGACATTGGGTAACGTTCAAAACGGCTGCTTGCAGATATTTGCATCCATGTTAATCAAGGAATTGGGATTTACTGTACGTCGTAGTATATAATATGCATCTTTCCCCATTCCCTAATAACGGTAATAACATCATAGATTTTATGTAGGGTCTTGATGCCACTCTGCTACAAATCCCTCTTGGTGTATTCAATGGGATCTTAGTTGTTGTCTTGTCAAAAGTATCTCGAAGAACAGGCGAGATCCATTATGTCGGCATTCTCGGCACAACCATCTCGCTTATTGGTGCAATCATCCTTTGTGCATTACCCAATGGCCCAGTAAAGTTACTCGGTGTCTACCTGGGTCCCAATGTCTTTATAAATGTTTTCTCACAAGCTTCCATCTCCTCCAATATAAAAGGATCAACAAAAAAGATCCTGTATACCAGCATCAACATTATAGGATATGGCTTGGGCCATCTCTTGGGTCCGCTCATGATGGTGGAGAGCCAGCAACCACGCTATATTTTGCCGCTCATAGGTTACATCATCGCCGACATTATAAGCATTGCATTGGTCTGGTACTTACGGTGGTCCTTTAAACAAGAAAATAGAAAGAGAGAAACGATGCAAGGCGCATGGACGCCTTCATCATCCGATAATGAAGAGCAAGATTTAACAGATAAACAAGATCTTTACTTTAGATACAAGCTATAATAATAACATGCGCTATGTACTGTACTAATAATGGCCGTTTGTCATTTTATAAAAGTATTGGGAGGAGTTCTTGGTGGCTATTTCAATTTGACGTGTGCTATCGGTTGTTATCATGCAGGCTTGTAATGAGGATCAATGAATGGCACATACGAACACAAAGAACCATAACAACAAATGTACTTTCCAATCATGGTTACAGAATAAAAGATGTTGGATATTGATGCTTTTGATGAAAATGATTATAACATGGAAATCAAAACATGGGTGTGTGTGTGTGATGTAAGGTTAAACTCTAATACAATAATGGGTGTGCGTGCGTGCGTGTGAGTGAGTGAAAGGGGAAGACCAGCTTCTTCATCTATATGGTGTGTAATCGAATGCGGCGTCCAAGAGAAGTCATTCTTTTTACAAACGCGTTCGTATTCTTATTGGTTGTGGGTTCCTCCTCCTCTTGTACAGGTAGCTTTTCATGTTGCTGCTGTTCTTGAAGAGGTTGTTGTTTGTTGTTACGACGACGTTGTGAGAGACCTCGACTTAATTTCTTCAAGGCGGACTTGGATCGCGACAAGGTAGGTTGTGGTTGCGGTGGCAATTGTTGCTGCTGCTCCAATAAAGGTTCTTGGATCGTCAACTGAGGTAGACTCTTTTGTGCTGCTTCCATTTTGGCTGCAAGACGACGTCGAGAAGCAGCGGCATCACGATGACCCATCGAACGAGCACGTCGTATTTCTTGTGCTTCCACTACCACCGGTCGTAACATTGTAAAGCTGCGTCGTTTGGCAAGCAAGTGATCCTCATCATCGTGTTGCTGTTGTGTCGTTGTCATGGAAACCTCTTCTTGTTGTTGTGGTTTTCGAAAGGATGTCTTGCGAGCTACCATCACTTTGGCAGTCGATGTCGAACAAGATGAAGTACTTGAAGCGACCGAACATAAAGAATGTTGCGACTTGTTGAAAAGATGATCTTTTGCTGGTGGTTCAGGTGGTTCAGATGATTCAACATATTGGAGAGAGGGTGAAGATTTTGAAGCCTTTTTCTTATTGCCTCTAACAAGGGAAGCGAGTCTGCGCATGGATTTGCTGCGAGATAGGTTGTTTCTTGTCTCCTTTTTATCATTGTTGGATCCATTAATAGCAGCACCCCATAAACCCGCTAAAAAGTCGGAGCGCTTAGTGGTGCCTGTATTAATTGGATGATGCTGTAATAAGGATGCTGTTGTTGGTTGTGATGCACGTCGTTGTTGTTGTTGTTGATGATGTTGCTTTCTATATGCCAATGAAGAAGATCGTGTTGGTGGTGGATTGGATACTGCTGCTTCTGTTGCTGCTGCTGACGATGATGATGATGGAGGAAGAGGAGGTAGCGCATCATCTGAAACAAATGAATTGGACCATGACTGAGACAAACGACTTTTCCTTTTTGGTTTCTGGGATAATGAACTATGCGGAGAGGGATCGTCGTCGAGTGTGAATGTTTCGAAAGTCGGGATCAGACCCATAAGCGAATCATTGGATAGGCGCTTCCGTTGCTGGCATTGTTGTTGATGTTGATGAGGAAAAGGCAACTCGGGTAACTTGGGTGCCGTGTTGAGTTTGATATCCACTGAGAAATTCATATCAAAGAGATTCATCATATCACTCGCCATCGCTTGCACCATGGATCCTGATAACGCAACTCCAGTATCGCTAGTCCAGCTAAGACGATTCCTGCTACGTACACTAGGCGTCAAGCTTTTTCGACGAGGCATATCTTCTATCGGTGGATTCTTGGGTAATGGCTTATCAGCCAAAGAGACGGGTGGCGAAGGTGGAAATGATGATGATGGCTGATGATGATGATGGATCATTTCTGATGACATGGTTGCATGGGGTTGTGAAAACATGGTCGATGCCTCAGACATGGTGGATCCACTTGCGTTCCTTATATCCTCTTCTTCATCAACCTCTTCTTCATCATTGGGTCCCCACATGTAATGTTCTTCCCATATACGATCGGCTTCTCGGTCATCATCATCATCATCATCGTCGTCGTCAAGGGGCTGGAATGCTTCGATGGTCTGCGCATATTGAGCAAAGATCTCTTCAAGGCCTTCTTGAGTCATATCAGTAAGGGATCTAATGAAATAGAATTAAGCATATCGATGCATCCAGGGGTGGGTGGGTGGGTGTGGGGTTGTACAATGGTAGTGGTACGACTACTTACTCTGGAGTGAAGAATACCCAACGTGTCATTTGATTCAACCATTCAGCAGGTGTATCACGATAGAGAACTTCAAGCATGTTCTTGACGAGAGCAGTCTTCCTCAAGGAATCAACATTGGGTGGAGCAAATGTCAATTGGGCCAGTTTGTAGTTGGAGATTGCAGCCAGCTGAATCGGGTTATGCATGGCAACCATCTCAGCAAGCGATGCCGATGATGGGGGAGGAAAGGAATGGAAGGAAGACTCGCCATGCATGGCGAAGACTTTATAGAGTGTCGTTAAAACAAAGGAGGGGAAATAGAGCTGAATGCAGGAAAAAGAATAGCAATTGCCGTCTAATCCAGGAAACACAACATTGGACTTTGAAATGATGGTAACACCAACAACTTGTTTTTCCATTGCTTGGGCTGCATGTACAAATTACAACTTTATTGCCTGTGCCAACTGTAATGTAATGCTATCTATCATTCGACCTTGTATGATTTTCTCCATTTACACTATTCAACCTCTTGCATTAAATAAAGGGTTTAACAAAGAGCATTCAACAAAAATGAAATGTACTATGTATGTAGTAGTAGCTCTCCATTGTATCCTCGGCAGTATGTACCTTGTAGAGAAAAGGATAGCTTAAAGCGTGGAGGAGAGTGATTATCATGGACTTCTTTCATCATACACATACACAAAGACATTATTAATGGGTATATGTATCCAAGCAACAATAAGTGGCAACCAATCATTCGCCTTGCCTGACGTTTCGCACGGAGTTGTTGCCGGGAACACGCATTAATCGTGATATGCGTCTGGATGTATATCCGACCACGTGCAAAGCATATATTAAGCTCAATGACAACACTGTGGGAGGGGTTTTTTTTTACGCTGTATTCATTGTAACAAGTCGGGTGATTTTCAATGCATTGATAATAAACAAGGCATGTTGAATAGAGAAAAGAGCGGAAATGCTGTGTGCGGTAACACAATCCCACACGAGAGATCGACTATCAATAAGTAATATAGAGTATAGAATCAAAAAGTGTTAAAGGACAATCAAAAAGGCAAAGAGTCAACCGATAAAAAAGTGAAACAAGGCTCCTAGTAGCAGATTCAACATTGGGGGCAATGCAATACGCGCGGCATGACGTGACTACTGGCATATTAAGCTTAGAGTCAGTTCAGCTAGATTTGGGCTTGCTTGGTTGGTAGCATACATCTCCTTTCCTCGTATTATTCACCCTCTCTTTCTTTCTCTCTCTTTTACACGCTCACTTGCAAAAGCAGCGACATTACGCAAACCCATTTGTCAACGTCTTTTTACTCGGCAACTTTCACTGCTTGTAATCTCAAAAAAGACTAGCCGGCATTTACAGTGACAGCAGCACACATTGCCCATCGACACTTGCTTTTGCATTTCAACTTTTATTATCTCGACTGCTTCTCAACTTTCCTTTCCAAACGAGAAACGATTACTGTTCAGCAACAGCTTTATCTTTTCAAAGGCATGTGGAGAGAGATGATGGTGCGCGTGAATCCTTGTTCCCCCCCCCATCTTACCAATACCTCTTTACCATTAGGTCTAAGCACTTGCAACAGCCTACAACTACTTGAACGTTAGTCTCTTTCTCTTTCTTTTGACGATCGCACTTTCGGTATGTATATACATATATGGACTCCCAAACATAATTCAACTTGACTCTTAACCGACCGGTTAGCATACCCCATAGTAACGGGCGCATCAAAGGATCGAGACAGCGTTGTTAAGCCTACTTTTTAAAGACACTCTATTGAAGAAGACAATGTAAGGAGAACCAAGAAGGTATGATGGTAGGATTGATCCTAATTTGCATTGTTGTGTGTAGGGGCGACGATATTGATGCGAGGGAAAATATATTGAGCAAAAGGCTACTTGAAGCCGGATGCGAATGCTGTGATTCTTCCGCCACACTCCGTGAATTATTGGCAGACGTTGTCAAGGATATCCATGAAAAGGATGTTGCTATCGCGTTGGGATGTATGGCGCGAGCTTATGCAGATATCCATGGTACTACCACCACATCCGGAGAATCGAATTGGAATGTGGAAAATTTCGTTGCAGTGATTGTTGATTTGGTATGTAATATGGGACTACATCACACCCCACATCCACACACACACCCATTGACTTGGTTTATTTCAGGTACCTACCATTGATTGGGAAAAGGTGATGCAGAGCTTGGATTATCCACATTTCTTTGTCTATGATGCCAAGGGCTTGGGAACCATTGTTCGTGCATGGAAACATTGTCCAAAGGTAAATTTCATTGTATACGGCAATAGGGAGAAGGAGGAGGACTTATTAAAGAGGTTTAGAGTTCTGAACCATTTCCTGCAAACATCTTTTTCGGCAAATGGCGAAATCTCAAAGGTCAACTTGGTGCACTTTATCAAATGGTGAATGCTCCCAGCGATCTTCTCAGTTTACCAGCATGTTCGGAGGCAAAAGTGATTACCATGGATGACTTTGGCGAATCCAGCACACACATCCAAAACTTGGCAGCCCAATTTATGGACAATCAATTGAACTCTTTGGATTTGATCGAATGCGTCATCGGGTTAGCAGAAACCGCCATCGTGGATGATGTCAAGGTGTTTACGGATATGATGGTCAACAAGGCTCCCGAGTTGGTATTCCTTGGTTTCCTTCAATCCAAGGTAAGTTATTATGAAGGAGGAGGAGGATGGTAGTAGTATAGATGTTAATCATTGATTTAGATAACGATGCCAGTGTACCATAAGGATATTCTCGGGCGCCTCTTGTTGATGTACATGACAGGCAACAGCAGCAGTCCATTGGTGCTTACCAAGATGTGGCAAATCAATCCCGATTTCTTCACGAGGAGTATTATGGATATGTACAGTACGGATGCCAACATGATATCAAGGATATTGGATATTGCTCATGAGCTTAAAGTATGTATAAGTGCAAGGATGGTCAATTAGCATGTTTACTTATGATGTTCATCATAGATCCTCGATTACATGTTGAACTTGCAGCCCTATTTCTTCTCCATTGATTTGGCAGCATTGGCATCTCGACGCGAGTTTTTGAATTTGGAAAAGTGGCTTCAAGAAAAGATTGCTGAGCAAAAGGATGCATTCATTCGTGTGTGTTTGGAATTCCTCAGTCAAAAGGTGGCGGCTGAAATATCACGACAAGAGGCCAATGCCACACCGCAGACAATTCCTTTACCCGTGGAGATCATTGGTGTTTTCTTAAAGGTGCTTGGTGAAAGGTAAATGGAGAACATAGGGATAAGGAGGGGAGGGGAAGGAGTTTTATCTAACATGTGAAGGATAGTCCTATGATTGCAGAGAATACGGAGCTTCTCAAAGAGGTGCAAACAGTGTGTCTTCAATCCTATCCAAAGTTGATCAATATTCGCGGCAATACGGAAGGAGGAAGAGGATCGAATGATGCGGAGGTGACCTTTAGTCAAGACATTGAAAACGAGGCCAATTCCTATTACGAGCGGATCTACAGTGGTGAAATGAGTGTGGATCAATTGGTGGAACGACTCAAGGCCTTTAGTCAATCAAAGACAGCTCGTGAGCAGGACATATTTGCATGCATGATCCATAACCTTTTCGATGAATACCACTTTTTCCCAAAGTACCCTGACAAGGAACTCTCGATTACCAGCACGCTTTTTGGATCACTCGTACAGCATCATTTGGTTTCCTATGTGCCTCTTGGTATCGCTCTTCGATGTATCCTTGATGCGCTTCACAATCCAGCAGGCTCCAAAATGTTCAATTTCGGTTTACAAGCCTTGTCTCAGTTCCAATCTCGGTTACCCGAATGGCCCCAGTATTGTGTCAATTTACTTCAGATCCCACAGCTGCAACAAGCAAATCCAGATTTGGTACGATTCATTGGCACATCATTGCAATCAGCTCAACCTGAGAGTGGAGCAGGAGATGCTTTACCACCACAAGATATACCCACACAACAAGCATCTCAAGTCCCTGATATTTCATCCTTGACTGAAGCAACAGCAGCAGCAGCACGTCCTACTGATGTTGAACAACAACCACAACCACAACCACCCTTCACATCCATTCATTTACCCGATATGCCATCTGATAACATCAGCTATGAGACACCCACAGAGGCTATCCAGGACAAGATCCTCTTCATCATCAACAATATCGCTCGCAACAATCTTCAAGATAAGACAGCCGAATTGGCCGAGGTGCTTGATAAGACTGCTTACTTGTGGTTCAGCAACTACCTTGTTGTCAAACGTGTCAGCCGCGAGCCCAATTATCATGAGCTGTATCTTTTGGTGATGGATGCCATGAATAGCCGATTATTGTACCAGCATATTTTGCGAGATACCTATGCCAACATTCAAATCCTGCTCAATTCTGAAAAGACTATAAAGTCATCGTCGGAGCGAAGTTTGCTAAAGAATCTTGGATCATGGCTTGGTGCAATTACCTTGGCTCGTAACAAACCTATTCGGCATAAGAATATTGCCTTCAAGGTAGGGTGTGGGTGGTATACGTATACGTATGTGATACTAACATGGGATGATATTAGGATCTCTTACTGGAGGGCTTTGATAGCAATCGTTTGATCGTGGTGATTCCTTTTGTATGCAAAGTCTTGGAGCAATGCAACAATAGCGTCGTGTTCAAACCTCCCAATCCATGGTTGATGGCGATCCTCAAGTTGTTGGTCGAGCTCTATGAGTGTGCCGAATTGAAGCTTAACCTAAAGTTTGAGATTGAAGTATTATGCAAGGGGTTGTCACTTGAGCTTGAAGGTATGTGCACACACACATCACTTGGTCCATTAGGGGGAGAACATCACTCACACACAATCCTGTAGAAATCGAAGCGACATCCATTCTCAAGAATCGACCTTCCAAACAAGCAGGTGGCCTACCTGAAGGCTTGGAAAAGATGCATGAATTATCAGCTGGTAAATTCCCCGGGCCCAGTATGATGTTTCCAGGAGGTGGTGGAGTCTTGGATGGAACAAGCACGGCGACGGAGATGGATGAATCAGCATTCTCAATACCCAACATTGCACCTTATCTCGTGTTCAACCCACAAATCATCTTGTATTCATCACAACCCGCTTCCAAGCGATGGGTACTACAAGCCATTATGCAATCAATACGCGAGGTGAGTTATTGTGTGATTCGCATCATCAACCCTATACTGATCTCTTCTTCGTTTGGTAATAGATTATTGAACCTGTTGTTGAACGCTCAGTGGCCATTGCGGCTGTTTCTACACGTGAACTTGTCACCAAAGATTTGGCGGTGGAACCTGATGAAAACAAGATGCGTAAAGCGGCTCATTGGATGGCACAAAATTTAGCGGGAAGCTTGGCTATGGTGACATGTAAAGAACCGCTTCGTATGAGCATGGTGACCAATTTGCGAGCTATATTCATGTCCAATGGATTGACAGACGTATGTTGTTATGATCGACTCCCTTATATGATTACTGATACATACTACCTTGTTTAGGCCATGGCAGAGCAAGCGGTCTTGTTGACGGTTTCCGACAATTTGGATCTTGTTTGTGCAGTGATTGAAAAGGTGGCTATGGAAAAGGCAACAGGCGACATTGACGAGGTGCTGAGGAACTCGTATGCCAGTCGAAAGAAGCATCGTGAGCAGCGACCTGGTCAACCTTATTTCGATTTGGAAGTGTATTCAATGACGAGATACCCTGCTTCGCTTCCTGAACCTTTGCGAGCCAAGACAAGTGGATTACAACCCAATCAATTACGTGTCTATGAAGATTTTACACGTATCCCAAGAACAGCACAACAAGTCCCTGATGCAGATCGACCGATACCACGTGCTGATGCTGCTGCTGCTACTACTACGGCTGCCATGTCCTCTTATGGTTACAATGCAATGGCCCCTACTACTGCTGGTGCTGGTGGCAATACTGGTTATGATGGCATGCCCATTCAACCCAACGCCCATCAAATTCTTGAACGCTTCACCCAATACCTTGCCGAATTGGAAAAACTTGCCAGCCAAACCAATGCACCCAACTTTGCATCATTGCCGCCCCTCCATGATATTCGTGTGATTATTCGTCAAGTGCCCATGTTGGCATTATCAAGCTTTGACAAGGTGGAAACGGCACGTGCTTTTGCCCAAAAAGTAGTATCCCTATTATACAAGAGCGAGACTCAGCTTGTACGGGAGATGTACGTTGTGTTATTGGAACGATTATGCGAGGTGTCTCCCAATGTTGGCACCCTGGTTACTTATTGGCTTACGCATGTGGATGATGAGAGGAAATACAATGTGCCTGTCACGATTGCATTGATGAAAGCTGGGTTGATCAATATCGCTGAACAAGATCAAGAACTCGGATTACTTGTTGATAGTGGACGAATGGTTGCCATTGACTTTGCTGCTATGCTTGTTCATACATGCATCTTTGAAGAAAACATTGCTAGCCCTCAAGACTTTGTTGTGTCTCTGGAAGCCATTAGTCGATTGCGTGGCAAGGTGCCTGACAGCGTACTTGTGTTGATGGAAAGCTTACATGGCACCAACCAAAATCGTGGCAAGGATATCCAAGATGAGGAAGCCGGTCTTCGAGAGCATTTGCAGTATCTTTTTGCCGAGTGGATTCGTCTTTGCCAACATCCCTCCACCACTGAAAAGGCCCAAAACACTTTCCTTATGCAATTGTCACAACAAGTGATTTACAAGAGCGAGGATATGTCGTCATTGTTTTTCCGATTATGCGTGGAAATGGCGGTGGATCGTGCTGCAAAGTTGAAACAAGTGCCTGGTCAATCACCTGGTGTCCCTTATCAGCTCATTGATGCCTTCTCCAAGCTTGTCATTGGGCTTCTCAAGATCCAAATGGAGTCAAACAACTCAGCCGCCATGGTCAATCAATTCTCAAAGGTATTATCAGTCATTGTACTCGTCCTTGCACAACACCATGAACAAGGTCGCCATCAATTCAACCAACGTCCTTTCCTTCGACTCTTTACTTGCTTGCTTGGTGATCTTCACGCTGCTGAACAGCAATTCCAATCATCCTACCTTGCTATATTGAACGCAATGAGCAATACCTTCCATACACTTCAGCCTACCTTTTTCCCTGGATTTACATTTGCATGGCTTCAACTGATATCGCACAGACTCTTCATGCCCAAGTTACTCTTGACGGAGAATCAAAAAGTAAGTATATAGATATCCTTATCGTGTGCATCATCCATTAACCTTCTGTTTGATAGGGATGGTCTAGTTTCCACAAGCTTCTCATATGCTTATTCCAATTCCTGGCACCTTTTCTTCGTGGCGTGGAACTCAAAGATACGACGCGTATGCTTTATCGGGGATCGCTGCGTATCTTGTTGGTGTTACTGCATGATTTCCCTGAATTCTTGTGCGACTACCATTTCAGTTTTTGCGACGTGATTCCTGAATCTTGCATCCAGCTACGAAACCTCATCTTGAGTGCTTTTCCACGCAATATGCGATTGCCTGATCCATTCACACCTAATCTCAAGGTCGATCTTTTGCCAGAAATCAACCAAGCACCCCGTATTCTTTCCGATTATGTGGGACCCCTCGTAGCGAACGGTGCCAAGAATGAGATTGATGGATTTATCAATGCGCATATGCCAAAACGATTTGTAACCGAATTGGTGAAAAAGCTACAATCCGGCAACGGCAACGGCAACGGCAACAACAACGTGGATCAACAAGGTGGAAGATACAATATTCCTTTGATGAACTCGGTTGTTTTCTATGTGGGCGTCAAGGGAATCTCGCTTGGTATCCCAGTGAATCAAGGTGCACCCATGGAAATCTATCAGCATTTGTTGACCGATTTGGATCCAGAAGGTGAGTACTAAGGTAGTCATAATGCAGCATGATCTAATGGGTGTTGTAACCTGTAGGTCGATACGTATTCTTGAGCGCCATTGCCAATCAGTTGCGATATCCCAACAGCCATACTCATTATTTCAGCTGTGTCCTCTTGTATCTTTTTGCTGAGAGTGATCAGGAGGCGATCAAAGAGCAAATAACGCGAGTGTTACTGGAAAGGCTGATTGTGAATCGTCCACACCCTTGGGGTCTTCTCATCACTTTTATTGAACTCATCAAGAATCCAAGGTATAACTTTTGGAACCACGCCTTCACTCGATGCGCTACCGATATTGAACGCCTCTTCGAGAGTGTCTCAAGGTATGTCTTTTAATTATCTTGGTTGGACTTTACTAACTTTTGGTCTCGTGACACTTGCAGATCCATCAACCAGATATAGAAACAAAAAAGTGATTGTATCATAAGTAATAGTACCATAATGTAAAAAGCATTGTTTATCTTTTTTCCTTCCACATTTGAAATCAACATTGGGCATGGGGTTATGTATGTACGGTAACATGTCAAAGTGGGAGGATCCCATTTATGTAAAGTCTATTACAATCTATTGGGGTGCAAATCCTGCAAAGCTATCCATGTAATAATCGGGTCGAACTTCGCTTGAAGATGATAAAACTTCGACTTCGGATGTGACACCTAGGTGTGGGATGAATGATGAAAGGATGAGTGGATGTGTTTTTCAACCATGTGCTGTCATGAACGTACCTGTCAACACACACAATGTCTCGATGCCACCCTTGACACCAAATTCGATATCCGTATCGAGACGATCACCAATCATGCATGTTCGCTTGGGGTCAAGATGATACCTATAAACGTAACATGTGAACATCCACAATCCCAGTCAACGTTCCTATACACGTACTCAGCGAAAATGGTTTGTAACATGTTTTGTGCAGGCTTTCCCAAAACAACATCAGGGTCTCGGTTGAGTGCCTTGATGATAGGAGAGGCAATGGATCCAGCACCTAAATCAAATCATGGTTACCATCCAGCCATTATCCTATTTGACAAGCCTCTGCTTACCTGGAAGAATTGAGCCATCTGTGGGATATGTGGTATCACCATTAGTGAGGATAAAGTGACAGTCAGGGTTGTTCTTGAGATAAGTGAATGCCTTGGCGTATTTGACATAATTGACGGCAGTATCCAAGCCAATCACAACAGCGCCCACTTCAGGGTCATGGTCGATCTTTCCTTTGAACTCGGCATGGTTATCTTCCTACAACAACAACATCATCATTCATTATCATTTCAAGGGTAGCATAGGGGCCAACAATACACTTACATCAGCACCGCATGTACGGATGCCTTGAGCTTGTAATTCCTCTCGAATACCAGACATGCCAACAATGTACACCTTTTTATCATCAGGAAAGTTGACCACGTGCTTAAGATAAGCGGCTGTTGCAAAAGCCGAGCTGAAGATCTCATCCTACAAGCCATATGCGTCAACACATGCTTCCTATGTTGTTGCCCTGAAACTACTTACCAACGAGGCCTGAATGCCAAAACCCTTGAACTTGCCAAGGAACGCCGCACGCGACTTTGTGCTATTGTTGGTAACAAAGAAAATCCTCTTTCCTAATCATCCCCCCCATGGTCAGCGTCTTTGTCTTACTAACAATAGACGTACGTACCTCTTTTACGAAGCTCCTCCATAGCCTTATCCACCCCAGGTATCAGATCACTGCCATCCCACAGGACACCTGGGAATCCATGCATTCACGTTAGCCTCATGTCATGAACGTAAATAAAAAAAGGCACACTTGCCATCGCAATCGAAGAGGAAATTGTCAAACTTGTCGAGGAAAAAGTCTCGTTCAACTGAAGTCAATAGTTTCTTGGTCATGGAAAAGCAGCGATAAAGAGCGGGAAAATGACTACAAGCCAATAAGACATTTGGATCTACCAATGCTTCGGAGCAGCTGGATCATCGGCTTTTCTTTCTAAAGCAGGGATCTTGGTACATACGCTAGAGAGCATCACCCCCATAGTAACATCATCTTATCGATAAAAGGATGGTATGTATATCACTCGTGAGAGTATTCGTTGATCATGTCACGTTGAAAGTTGCTGCTTCTTGTTATCATCCAGGCACCACCAAAGACCTTAGGTACATGAACACACGCATGCGAAACTAAAAGAACATGATCTTCATATTGCAACAGGACAAAAGTATTTCACTGGGGAGTCCTTAATCATAAGGATAAGACTTTGGATCGATTGTAATCCTATATCTTACTAATCATCCTGCAATGGTACAGTAGGCCCGGATAAACGATTCGATTCTCAATGTGCAACCATGCATCTTGTTCGGAAGATAAGCGCACTGATACATTGTACCACAAAGACGTCGCATTATGTTTCAAGGTGTAGGATACATATGGAGATCATGACTTGAGGACTTGGCACACGACATGCATCACAACCAGCAGTTGCCAGGATACAACAAATCCACAGCATAGCACCCTCGCAACGCCGCGATCAACTAGTTGAAAAACACGCTCTGCTTTGCGATCAAGGCATCAGAAGGAGCGTACCTGTAGCGAATGCGACATCGTGAACAACGATCCAAACGTGCTTCCCTTTCAACTCTTCTTTGAAACGTACTTCCCCTTCAACTTTATCACTTGCATTTCGCTTTTAACGCGTCGATCGACAAAGATTCTCCCTCTTTCAACACTTCATTATGGCAAGCTCTTCTCTCTTCAGATCTCTCTTCCAACACTTCAGTAGATCCAAGCCCTTCTCTCTTCAAGACTCTGTCAATGCCTCACTAGATCAAGCTTCTCGAGATCCCTCTTTCAACGCTTCATTAGAGCGAGCTTCTCTCTCCCTCCAGATCTCTCTTTCAACGCTTCATTGGACCAAACTTTTCTCTCCCACGAGATCTCTTTTTTCAACCCTTCATTAGACCAAAGTTCTTTGTATTATCATTTGCTTTATTGTATTATCACATAAAAGGACATTATATAAGAGCTTTTGGTTTAAAAGGAACGTTTATTTAAAAAGACAACAAGAAAACTACAAGTGGCAATTGGTTTCGACAAGTCTTAAGGACTTGTGTACTCACAGGGATGACCAACGTGAAGGTTTGCCACACCATCCCCGCCCCTATAGCTGGTGGCACTAATTCCAGCCAGGAGGAGGTCTTAGCTAGCATCGACCTCAATTAGGTTTCGCCACAGAAAGATTACTGCTGGGGGGGGAATACGGGGAGCAAGTAAAACGATCTGAAGTGCGGGGCACACTGGGACGTGCGCACACAGAGTTGGTGTGGCACGCGTGTGAACTGGCAAAGGTTGGGCGTTGCCAGGAAGAGGAGGAGGGTACGGGCCAAGTACCGTGATGGCAAAGGCTGGGCGTTGCCACAAAGAAAAAGAAAAAAAATGGGGGCCGCGCGTTCTTGGTTTTTATACTTGTCCCCACAACTCAGCTGGCGGCTCCTAAAAAGTCGCCATGGTTACACACGTGACCATAGCGACTGTTGCTACCCATAACAACAATGAGACAACGAGAACAGTGAATCGATTATAAACACCCTTTTATTTTTGATGATTTGTATTTTACACGTGTACTACTCTCTGTGTCAAAAAGATGAAAAGATGATCCGGTGCAGCAGGTCATCCGCATTTGCAATGACTTCTCTACGTGTGCTTTCGACATACGGTCTATCTTGAATGTTCGTGCTATGCCTCGCAAAGCTTTTTTTTTTATCAAACTTGGTTTTATGAAGATATTGCCATCATGATAAAGTAAAGTAGTAGGGGAGCTGGATATATAGAAGACGTTCCGAATGATTCAATCACGTTGTTGTCACGTATAGAAGATCTCTTTATTTTTATTCCAAGTCAATGTTTACCCTCTTGACATCAATTATGATGCTCCTTACATAAACAAACGTAGGATCATCGTCTTGTAAACATTAAACAGCTCATATCGAATTGCTATAAACCGCTGCAAACTGGAAGGCATCATTCAGCATGTTTTATTCACGTATGATCCATTATTGCGGGTAATAGAGTCAAGAGTACAGGTCTACTATATTACTAACAGTGTCGTGTCGTGTGGGTGATGAGCACAATGGTGAATGAACCACATAAGGGATGAATCGATATGATGACGACTTGGATCCATTGTACTCGCAGCTGAGAAAATGACGATGGATCGTGATCAGGATGCGAGGTCATTGTTGCCGTTGTCCGTTGTTTGTGGTGGCATTATTGGTTTCCATCATTCGATCGAGTACTAAGAACTACTGCCATGCATCCAATCATCAGATTTGCCGGGCGTGGTTCCTGATGCTCATAATCGGTCTCCTCATTGTCCAATCCACAAGTAGCTCTCCTCACTTTTTCTCTTGAAATGATCCATCTTCATTGATAATCCTCATCATCGCTGTCGTCGCTATCCAAAACACATGCAAGCGTCAGGATCTTCATGTACTCCTTTGCCACAGCTACTAACCTTGTCGATTTGAATCATGTGCCGCGATCCTTCAAGTGGAGCATTGAGTGTTATGGTAGTACGTGAATGTAATGACGAAGCAGATTCCCATTTTCCATCGCATGTTGCAGCATCCTCTGATAAGGTAGCATCATCGACAATGAATCCCGCTGTGTGGTACGATAACATTCTTGACATGATATAACCGAGGGAAAGTCTCTTGATCCTGTTGTCATTACACACCTTCCATCGTAAGTGCACTTGCATGCGACACATCCCATAATGAACACTTTTACCTTGGGTGCTTCTCAATACCATCCTTGCTCAAATAAAAACCTTATCTCCATGTCATCCATATTGTGCTGTTGCTGTTTCATTGTAAGGTTCGTTAATCCACAAGTCTTGCGTTGTAGATCCCATACCATGCGTACCATTTTGAGCCAACGTATAGCATTCATGCTTTGAAATCAATGTCTTGTTGCTGTCGCAGGTACCATAATCCAATGTATTCAAGCTGCAACAAATGCAATGTAAGATAACAAGGATAGCATTCGCTTTTCGTGTAGACATACCCAAAGTAACAACGTGTACGGACATCTCGTTGATAACAACCATAAGAAGAATACAGACGACACACGACGCCCCCCTTGGACCTTGTATAAGCGAGAGAACAGAAAGCTACATGTAATCTTTAGTATCTCAACGTCCAACTTGAATAATAAAGCAATGCAGCGATTGAACGTACTTGTTGTAGTATTATAATGAGAGCTTGAGTCATGGGGTAGATCGCACGCGTACTAGTTGTTGAATGTCTGCAACTGGCAAGTGTCGCCATTGACCACCTGTTCACCCAATTGACGTTGTACATTGAAAGGAATGCCAGCTGTTAATGTGTTGTAGTTTGTAAATGGAGGCAAGCTTACCTTGCTTTGTGAAGTGGGAGTGAAGAAAGAAGGGGTTCTCTGTTGTTCCTCTCAGTGTTCCCAATTTGTGCACTACGCGCCACCCCGCTTGCTACAGTTGCTGTTGTGAAGATGTACCTCAACAATAGCCTATACTCTTGGTTCAACAGTAACGACCACTACTCGAGAGTTAAATTGAACACATTCCTTGTAATTAAGCGATACATCATTTTACTGGGGCGGGATTGACGCCCACCAAACTCGTGCACATCAATGCCGATCGACACTCCAGGATTTGTGCAACCCAATACACGACCCTCCTAGCAATCATACAAAATGCTCCTGTATAAATTCATTGTCATTGTCGTTGTCATAACGAACAGCCTTCTCATTATTGGATGTTGTTTACTTACGTACCTTCACAAAAGGCAATCATCATCATCATCATGCATTTGTGCAGCAACCTGTCAAGGACGTGCTTGTGTAACCACCACGTGCCATTTCACTCAGCTCTTCATCTTTCCGTTAATGCAGCTGACACCATCCACTAGGAGAAAGCAACTCCACCACGCTTACAGCATAGTGAAAACATAAAGGTGCCTGTATCTCCAAACTTTACAATGAAACGTGGGGTCTTTCATAGCGCAATGTGCTCGGCTTGGCCAACAGCACCTTGTGTGCAAGTTTCACGTTCATCGTGGCCATTCCCAGATTTCGCAATGTCGCTACCAGCCAACTGGATCCTGGGGTCGACCTCTTGAATTTTTTTTCGACGACCAAAAAATATTTTTTGGGCTGTTTGCGACATTGACCGTGAAACTTGCACACAAGGTGCTGTTGGCCAAGCCGAGCACATTGCGCTATGAAAGACCCCACGTTTCATTGTAAAGTTTGGAGATACAGGCACCTTTATGTTTTCACTATGCTGTAAGCGTGATGCTATATGAAGAGTGGTCTTTGTTCATTGTCAAATAGCTAGACCTTGGAGAGCCAAAGATTGCCGAGGGTCGTGTTGTGTAACTTGAGTCAGTCAGCGGAGGGGATGCATGATACTTGTACACTATTTAGGTATAGTTCCAAAAACGCCAAACACAAAACAGCATCCAATTTTAGAGAAATCAAACTGATTGATTATTTGTAATGCCGGCTAGCAACCCATTCCTCCCATTCACCTTTGTTGCCCAATACAATGCATATGAACGATTGTCCTGCTCCAGCCCATCATCCCCATCGTTCAACTTTCTCCATCCGAGAGGATTTGATTCAGCAACACTCAAACAAAGAAATAGCATTCAACATCAGTTCAACTCATTTTAATTTCCACTCTTCCACTCTCGATTTCTTTCCTCTTCCTCTCATTCTCAACTGTTGGCCCCATTTAAGTATACAACTACGACCTGCGAACGATTGTCCTGCTTCAACCCATCATGTCAACCCTACGAATGCCTTGATCCGATTGTCTTTGACTGAATGTCAAGTCCATGGCATGTACACAGCCTTCTTGTCACTCTACTACAACACTTGAATCGCTTGACACAACACGCTCTTGCACGCTCCTCGGCCACAACCAAACGTAGCAGCATTCATTCCAGCAATTGCTATTTACTCCAATGTCTCAAACAGCATTCACAATCATGTCACTCTACTACAACACACGCTCTTGCGCACTCCTTTGCACGACCAAACGTAACAGTCGCATCCATTAGCAAGGCCTTTACTCCATCGTCTCAAGTTTCTTGCAGCAACTTGCCATGCAGCCTTCTTTTACGTGAACAGGACATAGCCGTTGTATAGAAGCAGCTTTACGTACATGTAATACATACGGATCCCTATGGACGATGCCATATCAGCTATCAATTACTCCTCGATACAGCTATCCTCATGTGGTTGAGCTGCGATAGAATATGACCAAGCAGTGATTGAACAACAGCCGGATGGAAAAGGAAGCGATTACATGGCTCTTTTCAACCAACACATTGGATTTGCAATGGTTATGGATGGATGGGTGCACTCAAGGGCAGTGATGAGAAATGTTGGATGTTGCTTCAATTACTTGGCACGTTGTCAGCAGGAAGGATGGGTCATGTCACATGATACAGCTGCGGATGATGGTTGATGGGATGGCAGTGACGAGTGGTGTTGTACAGCAATGGATGGTATTGGAATAACTCAAATCAAGATACGCAACAACTATTTTGCATTCATGGGTGGAGATGTTTATGACAACAGCAACCAAGGATACAATGACACAATGATACTTGTCAACTCTAAAGTGATTCACCGCTACCTTATTCAACTTGCAATGCTATTCCTTTATCGTATTCACTTGATGATAAGCACCCATACTACCACGCTCTATTTTTCGACTTCCATTGAATGAGCATTGTATTCAACATAACAATTAAAGTATTCATACCATTCTATCAGCTCACGTTTGCAAGATGAGGATCAGGTGGTTGTTTTCTGGATTGATGGTGAGACTGGGTGAAGTTGAGTTGCAGGGGAATACACGCGATATTTGAAGGTGGGGAAACGGGATGCATCTTTACATCGTCGTTTGTATCGAGAGACTTTTGCTACTTTTGTCGCCTTACATCCGTCACTGCTCCTGGTTCATAGGCGACTTAAATGATAAGTCTCGGCGTTTCTCAATGGATTGAGACATGTTTAATAAACATTCGTATTTATAATAAAGATAAACTCAAAGTGATAATGTCCAACAGTTGTGGTAGTTGCATGAGCTTGGTTCCTTGCATGGACTCAATAAGCCATCATGCTCTATGTATGTATCCTTGAAATTGGTACACCAGGACGACATTCCAACATATTCAGCTGTGACAAGTTACGACCAGCGATGGTATAATAAGCATATAGTTGGTGGGTATGTATATACATTAATACAGATGACGAGAATATTTACAAGTGGACTAAACACAACCTATTCTTTCTTGAATACTTTTGCAAAGCTTGTCGGAATCGAGGTGTATCCAGCGTTTCCCGAAAATTCTTCTTCCATGCTTGGTGATCAAGACTAGGCCCCGTTGATTGCAGTGTTTGATATACATCCAAAAGCTTTGCAAGATCATTTAAAAGATTGGCGAGTTCTTGGAGCGAAGTAGGGAGAGTGACTTGACAAAGTTCGGCCAGCACATATACTCCTTCATCATATAAAGCTTGGACGTAGAAGGTGATCTTGCATCCTACTCGATGTTAAAAATAAGCTTTCTTCAACCACCTAGACAATGTGTATCTTGCTAGGTCTTACCAATAACTTGAAACAAGAGCACCTTATTTAGCTTATGATGGTCGATTGCATCTTTGCCGAAAACAGCTATACGGACAAAGTCCACTCCCATGCTCCGGCTGTCTGCATCTTCAGGCTTGACCTCTCCGAATACCCTGCTCCTGGTAAATTGCATGTCCTCGATATCACTTAGTATTGCATCCGGGCGCTCAACACGAGTCGTGCGGCATTTGCGTTCTTCGGCATTTGTTTCTGGCCTACTTCCTAAATTAGCCATCCAATACCAAAAAGTCGAACCTTTCCGCTTACCAGCGTAATCTGCTCGAGTAGCCACTGAAAATCGGACGTAAAATGATGTCCACAACCAAAGCAATGATGTCATGCTCACCCAACTTCTTGATCATTGGCACAGATGGGAACTCCTCAAGCCTAATAGATATGATGGATGGATACACTGGTCAATGCCATGGATAGATTTCACTGTAGCAATCTTACTCACATGTTGATTACCATACGTATTGCACGATACTCGAATGATTGGAACTTGTACTGGGTGATCAACTGAAGACATGAAGCCACCACAGACTCTCGGTCGAATCCAGGACGCTTGAGAACCTACTATTGCCTTTAATAACCACAATTTACCATGAATCCTGCAATAAATACCTTTACGCACTCCGTAAGACCCTTCAAAAACTCAAGGTCAAGGGCGCTGTCAAAGCAACAGTGGTTATCAAGAAAATTGTTGTACATTGAGTCGAGTGCTTGCCGGCCAAAGATGTCGAGCTGTCGTCGAGAATACTGGCTAGGTTTGAGCAACAAAATGTGATTCAAGGATCTAAATTCTTGATTGAGAATCGTGAGATGTATCAACAGAGAAGGTGTTGGATGCTTACAACAAATCATGCAAGTGTGTTTCAAAATAAAAAGTCGTGTCTCGCTCCTGTGTAACCACTTCTTTCTTGTACGTGTAAAAACGCTTGGCAATGGTGGATGCTTCAAGATCAAGTGCTGGACCAAGATGGATCTCTGGTTTTCTCAACATCGGTGGTGGGCTGGAAATCAATGTGCACTAGTAATAGATGCAATCCGACATATGCTCAGTGATAAATGCTGGAATCATATAAGCTTTTCATCACCTTTTCATCATCATTGTCTTCATTTTCATGCGAATTGCCATCAGCTTGATCGTCAACTTGGCCGGTTGCTGTTTTTTGGCGTTTTCGTGATCGAACATCGGGCTCTCCTTGATGTACCGCTGTCGTAGAATTAGATGACGACTCACCAAAACTGACAATCGAGCTATCCCCTTGCTGGATATGATAGCTGTTATTGATGGGAGGTTGATGTTTCTAGTGTTTTTAGTTAGCATCGTAAGAGCTTTTGATGTTATGCAGCCTTACTGTATCTTTCAAATCTTCGATTTTCAACTTGACGGCTGTTGGTGTGTTAGGGTGCTGTGCGATCGTGTCAAGCGCGTTCAAGTAAGCAGATTCGAGCGTTTTTTTTGACGGGGGATTGGTAGTTTTGGTGAATTGGTCTTTAAAGTGCTTGAAGTCCCAATGTTTGAAATCGGTCAAGGTGAAGAACAAAATGTACTTGTCGTGCCCACTATACGTGTGTCGATAGCCGTCAATATCCATTGTTCAGAGAGGAAGAGGGTCAAGGACGAAGGCGGATTGTGATCTGCAGCTGCGGAAATCTATGCCGCACATTGAATTGATGCAAGCGTGCATATGTGTTGAGGGATGCAATGACCGGACAAAAGAGTACCGCACCATTTTCCTCTCACTGAAGTTACCTTTGTAAAAATGAACACAAGTGCCACCATTCCTCTCAGCCTAAATCGTATCCCAAAAGAGGTGTGAGCATGTTTTTTTATAGTGTAGCGAGCTTTATTCTTATTGAGATATTCTATAGCGACCCTTTTCCTCACTACCATTATACGTCATCCTTGTTGTCTTTGGGTTCCCCATATCGTGCATTTGAGATCCTTTTTGAGACTCCCATTTTATATACTACAGTTGCAGTAGACCATTGGGTACGTGTACTAGGATAGATGACCCCCTGTTATTGCACGTCGACTCGCATGGCAGGGTTTTCAGACTTAGGCCTTGCTGCTGGTTATTGTCAGACTGTTGCAATGGCAACCTGAGTGGTTGCCTTGATACTCCGCAACGGCTTTTTGGGAACCTGCTGCGTACCGTATTCTTTCAACCTCTTCCACTCATCGAACTCTTCCACTCATCTCGAACTGACTTGGCTCCTGGTATGAAGAAGGAGTGACAATAGGGTACTCTTGTTTTGGGACACTTTTTGTGATGGCATTTGTACTTGGTCAGCTTGGCATTGTGGAGCTTGGCCAGCTTCCCAAGCTGGTGACAATAGCGTCCTATGGGATCTTCTTTACACAACCCAACGATAGGCCGTGGCTCCAGTGTCAATATTGTCTTTTGCTCTCCCATATGCTGTGCTCTTCATGGTGCCAAAGAATCGACATTATGGCGGTGCTCTACATTGATGAGAAAAATTTGAGTCATTTGACCTTATATATACACTGACACTTGTTTTCTTTTGTTTAGTGAATTCCAGTATTGGCGAAATCTACGGCAGTCTTGGAATGACACGGTGACTGGGGAATCCGGCATACCACGTCTTAGTGCTCTATATTGGTACGAGTGATCTTTGTATAAGTTGGTCTCTAAGTTACTTGGCGTCACGCATCTATCTTTGCAGCCCAAGAATCGATATCAAGCGGCACGACTTTGGCATATCTTACCTATCGACATCAGACGGAACAATAATGGATTTTCGGTTCGGCAATATTGTCGTGTTCCAAAGGCACAGACCCACATCACTATCTCTACTTTGCATTATTGCATCATTACACCGAATCTTTTCCCCAGAATGCCATCTTTGTATCCTGACTTATATCATAAATATTCTACTTTATCCGCACATGAAAAAGCCATCATCATGGATAACGGGGAGACTGCCAAAACGTGTTCATAGGAACAATGACTGTGATACACAACAATGAAATGATAGCAACAACCACCATTTATGGTTGTCTTGGTGTGTGTATTGTGTGTGTGATCTGCATCCTGCCCATTACTCTCATGGCTAAAAGGAATGAAAGAAGATTCGAAACTTAAAAGCGTAACCAGTCCACATCCATGTTAGTACACATACAATTTTTAATGATGGAACGCAGGAAAAAAAAAGTATCTATCTACAACGTTTTACCCAAATCTCTCTTTTTCTTCAATGCACGCTCTGCACGATAGACCACGCGATCAAAAAGCCCTGCTACGGTGAAGATACCACCGACAATAGCACATACTCCAGTGAGAAAGCTGGTGAAGGAAGAACGTTCTTCTCGATAGATGATTTGCATAGGTGAAATATCCATGATGAAAAACACGCCTAATTTGTATTGGATGAGCTTTCCAATCACTATCCCCATAAATCGAACTTACCTGGTAATCCTGAAGCATGATCTCCCAACACACGATCATTTTGCATCACTGAATATTGATTGGTATATACCGATTTACCAGAACGTGGAAGCAACTCGGTGGATACGATCTTTAAAAAGTACTGATAGACGGTGCGTACTAATAACGAGGGCGAGAATCAGCAAAAGAAAAGATGCATCGTATCATCATTATACCTTTATCCGATCTTTTCACTGTACCAGCCAGGGGATCTGTTACGGTGGTTGTCAATGCGCGACTTGTCACCCAATGATTCGTCACAAGATCGCCGAATGTCAAGGAATGGATTTCGTGTGACATGTCAAATGAATGGCCGTCAGGAGCACCTTGCATATAGGTCTTCAAGTCGTGCACATGCATGTTGGCTTGTTGAAATGATTTTCCAGGTGCAATATGGAAATTGCCTCGCACCTTGTTGACCGAAAGACGTCCATGGATATTGCACCCTTCGTTCGATTGTTTCTCGATCTTTTCACGCCAATTCTCTCGCACACATTGACTGAATTGATCAGGATCGCCCATGCCCCATCCCATGTTGGCGTATGCTTCTCGAATCTCATCACATGTGTTGCAGCAGCCATCGGGTCGTACTGCCGTGGCACCATAGCAACTTCCACATTCGTTTTCATCTTGCTTTTGAAGAGCCATTTCAGCGCCATGGCTATTGTCACCAAGTTCTACAAAAAGACAAAATGAGTCTCCCATTCATCCATCCCTCTTATCCATTCTTTTTCTTCTTACTTGTCTCCTTTTGCTTGTCAATCAATTGACCCATTGAATCCAGTCGTACTTTGTACACGTCGTGTGTATATCCACTAATGTGCTCTCCACTATCGTCCATGATATCCAAGCTGAGCACTGAGATGATGCATAGGTAAACATGCCTTGTGTATCCATGGAGACGAGCGGGGGAGAGAAGTACTTACTATGGCAAGGCATCTTTGGAAAGGTCACATTGAACTGAATGGTCATCTTGTCTTTGCGACTCTTGTCAACAACTAATTCTGGTTGCCATGTGGACGTCTGATATGCAATGAGCTCGGAAAGGACAAGGTAGAATATGATCAACGCGCTGATGACGGTTACTAAAAAGACCAACGAGTTACGATCCAAGTAGGTGGTGGTGTCATTGACTCTCTTTTTTACCAGTAGCTCCTGCCGTTGTCTTGACCCGAAAATCGTCCAGCGTTTTCGCATAGGCATCAAAGTTACGGAATCGCACAAAGAAGGATCCCTGTTTCGCCATAGGGAAGGGGGCTCGTCGGTATATGTGTAGGTTGAAAAGAGCAAGCAAGGGCAAGTGCTCCTCCGCAATTTACTGCTAGCCAAGGTTGATTAGGTGTCACACACACAATGCATATTCAAGGTTGTCGTTGATCTATAGTTTACTTTTATGAATCATTGATGGAAACATGCTAATAAAAATAATGCAATGAATGATAGTGTGTGTGTGTGTGCGTGTGTATGGATGCGTGTGTAAATGGTATGGGTGGATTATGAAAGTAGAACAGCCTTCAATAAACTATGCACAGTCTCCTTTTGATCTTGGTCATTCTCCTCCACTTGTCCTTCTTCTCCTACTCCCGATACGCTTCGATCCAAACGCAGCTTAAGCTCGGCCATGCTCAAAATATTCTCCTCCACAGATTGATCCGTTACAAACTTGTAGACAGTGACATCTTGTGTTTGACCAACACCTGCAAAAGGTTATTGTAAGAATAAACATGATTATAAAGAAGGGGGAAATGCCACTCACGATGTGCTCGATCTTCAGCTTGTCGATCATTTTGTGGGTTGAAATCCATATCATGCAACACAACAACGCTATATAGCATAATCAGCATAATGGCAGGCTTCATATTGATGATCCAAAACTTACTTTGCTGCTGTCAAGTTAATTCCCATGCCACCCGCCTTGGTACTAAGTAAGAAAACGGTAATATCTTCATCCTCGTTGAATTGGTCTATCAGGACTTGTCTATCTTCCATCTTAGTTGCACCATCGAGCCGCAAAAATCGTAATTGTAAGGTATCCATCACTCTTTCAAGAATATCAAGAAGCTGAGTAAATTGACTGAAAATCAAGACCTTTCGACCCTGCAAATGTCGTTAGCACAAACACATCCATATTTTTAAGCGCTTTCCTTACCTCTTCCTTCATGGCAGGTAATAGCTTCTTTAGCTTTTCGACTTTGCCAGCATTCATCCATTCCTCGTTTTGCAATGCATACTGCTTGATCGACTATGAAATGCATGACTATGATGAGGAACCACATAACGTAGAATCCAATGAATCCAATGCCTTACCCTGTGATTTCTGCAAAGCTTATCCAACTCAAAGTCCGTCATCACGGTCATGTCCTGTAACAAGATGTGAGTGATAACTTGCTTCCTAATAGCCAATACTACCCACCTCGTATATATAATCTTCATTGGCATCCCAATATTGTTCCTCTTTCATGATATCCTTGGCCATGCTTTTTAACTTGGCGTCATCGTAAATGTTGCGAAACAGCATGGGGTGATTGGCAGCCTTTCGAAGATGCATGACCATATTCTTGAACTGGTCGAGGGCGCCCTTTTTCTTGTTGTTGCTATCAATGGCTTGTCGATAGGATTGTCGTGAAGTGCGAAGAATGGTATCATACAATTCCTGCTGTGTCTCTGTCATCTTGCATCGCTCAACCACTTGGAACTTTTGCGGCAAATCCTTGAGAACATCGGTCTTTCGTCGTCGAAGAACAAACGGCGTCATCATCTTTTTGGCTCGAGCAATGCGTTGTTGTGAAAGCATTTGTGCTGTAGAATCTTTGCTGGATGCTGTTTTGATCTTGAAGATCTTGCTCACTTCTTCCTCGTATTCCAATAACATGTCGGGTAAAATAAAAGTGAGAAGCGAGACAAGTTCCTGAAGGTTGTTTTGTAGTGGCGTGCCTGTCAACAAGAGTCGAAAAGGGGCCTGGATGGTCATCAATTGCTGGTATCGCTTACTGGTGCAGTTGCGAACCATATGTCCTTCATCAAGGATCACCGATCGAGGCTTCATCTTGCGTAAGAATTTGCGATCTTCATTGTTGCCGGTTGCCACATTGTATGTGCTCACAATCACTTGCCCATCGAAATCATTCTGCCATTCGTCTCGAAGCACAAATCGTTCATCTTGTGAGCCATAGTATGAATACACCTTCAATTCAGGGCAAAAGCGTTCAAATTCACGCATCCAATTCTCGAGTGTTGAAGTAGGTACAATAATCAAATGAGGCCCAGGATCACCAAGTTCATAAATACGGCTGAGGAAGCTGATCACTTGGGCTGTTTTGCCGAGACCCATTTCATCTGCCAAAATACCAGAGATGCGTTTGCGATAAAGTAACAAAAGCCAATTGACACCCAAGAGCTGATAATCTTTCAACTTCATATCCTTGTTGATCAATGCTGGTTGCTCGGTCAAGAAACCTTCCATGGCGTCTTTGTAAAGTTCGGTCGATTGTTGTTGCTCCTTTGCATCGGCACTGATAGTTGCTAAATGAACACCGGCATCGTCATTGTTGTCCTCATTGTTCATGCTGTTTCCTTTCCATACGTCGATGATGTCTTTCAAGCTGGCACCAAGCTCTTCAATCTCTCCAATGATTTGATCCACAATCGAATAACCATCAACCATGTCCACATAATTCTGAATAAATCGAGTACTCAATCCCTTCTCCTGATGCAAAGTCTCTCGTAAATCGTCAATGGTGCCAAATGGTCGAAGATCAATGATCTTTTGTGCCTGTTCTTCTGTACAACCGGATATGTCTTGGATCTCTTGTGCTGTAGCTCGGTTGTAGAATCGAACTGTCTGATGATTTTTCTTCACTTCTTCAACTAATGCAAGTGGATCCTTGACGTCGTGATCGCTAACATCGCTACCGGATTCTTCAGCCTCTTCTTCCTCTTCTTCCTCTTCCTCATCTTCTTCTTCATCATCCAATGGCTGTATAACAGGTGCTGGTCCACGTTGTCGCATTCTCTTTAACCTTGGTCGTACTGGTTCTGGTGATGCTGATGGTGATGCTGTACGATGCATTCCTGAAAGGATTCTCGACGCTTGGACTTTGCTACCATTGCCTTGTCGTAAAGCATCCAAGATCGAGTTCAAGGACATGGTTGGAAAGATAGGTTGTAACTCTTTGGCTCGTTTGGACAATATCTCTGTTTCCTGTTGCTGTCGTTGCTCTCGTTCATCCACGTATTCTGCTTCTTCCATATCATCATCGCTATCAAGGATTGGATTGCCGCGTTTCCGTTTCATGGTATGTCGACGTAGCACTCTTCCTTCATCGTCATCATCGCTGTCTTCTGATCTCATAGGTGAGCCGCCCATGCGAGAAGAAAAGCTACCAGGTGCGGCTGCAGTAGGTCGATCGGCCAAACTGAATGGTGCAGATCGTGCTCGTCGATCGGCGACTCTGATTGCTGGTGAAAAGATAGCATGACCGGCTTGGCTTTTGAGAATATCCTTCACCTGCATCTTGGGTCTAGACGATGTTGGTGACGCATCAGGTGTCCAACCGGGAGGCGACATTGGAGGTGATCGATTAGGCGCGTACAAAGAAAAAGGCGACACGAAGCATCTTCTTGTCTCTAGTGCTTAGATTTTTGTGACTGAGAACTGTGTTGCATGAATTCCGTAGCTTTCAACATCCACACATCCATAAATGAGCGTATTTATTCAATCCCTTGATGTACCATTGGTCATGATGGGTTTTCTTATGTTATGATGTAGCTTATTCTATAAACTATGAAAGCAACTATGGGGATACATTGGCGTGGTATTGAGATGGTCATCAATGTTGGCTGCTGCTGTCAAACGAAATGTTGTGTGCCCATTAGTCGCTACGATAGCGTGAGAGGTGCTATGCTGAAGCTTGCAAGTGATTTCAGAGGCAATGTTTGTATGTAAAGAACTATACCCAAGCACATGCGACCCCATTACTCGTTCCACATTGTATCACGGCTCACTCATTCTTGTTTATTGAGCATAATCAATTAAGCTTATAATGAGCCAAGCTTACGTAACAAGCACTATGCTGGGCATCCTCACATACAAGTGTTCTAAAACCCCACTATCTTTCGACTGGGCTTGAGAACCACGAAGCTTAAAAGAATGCAGTAGTATTGTGACAAAAGAACAAAAGCATCTTGGTACGATTATGTACATGATCCAATCTCGCTTCCCAACCTTCAAATTTATATGTACCAATTTCCAATCAGAAAGCGACCAAGTAATCCGTCCTTGCTCATACGAGCTGATAGCACAATACTCTTACGAACAATGTTCAATCCAATCCCCAGCATTCAATAAAAGTCGAAGAATAGTACATGGTAATGTGGATGTTTATCGAGAAAATATGATAAAGGAACAGGATTGAATAAGATACAGGTGAATCACATAGAGGGAACAGGGATAATTGTGCCATCATATCCTTGGTTGCTGCTGCCGTAATCATCCTTCATCCATGATTGCAAAGTAGCTGCTGCGCGCATTGAATCGAGTACTCCAATAGCATCCATGGCTGTACAACACCTTTTGTCACACTATAGGCCCGTTCCTCAATCCCCATCCAATCCATCATCATCCTTAGCCGTATCCACGTGACATGATCCTGCTAACGACGACGCGCCCAGCAACCAAAGCAACATTCCATGATTTCTCATCACTCCATTTGATTCTATCCATCCCTCGTATCTGTTGGTTGAAAAGAGCCATTGTGATCTTTGCTGATATGCGTGCTTCAATCTCCATCGGGCTGTTTGTCTGTATCGCTCCTCAACAAGGCGAAGATTGCTTGTATTGTGGTGTACTTGATAGAGATTATGGCTCCCCTTCCATTGGCATCCGTGTGCACCAAAACTTGTTGCTGCAAGTAACTTGAGACAATGAAGCAACGACTTTCCTAATAGCAACAGCTGCTACGCTGGGTCGTGTAGAGGAGTGTGTAAGAGCATGTGTTGTGTCAAGAGACTCGTGAGTTGTAGAAGAGGGACAAGAAAGCTGTGTACACGCGATGGACTTGTCATTCAGTCAAAGACAATCGGATCAAGACAATTGTAGGATTGGCATGATGGAATGAAGCAGGACAATCGTTTGCAGTTGAGAATGGGAGGAAAAGGCAATACCCTGGGAGTGGAAGAAGTAGAAATTAAATAGGTCAAACACCTCTTGCATAAATGCATGCACACTGTACATTCAATTCTTGATATTGAGATTGCCCCTCTCGAACCTGAAACTTTGACACAAGATGCTCTTGGGCATGCTGATCAACTTTGTATTAATAAAGAACATACATTTCATTATAAAAAATTGAATGGGAGGGTACAATGTGGGATTTACTATGGAGGTCGGAAAGCAGGTCAGCGCCAGATTCATGATTTATCGAAATAGTACGTATTACCTTGGGATTCCCCATCTCGAACGTGAAACTGGGTCAGAAGGTTCGCTGGGACATGCTGATCAACTTCATTCATTTAAAAGTCGCAGGCTTCATTGTGAAGATTTAGAATGCGGGGGTGTCCAAATGGTGGATGAAGGGAAATAAAGAGCGGACGGTCCACCGCCCCGAAGTTGCCCACCTCCAACTTGAAAATTGGTCAGAAGGGTGCTCTCGAGCATGCTGATCAACTTTTTCTAATAAAAACTTCATGCTTCATTTGAAAATTTGGAATGGGAGCTTCCAAAAGTTTGAAAGACGGAGACATTCGCAGACCCTGCGATTCATTAATTTTCATGTTTGCTGTTCCCCCATAGCTCAGTCAAATCGGCTCGGATCAAGAAACTTGAATGATGGAAATGCTCGGCTGGAGCAGGAGAATCGTTCACATGCAGTGGATTTTGCAACAATACTGATTGTGAGGAATTGGCTGTTAGCGTGCACTATATGGACTATTGTGGATAGACCATAGAGTATAATCCATCAATCCTTCCAGTCATGCAAAGTAGCTGGGTTACACAAACTCGTCCCTCTGCATCTTTTGCTCTGTCAGGGTCCAGCTATTTGGCATTGAACAAAGACCACTTGTCATATAGCATCACGTACACAACATAAAGATGCCTGTGTCTCTAAACTTTACAATGAAACGTGGGGTTTTGAATAGAGCAATGTGCTCGGCTTGGCCAACTGCACCTTGGGTGCCAGTTTCACGATCAAGCTTGCCAATCCCTGATTTCGCAATGTCGCAAACAGCCAAACTGGATCTGGGGGTCGACCTCTTCGACGACGACGACCAAAAAATATTTTTTGTGCTGTTTGCGACATTGAACGCGAAACTTTCACACAAGGTACTGTTGGCCAAGCCGAGCACATTGCTCTAATAAAAACCACACGTTTCATTGTAAAGTTTAGAGATACAGGCGTCTTTATGTTTTGTACTATACCGTAAGCGTGATGGAGTTGCTTTTTCCTGGTGGATGTGTCGGCTGCATGAACGGAAAGATGGAGAGCTGAGTGAAATGGCACGTGATAGTTACACAAACACGTTCTTGACAGGTTGCTGCATAAATGGATGATGGTAGCGTTTAGAACGTACGTAAACAATATTGAATAAAGGCGTATGACAAGTAATGGTTCCATATCACATTGGGAGTGCGGGATCGAGCTGCATGCATAGACCAAATTGCATTTTAATACACATGGTACTAGTAAAATGTATTGGTTGGTCACTTGTCCTGAACCTCGTTTTCTCTCTTAAGATCAACCCACTCTTTCATGTATCACAAATAATGCGTATATTTCTTACAAGGTCGATAACTACGGAACCAACTTTTATTATTGCACCATCTAAGCTACAATGCACAAGGAACAAGGAGAGGAATCAGGTAGCTATGTCCAAGTGGATAATAAGCAGTCTTGTAGCTAGTTTGTCTTCGTTGTCTTCGTTGCCGTCAACGTTGTATTTTTATTATACATGCATTGAGGGATGCTGCTGAACCCAATATTAAGGATTGAGGGCGGAAGTCGTCATATCACTCCCATGCTGGGATTGTGGTGGCCGGGAGCATTTATGCTTGTGCATCATGTTTATCGATGCAGGTGCCATCGACCTCCCTTTCTGAAACGAGCACTCATACATACATCCTCCAACAACGTCTCACTTCGCGTAATTTAATCAGAGCAAGCGATTTGTGATAAAGCATGAACGTCATTATTAGTGATGGATGTTGTTGTAACCTTGTTTATGTGAAGGCGCCCCATCAATCTATCAGCTAATCATCCTGATTTGTGTACATCGTCATTCGATTACGGCAAGGTTCTCTGTGAAGGCGTTTCATTAATTTATCAGCTCATCATCCTGATTGATGTGCATGGTCATTCAATCACGCCAAGACGCTTCCATCAGTAGTCCATCCATTTCATCGTTCTTCCTTTCCTCCTTTTGTGGTTGCAGAAATACCCGCGCCCACCATTCCACAGTATAAACAGCCATTTTCTCACTCCTTCCTCCTTGTCGTGATCACACCAGAAATACACCCACGCCCACCATGCACTTGTAAACAACGATGTTGTCGCCCACATTTACTCTTTTACACTTTTTCTTTCTTTCATCAAATCTCTTTGATTGCTGACATCCTCAAAGCCTTTGGTAAGTACCATGTTGGATGATGCTCTTTGTGAACGATCCATGTGCTCATACTTGCGATGATCTTTAGCGTTTCATTGTTATTGTTGTCATTGTGATATTTGGCTCTTTTATCATGCTGTGAAGATTTCTATTTGGGAACCAGCAGCTCCACGACTTGAGACAAACAAGCGATTCTCTTTCCCCCTCTCCTCTTCACCCATTCACGACATTCCCATTCCTTCAAGGTAATGCTCTTGTTGGTTGTGAGGTATTAATATAGTGCTGACTATTCCTAGGCAAGGAGTCGTACAAGTGCTGTTGCCAAGGCAATACCATCGCTTTTCTTTCTCGTTGTTATGCCGCTCCACACTTGGTGCAACAGGTACATTCAAAGGCCTCAATGTAGTGGGAGAGCGTGTTCCATTGACATGCTAGCTTGTATAGACGGCAAGACTGATCTCAAAGACGTCGGCTCATTTGGCTTTTTGAATCAACCTGACAACACTACACCAAGGTTCTCGCCTTCAAGTAACCCACAACCGAGGTCTTTATGCATATCAAAAAGGCAAGTGCAGTGAACAGCGACAATGAAAAAGGCGTTAATAGTAATAACGAAGGGTGCTATTAGGTGGCGCATCTTTGGACATCATCTCTCTTCTTTGGGTTCGACTCTCAGCCTGTAACCTACTTGTGGTCTCATGTCCCCAGGCTATTAATCCGCCTTTGCCGAGTGTTTGACAACATTGAAGAGCACTGGATCATGATGAAGCCCAGCAAGTGGGATCGTTTGGGAGGTGCACGATGCACATCTGTATACAGTCCGGTGGGGAACAAGGCGTTATTTGGTATGTCACTTGTGAAAGCAATAATATAGGACGAATCTCATCATGTACATGCTTTTGATTTGCCTATACTTAGGTCCAACCACAAGGACCATGAAAGAGATCAAGGCTGTTGCCACTGGTGTGAAAGTAAGCTTCACGAAGGGCAGGATCTTGAAGGTCAAAGGCCCAAAACGCAAGGTGGATCACCTTGTGGAATTCATGCAGCAACTGGTAAATATGGACATGAACAAAAGCTAAAAGTATCAAGATTCTTAAACACACTTGCGTAGGTGGTCGTGGCCAATCCTTCACCGTTGTCGGCCGCTAAACCAGAAAGGCTCCATTGCTCTGTCGCAAAGACACAAGGCGAGTGGGGAGTAGAGGAAGTGGATGATATTGCGCTCCATATCGCCACCGTCACCAACAATCCGGCAGACTTTTCCCTGCAACAAACGTGCCTTTATCAACGTAGATGGCCGTTTGCAAGGTAGTTATCATCTGCATGCCTCTTTGTCCACTTTTACCAATCCGTTGTTTATATATAGTGCTTGATGTGGCTCCCGCTGGTAGCAAAAGCCCAGCGCACAAATTAATCGGTATGTAACGCTGTTGATCATGATGCTCTCTATACGATCCTCATTATGATGTTTATAGACCAGCTTCAGGATGCGTTGCGTGGTGTGAGTGGTTTAGTCATGAAAACCACTCCCCATGTAACCATCTTAAGCCGCAAATCCACCAAATCGCGGCAACAACAGCAAGCCAGCAATAACACCATCCAAGACCCACTTAGCTTTACTCTACCGGTTCGCCTTGATGATGCCTTTCAACAAGCTGTCCTTATGTGCGAACGATCTAAGGAGATGGCGGCAAGGAATATTGTGATCAAAGCCATGGAAGCCAATGGTGTTTGTGAGGATTCTTCGGTGGGACTCAAGCTTTTATTGTAACTCTCTGATTCGTTGGCCATGCTTGATCCGCAACAAGTATATATCACGGCCTACAGAATATGACATCGCTTTCCAATTACGGCTGCCATTATTTGATCATCGGTTTGCTGGAACGTCTGTTATCAACAAAAATCGCTGAAACCAGCAATGCCTTCACTTCCATCAACAAGCGAGCAATGCGCTCGATGAACAGCATCCTGTTTCCTTCAAGATCGACATCCGCTTCATCTATAATTACTATCACATGTTCAAAGTCATTCACATCGGTGCAGCAGAAGCAGCCGTTTATAACAGCTCCGATGACAAGACTATCAATGTAACAACGCCAAACTTCTACGCGAAGGCAAGGACATCTTGGATAATGTTGGACGTTTCAATCGAGCAGCATGCAGTCAGCACCATGGCGGGTATAGTCATTCAGTTGGATGGCTTTCAAGGGGAACTCTCTTCTGTACACCTTGATGAAGAAGGTGTCTACATATAAGAACGCCCGCGGCACCAAAAGCCCAGCACATGCATTGATCGGTATGTAACGCTGTTCATCATGATGCTCTATATGGTACTCATTATGATGTTTATCAGGGTGCATTGCATGGTGTGAGTGGTCTAGTCATGGAGGCCATCTTAAAACCTCAAGGACACAAGGATACGGCAAGAATTATAAATACGATAGCAGCACAATACTCGCATGGCTGAGAAGCCGTTTATGACTTTTTGAGCCCCCTGACGGTAGTTGAAGAGGTTGTTAATATATACGCCGGAGGGCAATGTGCCTTCGAAATAAAGAACAATGCTACTTTTTACTTTTTCAATTCATCTACCAGTAATTGATTACATAAAAATGTGAAGTAGGAAGTGCATCTTGCGTTTCCTCTATGTACCCATATCCATTGTCTGCAATGAAACCCGCTAACTGCAAAAGTTTTATTCTGTAATTGTATTGTACATGGTTTATGGCTTTCAATAAAGCTCATCAGCGTCTTCTTCAATATCCTCCAATAGCTGTCCTTCGTCATAGTCATCTAATAATACATCGGTTGCATGTTCGTCTTGGCTCAATGGATTATAACCACGTGTGCGACCTGTGAGCCATGATGGTAATGGGATTTGGTGCAAGACATCAGTAACATCTGACCAGGAATGTGGAATTGGAATTCTTGACAAAAGGCCAATAAGAGCCACGGGTATCACAACAGCTGCTGCTGCCATCTTTGCAAGCACTGGATGGGATAATAAACGTGATGATTGCATGGTGCTACCATCAGGTAAATGAATTCGTCCACCACCGCCACCATGTCGACGATATTGGATGCAGCCGTAGATAGCACCAGCACCTGCAATAGGAGCAAGGATATACACCACCCACATGGCACCAGATGTTGATTTGCCAGGACACCAATACTTGTCACCTTCATCAAGCGTAAGACCACCTTGACATGATGTGGCAGCTGTCTTGCGATAACCGGTAGGGTAATAATAGAATTCCATCGTGCCATCACATTCGGGAATCACTGGTTCAAGGCCTGGCACAAGCACACATTCATTGTTCTCGTTGCGTACAAAGTTAAAGTCGCTATGAAAGAAAAAACTATGAGTACATGCAATCATGATCCCTACTCTTTTCTTTCCCGCACATACCATTCAAAGTCTTCATTTGTACAGGTGCAATTACGCACTTCTTCGTGGGGTTGTAATAGCTTTTCACCAATGTAGCATTCATGATCTTGGATACGGCGATAGTATTTGGTCTAAAAGCGATCCTCATTAATATACACGAAGGAACCCATGGGTTATTGGAGGGGGATTTACATACCTCGCGACCAAAGAGACATTTTTCACCACGTGTATCCTCTGGTGACCATAATTCAAAGTCGTCATTTTCAGGATTGTTGAGATCAAGCTTGCATTTTGTGGGTTGTACAGCGCTGAAATCAATATGGTATGCAACGGTTTTGCCGCTACGACGTTCCTCTCCAAAGATGACATATTTTTGGCTGGTGCCATCGGGTTGTGTAATGATATCATCCACCTTGATGCGTTCGCTCTTGTCAGCAAACTTGTATGTCTTCCAAGTCTTGCCCTCGTTGGTCGTGTACTTGACTTCATTGGTGGGTTCTTCATCATCCACAAGCATCAACAGCGCACCTTGATCTGCAAACTCCCACAAGTGGGTTCCCTTTTGGATCTCGGTCCATGATTTACCAGCATCGCGTGTCAAAAACATGTCGCCTTGGCCATAAGGTTGAAGTTGATTGCCAACGTTGCCAACACCAACCATCAATCCCACGGCACTCGACAAGCTGAATAAGTCACGTGCATTCTTGCGCTCCGAATAACAATGCAAATGAAGATGGCAGTCGTTGCCCTTGCAATTGTACTTTTTGCCGTTGCTATCTTTTTCAGGAGGTGTCAAGGGAATCCATCGGCTGCCGGCATCCGCTGTCATGACCGTTTCCAATCGCTTGGGGTTGCCCACATTGGCTTCACCAGGGTTGCTGACCTTGTTGGCAATAGCAATGCCTTCAATACCTTGCATCTTTTCAAAATCAACAATTCCCACTTCGTTGCGGTTGGCGTTTTCCAATGACATGACATAGTAGCTGCCGTTCGAATTGGATGTAAAGATGTGACCATATTCGCTGCCATGGTGTGTATTGGTTGATACGTGGATCCAGATCGAATTGAGAGATTCCATAATCGTAAAGGCTTCTGGCGGCAGGTCAAATCCAGCAGGGAAATGCGCAGGTGAAAAGGTGGCACCATCAAGGCTCACTTGAAGCTTAAGACTAGCACCACCATTGTTGGCCTATTCACAACGTGTAAGTTACATCATTGTTGGGTAATTAAAAATAGACTTACAGCAGCGACGATGATGTATTTGCCAAATACTGCAACACCAGCAATGTCGTCAAAGAGCACATCTCGATTCTTGAAATAGTTGTTGGATGTCACAAATTGCACGGGGTTGCCAAAGAAGCTCCTTTGATTGCCTGATTGCTCACGATACTGCTCACAGAGAACGGCATGATGATCGGCTTTTTCAACGCTGCCTTCATGACCCCAAATACAATTACGCATGTATGTGCCCAAGCTACGCCAAGTGCGACCATGGTCATGAGAATAAAAGGCTTCTGAATGGCAATCGGATGACATGGGAGAATCACAACCCTTTTCACCAAGGTACAAGAGATACTCGGGCTCTTCATTGTGGAAGCTCAATACATTGCCTTGCAAGTTGGTGACTGGAAGTAGTGGTACGGTCATCTCTTCAAAGTTGCTGCCCTTGTCTTGTGTAGCATAATGCATCATGCCATCCGTGATAAAGTATGCCTAATGTAACGAATGATAAGTAACCATAGCTACATGCATTTCTTAATACACATACCCGTTCTTCAAACTTGGGATTCTGGTAAACGGCAATGACGTTCTTGCCTGGGAACAACTCCTTCCAGCTATAGCCATCATTCTCGCTACCCCATACTTTGCCATCCATGGTGCGTACGATAACACGCTGCCAATGATAAAATTCAGCGCCATAAGAATAAGAATAACAGTGCAATCAACTTACATCGGTATCCGTAAAGTAAATGTAATCCACAATCTTATCAGTGAATTCGGTCTATAATATTAAATCAGCATACTGCCAGCATCATTGATGGGGGGTTGTGCTTACCTTTGTGCTTTGGACATCACCAGCTTCACCACATGGCCATTCACGCTGTTCCTCAAGGTTGATACCACCCGAACATACGCTTGCAGGGTTCTTTTTGTATCCAGAACGACCACGGAAGTTATCTTTGCAATCCACTGGTCGATCAGGATGACGACCATAGAATTGGCATTCACCCTTGTCATCACGCCAGAATCCAAAATCGCTATAATACAAAACAATCAGCCATTGCTTATACATTGACAACATTTCCCTCTTACCATTCGAAATCAATGTCACGGCACTCGCAAGTTTCCTGAACGACTTCAACTTCCTTGAATGCTTCTCCAACCTTGCAAACACGATCCTTTTTACGGCGCCAATAACCAAGCTTGTGACCCAAGAGACATGCATCATCACCATCGTCATCCTTGGCAATCCATAGTTCAAAGTCGTTGCGGCTATCATCATCCTTGTGCATCTCACACTTGCGTTGTTTAGTCTCGCTAAAGTCAACAGTGATAATGACTTGTGAGCGGCGCATGTCCCTGGTATGACCAAGAATGATAAAACGCAACGTGGTGGACATGGGATCGGTGGTCAATGCTGTCACCTTGATAGGTGTTTGTGCAAACTGATAAAAGTGCCAAGTCTCTCCTTGATCCCAAGAATACAACAACTCGTTTGTAGGGCCTTCGTCATTGATCAATACAAGCAACGATCCATGATCACCAAATTCGTATAGATGTTCACCCTGTTGGATCATATCCCAAGTATGGCCACCATCACGAGTAAGGAACGTATCACTTTGGTCGTAGGGGAGCAACTCAGGTCCGACATTACCAACACCCATAGCAAGACCAGGTGCACCATTAGCAGTGAAGATAGCGCCAGGACCATGAATATCAGTACGGCTGTGGAGGTTCAAAGTACAGTCTTTGGAGGCGCAATCGAACTTTTTGGGTGGAGATAAAGGCTCCCAATGTCCACCATCATCCCAAGTAATCATCGTACGCACACGTTTGGCCGTGCCCCGGTTGCCGACGAGTTCATCCGCATTCATCACTTGATTTGCCAAGATAATTCCTTCCACACCTTGCATCTTTTCAAAGTCAACAAAGCCAAGAGCATCACCATTCGTGTTGTCCAATGACATGTGGTAAAAGGTGCCGTTATCATTGGATTTGTAAAGTGCGCCATGTGCTTTGGCGGTTCCAACGGCCTTGAAAATGTTGAGAAGGATTGAATGGGTGGTGGATTGAAGCACCGTAAACGTCTATCGTGTATTTGTTAGTAAAGCATAAGGGTAATAAATGAATGAATGAATGACTTACGTTGCGATCAATGTAATGGCTTGGTGGGAATTGTGCTTCAGCAAACGAGTAACCATCCACGCTGACGTATAGGATCAAATCGCCACCACGGCTGGATGCAACAGCCATAAAATCTTCAATGACGAAAAACTCGACCACATTGTCAAAGAGCACTTCCTTGGTGTTTCCCCAATCCACTGTACGCATGAGCTTCGAATCTTCACCAATTTGCTGACTATCATAGCCGGCGCAATAGATGGTTTCCTTTTGGATGTTGTACTTTGAATCACGACCGAAAATGCACTTGTCGACCCACATATCCAAATTGCCCCAGCTGCCACCATGATCGCGACTGATGTATGCTTCAGCGTGGCGAGGTGAAGTATGGCTATCGCCAATGAATAAAAGCCAATCTTTTTCTTGAGGATGGAAATCCAGCACCTGGGGTACAAAGTGACTAGGAGGCAAAGGTACCTTGATATGATCCCATGATTTGCCCTGATCTTTGGTGGCGTAGATATCATTCTCAAGCAATGCATATGCACGTGTGTTGTCAAATTCATGCAAAACAATGCTTGATGCAGGTCCTTGTTCTTGTAACACGCGCTCCCATTTCATCCCATGCTCTGGAGAATACCACACTTCGCCATTGCGCAAACGTAACAACATGGCAGGTGATTCCTTAAAGTACATGAATTGATCAATCTCGTCGGTAAACTCGGTAGGATAGCGCTTAATGTCATCATCTGAAGGAGCGGCCAAGCCTGGTCTCGAAGAATCGCCCGAAGAAGGAGGTGGTGGACGAATAGCATCTGCCTCATTGTCACTGCATTTCCGATCAACCGGTTCATCCAATCGTTTGCCATTCTCAGCATTGCATGTGTTGCCTGGGATAAGTCGATAACCACTTGATGCAGGATATACAGCATCCTTGGATTTGCAAATATCGCCTGTCAATCGATCGGGGCCGATACGCTCGCATTTGCCATCCGCATTACGCACAAAGTTGTAGTCGCATTCATAGTCGGCTTCTGTACAGGGACAATCCTTCATTTCCAATACTGGATCTTCAAAGTCGCGGCCAACATAGCAATCACGATCCGCTTTACGACGATAAAACATTTGCTCGTGGCCCATCAAGCAATCAGGACCTTCGGTCAAGTCACGTGCAAACCATTTCTCAAAGTCGCTCTTTTCATCATCGTTTTCAATAAGCTCACATTGTCGAGATTGTACTTGCGTAAAGTCGAGATGAATCGATTGTACATGCGCATCGGAAGAACGTGAAGATCCAATCAATAAAAAGTTGCGAGAGGTCGATTCAGGATCCGTAGTAAGAATACGTGCACGGATATTGACGCCCAAATCAAGCTTTTCCCAATGATCGCCACGATCCTTACTCCACCATACGTGATCAACTTCCTTTTCATCATCCACAATGACAAGCATCGATCCCATATCGCCAAATTCGTACTTGTGAGCACCTTCACGCACCATTTTCCAAGTCAATCCACCATCGGTTGATAAGAAAGTATCGCACTCGTCATACTCGAGAAGGCTGTGACCATAGTGACCAACACCCATGACGACACCAACGGCTGTTTCGGATGAAAACACTTGACCATTATTGTGCATGGAAGTAACCGAATGCAAATGCAAAGCACACTAAGGAGAGAGAACCACAATCAATCAATCAATCACTGCCACCACCATCATGCATGCATGCATGAAGCAAATCAAACTCACCTCTTCCTCTGAGCACTTCATATCCTTTCCTTCTGTATCAACCACCTTCTTAATAGCTGACCATGTCGATCCATCATCAAAGCTGATACGTGATTGAATATCCTTCTTGGCACTACCCGTCACTGCCTGTTGGTGATTGGCAACAATGTTGGCTAGCATGACACCTTCCACGCCTGCAATGCGTTCGAAATCAATGATACCAAGGCTGTTGCGGTTGGTGTAATCGAGACTTTTGACGAAAAAGGTGCCATTCGAATTGGACTTGTACAAGGTACCCATCTCAGCTCCTTGGTCGGATAACACATCCACCAACAATGCATAGCCTGTTGACTCAACGATCGTATACGCCTTTTCCTGTAATCCAGCACCTTCTGGGAATACAGCTTCATGCCAATTCTCGCCATCTTGGGAGACGTATAAATCCATGGTAGGTTCTTTGGCTGAGGGCTTGGCCGCTGCCACGAGGAATCGATTGATAGCACTGACGGCGACGATGCCATGAACAGGATCTTGCTTTCCAAAGGTAACAGGTTGAGTGGTGCGGAAAAAGTCTTCAGATTGCACGAGTTGTAGATCCTCAGGATTTAGGAACGCGCCACTCGAACCTTCCACACACATGACTTCTTTGACGGGTGCATTCTCAAATTCAGGGCTTGATAACGACCAAATGCATGAAGGAGCATTGCTTCGAAGGAGTGTCAATTCTTCAAAATTATTCAGGGTATAGTAGATCTATATATATACACAAATATGAGTTCTCTTTCACTCGCATGATAAAAAACAAGCATGACACATACCTCATCCTGACAATCTACACCTGTCCATCCACCCAATTGACACTTGAAACCATGAAACAAAATGTAATTGCCTCTTTCAGCATGAAAGCCAAGTTGTGGATAAGTAGCTGGTTCAACGGGTGTCTCAAAAGGCTGCCATGTCTTTCCTTGATCGATTGTCTTCCAGTGCTTCTTGCCTTTACTAAGCACATAGGCCTAGAGAATAATTTCTCCGGTTAATCCACCTTGAATGCCCACTACCTTTTCTCTTTCTTTTTCATACCTTATCCTTATCATAGGGATGTTCATATAAATAGACAGCAGTATCACCTGGGATATCATGTACTTGTTCCCATTGTTTGCCATGATTGTCGGAACGCCAAACGGCGTGTGCACTAGCATCGAGCCATAAGACGACCTAGAATCCCATATGAGATCTTCTTGGCATACACACATACACACGCCTCTTCATCCCTATTTTTATCCCCACAACCTCCCCATACCTTTGAATCCTTGAAATAAAAGAACTTGTCAGGTACTGTATTGAATCCTGTTTTTTCCACTTGCTGTGCAGAAGCTTGGCCAACGAAGAGCAGAGTGACGGCCAGCGCCGCAATGAAAACGCCGAGCCAATGGTTGGCCATGCCACGCCGCCTGCCAATTCGGACAGTGCCACACGACAATGCGTTTATCATGTTGGTAATGTCTGTGTTGCTTGTTGTGTGGTGTGCGGTGTGCGTGTATGTGTATGTATATGCTGAGAGATTGTTGTCGTTTTGTACAGGCTATTTATGCACATGGAGCCAAGACAACCATGACCATTAGTATACACACATGTAGAATAGATACGCTTCCCCCCATTCGTTGTATAGCATACCCGAGTATAATAAAGTGTGATAAAGAAGAGATACCGGTCGCAGAAAAAAGAGAGGGCGGTGCAGGAGTTAAAGTACACCAAGTCGTCCACGTATCCAGCCAAGACTCCGCTTCCACTAGTTGGAACTGATCCATAGCAAAAATGCGTGAGAAGCATTGTTCATACACCCAATGATAAGCTTTAAAACCACACAAATCAATCATTAGCCCCCTTTGCTTCTACCGCTACATGTAATAGCCAAGGCAGTTCTCTTTTTTGAACTATGCAAGAGATGTATATCATTGTATCAATAATAGGTTCCTGATATCGATGATAGAAGATTTTGTTTACCCAAGTCCCTGATACATCATCACCATGGAAACCATTTCACTTGAAAAGATCTAATCCCAATCCAACACACTCCATATTCTCTCTTCAGTGATAATTGATTCTTTTTTCTTCGCTAATAATGATGTATGTGCAGAATTCTTTCTGAAGAGGGGGAAAATGTAAGTACAACAAAATAGCATGATAAATGTTATATGCGGGTGGTGGGGGTGGGACAATGAAGATATATATATGAAGGTGATGTAGTATGAGGTAATCGATGGGTAGTTGGCTGTTACTTGAAGGTGGGTCGTGTAGGTGAGGACATGGATGCGATCCCCGTATTGATGACAAAGCTATCAGCGCTGCTGCTGTTACTATCGTTATGTAATCGATGATGACCGGTAGTCCGTGCAGGAAGAGAAGCACATGATCCTTGATGCTGTTGTTGTTGACGAGCAAGGATACTGGATCGTATACGTTGACTAAACAAAGAATCATCCCACGAATACAATTCTTGCATACTCAATCGATAAGATGCAGGTGATGGTTGTTGCTGTGGTTGTTGTTGTCGTTGCTGAATACTGTTGCGTGGAGACGCCGTGGATACCAATGTACCACGTGACGAGGTGTAGGGATCACTATCCAAGGCGAGACTTGTGGCACGGCTGCTGCTCACCGATTGACGATGCTGCTCGTTCGTCACTGCAAGTTGTACAGTGGGGTTCCAGTGCTGTTCCTTGTAATCCATCTGGTCATTGAATCCCACCCACTGTACTGAAGACACGGAGCGACCACCAATGGACGATGCAGATAACGACATGCGTGGATTGGGCTCTTCCGCAAATGCCGATGCACCGGGTATATGAAGAAAACGCGACGTTCGCACGCCATTGCTGCCACCACCCATCATGCTGGATCGTCGACGTTCTGATGCCAAGCCTGCAATGGTGTATCGTTTGAGAATAGACGATGGTGAAGGAGCCATATCATCATCAGGTCTTTGTTGATTATTGGCGCTGCTACTACGAAGTGCAGATGACAAGTTGAGTGTGAGACGACGAAAAGCGGTGCTGCTATTACGTGGTGACGATGATGATAATGGATGCGATGTTTCCACCATGGGTTGCTGTTGAGAGGATGCTAATGCTTGGAATGAGGGTCGACGTGAAGAGGGTGGCAAAGATGGCTCTGGTCGTTGAATCATTGTTGTATCTGGCATATCATGTAAGGTCTTTTTCGATATACGTGAATCAAAACGTGAATGTGGCATTGACACCGATGAATAGGATGGATCATTGTGCATGGATACATGAAAATCAGAACCAAATGATAAGGTGCTCAAGCGTGTATGATGAGGCTCTGGCAAACTTGCAGTACGTATAATACCCATTCCATCATGGTGTATTTCACTCACAGGACGTGAAGGAGGAGGTGTTGATAGGCTGAAACGAGCTGCTCGGTGCTTGTGATGGAAATGGAGACGACGACTTTGTTGGCGCCGATTCCAGAATATGAAACCTGCAGCAAGTGCAAAGAACGCACAGATACCGACAACGATGCCCGCCACAGCGCCTCCGTTTAGCCCACCGCCACCACCACCACTACTATCACTTTGGCCACCTTTTCCATTTGCGCCTTGCTCCGGAAGTTCCCGTCGTACAAGATGCCTTTTGTTACCTATTCGACCGATATCCAAGGATGATGATGAAGATGATGAAGATGGATGATCGCCATGATCGATGCTCTTCCAAGAAAGCATAGGCGTCTTTGATAGATCAAGTAGCCAACGACTTGTTGTATCATCATCATTGTCATTGCCAATAACAAGCACGTGTTTTACAGAGATTTGTTTCATGGCATGGATGACACGTGGTGGTTGTGGTGGTGAAGAAGAAGAAGATGGATGCACATCGCTAGTGCAAGATGACGTTGTTGAGTCGAGCGTGTTGAAGCAAATACAACTGGTATCATAGCACGAGATGAGCCAGTGCTTATGTATCACAGTCGAGCGGCCCGTGAAACCTGGTATACGTTCAACTAGCAATATCCACTGCTGCCCAGTGCGCCACTGCCAAAGATCACTTGTCGACATGTGCTGTTGATCATTATCGTCATGAGAAGAGGATGAAAGGGAACCAAAAATGGTCACAGGATGGTCATCATCTTTCATATGCATATGCATGTCATGTCCCAGGCGTGATAGCAAGTCGTTTACCGAGTTTTCGTGTGTTGTGTCGATCTCTAGTGTTGTTGATGGAAACAATGTCTTGTTACCAATGTTTGCACCGAGAATTGACATCATTGAGCTGTTGGATGGTGTTGGTGTGTTTGGCGGGAAAAAAGTGGTGGTGGATGATGATGGGACGACCCTATAATGGTGTTGCTGAGAGACATGAGTTGCAGCAGCAGCAGCACCCTGTACCTGACAGGATGTGGTGAGCAACATCAAGAGCGTGCCAAAGGAAACAAGCATAGCGATGATTGCATGGAATGAATGGGAGGGGTCAATCGAAAAAGAGAGAGAGTAAAAAGAAAAAGAAAAGAAAAAAGGAACCGGAGTGAGCTGCTGCTCTTTCTGCAAAAGATCCCAAACTCGTTAATTAGTCTTGGTTATGGTTGCACAAGCATATAAGGATCGCAGATGCACTGAATGACATCATTTTTCTCTCCACAAGATGTTTACGGGAATGTTCGTGTTGTGCGAATTCAATAGCAGTGACAATAGCACATTTCATAAAGTATATGTATCAGTGACCTATTGAGTAAAGCGGCGGGCATGAAAGGGGATTGCAGCGATCCATATAAGATCAAATTTTTGGGGGGTCAAAGATATCTTTGGGGGAGAGTAACTAAGAAGGAGGGGGCAACTAGATGAGCCATTTTCGTCATACAGGCTCAAACCATAGGCACATCAAAGTTGGGTGTGCACAGGCAGTTGCTGCAGCATATAAAGATTGAGCATGATACCCTTTTTCTTTCTTTTTGCTTTTGAACCACTCTTTCTAATATGCCAATCACGACATCATCCTCTTCTTCTCACCAAACCATAGACATTATCACAACCGCTAACAACGACGAGCCACCAGATGAACGCACGGCCCTTTTATCATCGCACCAACGTGACACCACCACCACCACATCAAATACACAAATCAGCGGTAAGAGATGATGAATGACAATTGAATGCATACCACTCTTCTCTTATTGAATGTAATTAAAAATGGAAAAGGATATAACAAAAGTGCACCCTATTTGTGGAAGGATCTTAAGCAGAGTCATCTTGTCAGCCTTTTACCTTCAATTGCGCTTGGGTCAGCCATTTGGTTTGGTATTGAGCCTACCTCCGAATTGACAACAACAGCCATACGGCTAATGGCAGTGTTTACAAGGTATAGGAAAATCGTATGTAAATATGGGCTTATTATTTAACATGCGTGTGCCCATCGATCTCTGTTGCGGGGGGTATACTTAGTTGCATATTTGCATTGATTACAACCAAGGTTGAAATTTCGATGCTTGTACTTACAGGGCTGACGCTACTTGCTTTGACACAATCCTTTGAGTGTAAGGATCATGCCACTGGCAAAATGACTGAATGTCGTTTGTGTGGTGACGTGAATCCCTTGACTGGGGATACGTTTGAATGCAAGGCTGCCAAGGAGTCTTTTAAACACTCCTTGGAAGGATTCTCGAGCTCAGTTGTATGGTTGATTTTTGCGGCATTTCATCTCGGCAAGGCCGTTGAAGTGACCCAGCTTGGGCGTCGACTCTCCTTATTGATGATCAAAATTTTTGGCAAACGGATCATGGGTTTGGCGTATGCCATTGTCCTTTCAGGTATGTAAATGCAATGTAGAATGTCACGATGATGATTTCCTTCATCCAGGGGAGGAGGAGGATAATGACAAGGAGCGGAAAAACAAAAAGAGAGGCTTCACGTGTCGAGAATGAATGATGTCTAATTCTCTTTAAACGTACTACACATTCCTCAAATCAGAAATCCTGCTAGCACCCTTTGTCCCAAGCAATACAGCTCGTGGTGGTGGGATTGTTTTGCCTGTAGTAAATTCTATTGCCACCACCCTTGGATCATCACCTACGCATGACCCGAAGCTTGGTGCGTTCTTAATGCTTGTCGGATCTCACTCGAATCTAATATCAGCATCCATGTATCTCACTGGTATGAAATTAAGGGGGAAAACGAGGGGCGGGGTTGATGAGCAAAACACGAGACGCTATGATATTACATGCTGTTGTGGGGTTTTGTATTGAAGACAACAAACCATATATGAAGGTATGGCACCCAATCCCATTGTACTCAACAAGGCCAAGGCTCTATTTCCGCATCTCGATTTTGGATTCTTGCCATGGTTTGTGGGAGCCATTGTCCCAGCAGCTGTGTGTGCAGTTGGCTTACCGCTTATACTCCGGTGGGCTTGTGGTCTCGGAGGAAACAATCAAATGCAGGATCATAAATCATCATCATCCAACAACGACAACAGCGTCGTCAAACATGCACAAACGGAGCTAGATCAAATGGGATCCGTCACATCCAAGGAGTGGGTAAGTAATCATTGTTTGTATGCATGTATACTCAACCATGCTTACATGTTTATTACAACCACACAGCAATTGTGCCTGGTTTTACTTTTGTGTTTGGGCTTATGGATTACTTCCAGCTACACCAAATTGGATGCAACCTTAGTGGCATTGCTAGGCATCGTTGCTCTCCTACTTATGGGTACAATCACGTGGAAGGATGTGGCAAGCAATACCAATGCTGCAAGTATTATTCTTTACCCGAGAAATAAGGGGGCGGGATGGTATGGATAAATGATGCACCTTACTCATGCAAATGTACATTTAATAGTGGGACACGCTTTTTTGGTTGGGTGGGTTCGTTACAATCGCACAACAGCTTTCCGAAGCAGGCGCATCCGCCTATCTTGGTCATAAAATCTCACATGCAATCGATCAACTGGGATTGCCACCAGTACCTGCCTTGGCTATCGCCTACTTTATGACTACGTTTATGTTTTCATCATTAAGCGCACACACAGTGGCCTTTGTGGGCACATTTTTAGATGCGGGTGTAGCGCTAGGCGCCAATCCAATGGTGCTCACCGTTCTACTTGCCTACTTTGGCGCATTAGGAGGATGCATGGTATGTACATAGACGTATTATTTATTCTAGTATGCTAATGAATAATGATCTGGATATGTAGACGAACTATTCGACAGGCATGGCAGCCATGTACTTTGCACCAGGCTATGTCTCTCGTTCAAGGTGGTTCGTGATTGGCTTCCAACTTGCTGCATTCTATATTGTTGTATACATGACCATAGGCATGGGATGGTGGAAAGTGCTGGGATGGCATTGAAGATCATGTCCGCTTATAATGATAATAATGATAATGGTTTCATTGTTGATGACTTTATCTTAATACTACAAAAAAAGTCATGTGAACACTGGAAGTCCCTATCTTATAAGATCTCAATGTACTTACAAGATAAAACGGGCTATTAACCCTATCTAGCTGTCGAACTGCGTCAAATGTTTATGGTGGCAAGGAAGGTGAAATGTGGCGAGAAGGAGGGATGAAATAGGATGGTTGCTTGTGGTTCGAAAATAGTGGCCTGGTTGTCAGCGGCATTGCCGTCACGATGCATGACATGATGACATTTAGATACGACACCAAGGACTATATATAATCAAACAGCGGATTGGTAAAAGTGGGCAAAGAGGCATGCAGATGGTAACTACCTTGCAATCGACCATCCGCGTTAAGGCGCGTTTGTTGCAGACAAGAAGCTGCCGAATTGTTGATGGTGGTGGCGGTTGCCGCGGTGTGTTGTCAAAATAAAGCGCGATGTCGGCTACCTCTTCGCTCTTCCACACCCCACTCGCCTTGTGTTTTGGTAACAGAGAAAAGGATCCTTTCTTGCTCCGCTACTTGCGCACTGTTGCCTATGACTTGCTTCATTGATTTGGTTTTATGGGCCAAATGTCTGCCGACAACAGTTGTCGTGACCACCTACGCAAGCGTGTTTAAAAATCTTGATACTTTTTATACCTTTTGTTCATGTCCATATTTACCAGTTGCTGCATAAATTCAAGCAAGTGATCCATTTTTCGTTTTGGGCCTTCGACCTTGAGGATCTTGCCCTTTGTGAAGTCTACCTTCACACCAGAAGCGGTAGCCTTGAGCTTCTTCGTGGTCTTTGTGGTTGAGCCTAAGTGTAGGCAAATCAAAAGCATATTCATGATGAGATTTATGCTACATTATTCCTTTTACAAGTGACATACCAAGCAATACATGAACGCCATTTTGTTTTGTTCTCCACCGGAACTACAGCGACCACCCCAAGGGATCCCATGTAACGGCACCATAAGGTAAAATCCTCATCCAGTGTTCTCGTTCGGATCATCAATGTAACATAGCTCTAGGTCCTCCATCTTTTGCTATCTTCTTGCTGAAAGTCTCCACGTTGCTTTCATTCTACTCGACACAATAGAATAAACAGATTGCTTGTCCTCTAGTCAATAGCGTCACTGCCATGGTAAGAGCAAGGTAGGAACCAAGGATAAGTTATGGCTCCAAGCCCATTCGATGCACGGGGGACATGAGACCACAAGTAGGTTACAGGCTGAGAGTCGAACCCAAAGAAGAGAGATGATGTCCAAAGATGCGCCACCTAATAGCACCCTTCGTTATTACTATAAACGCCTTTTTCATTGTCGCTGTTCACTGCACTTGCCTTTTTGATATGCATAAAGACCTCGGTTGTGGGTTACTTGAAGGCGAGAACCTTGGTGTAGTGATGTCAGGTTGATTCAAAAAGCCAAATGAGCCGACGTCTTGAGATCAGTCTTGCTGTCTATACAAGCTAGCATGTCAATGGAACACGCTCTCCCACTACATTGAGGCCTTTGAATGTACCTGTTGCACCAAGTGTGGAGCGGCATAACAACGAGAAAGAAGAGCGATGGTATTGCCTTGGCAACAGCACTTGTACGGACTCCTTGCCTATGAATAGTCAGCGCTATGTTAATACCTCACAACCAACAAGAGCATTACCTTGAAGGAATGGGAATGTCGTGAATGGGTGAAGAGGAGAGGGGGAAAGAGAAGCGTTTGTTTGTCTCAAGTCGTGGAGCTGCTGGTTCCCAAATAGAAATCTTCACAGCATGATAATAAAGAGCCAAATATCACAATGACAACAATAACAATGAAACGCTAAAGATCATCGCAAGTATGAGCACATGGATCGTTCACAAAGAGCATCATCCAACATGGTACTTACCAAAGGCTTTGAGGGTGTCAGCAATCAAAGAGTGATTTGATGAAAGAAAGAAAAAGTGTAAGAGTAAATGTGGGCGACAACATCGTTGTTTACAAGTGCATGGTGGGCGTGGGTGTATTTCTGGTGTGATCACGACAAGGAGGAAGGAGTGAGAAAATGGCTGTTTATACTGTGGAATGGTGGGCGCGGGTATTTCTGCAACCACAAAAAAAGGAGGAAAGGAAGAACGATGAAATGGATGGACTACTGATGGAAGCGTCTTGGCGTGATTAAATGACCCTGCACATCAATCAGGATGATGAGCTGATAAATTAATGAAAGGCCTTCACAAAGAACCTTGCCGTAATCGAATGACGGTGTACAGAAATCAGGATGATGAGCTGATAGATTGATGGGGCGCCTTCATCACAAAAAGCTTTTGGAGCGATTGAATGACCATGCACATCAATCAGGATGTTGAGCTGATAGATTGATGGGGCGCCTTCATATAAACAAGGATCTGAGATAAGCAAGGTGACAATATCCATCATCAACAATGACGTTCATGCTCTATCACAAATCATGCTGTGATGAAATTACGCGAAATAAGGCATTGTTCGAGGATGTATGTATGCGTGTTCGGTTCAGAAAGGGAGGTCGATGGCACCTTCATCGATAAACATGGTGCACAAGCATAAATGTTCCCATCCACCACAACTCCAGCATGGGAGTGATATAACGACTTCCGCCCTTAATTCTTTAAATGGGGTTCAGTAGCATCCCCTCAATGCATGTATTATAAAATACAATGTTGATGACAACCAAGACAAACTATATAGCTACAAGCACTGCTTATTATCCGCTTTGATATAGCTACAGTACTCGTTTTCTCTCCTTGTTCCTTTTGGATTATAGCTTGGTGCAATAATAAAAGTGGTCCCGTTATCGGCCTTGTAAGAAATGTATGCATTATTTGTGATGCATGAAAGAATGGGTAGATCTTTAGAGAGAAAACGAATTTCAGGACGAGTGACCAAGTAATACATTTTACTACCATGCACGTGTGCCTTAAAATGCAATTTGGTTTATGCAACTCGGTCTCACGCCCCAATGTGAACGTACATTCTAAAGGCAATCGTCATCCTATTCATGCACTAACCTGTCAACAACGCGTATAACCACCACGTGCCACTTTCACTCATTTCATTACCTTGCCTAGTGTTCTCAATACAAATAAATTAGCAGCAACAGCTCCATCACGCTTATATAGGTAAAACTTGAAGCTACCTGTTTCTGGATACTTTAATAATGAAGTGTGTTGGCTTTATGAGAACGTAATTGATCAGCGTGCTCGAAAGCATCTTGTGTGGAAGTTCCAAGTTCGCGATGGGCAATCTCAAGCCCATGGAACGCCCGCCAATAATTAGGTTCCCGTCTATTCTATGGACCTCCAACAACACAATAATTACCATTGCAAAACACCATACATATACAACAGCGTATCATCTTTACTGTTGTTCAAGATGGATGGTATGTACATAGTCGCATTTTCTTATTCTGGTATGCTAATGAATAATGATCTGGATATGTAGACAAACTATTCGACAGGCATGGCAGCCATGTACTTTGCACCAGGCTATGTCTCTCGTTCAAGGTGGTTCGTGATTGGCTTCCAACTTGCTGCATTCTATATTGTTGTATACATGACCATAGGCATGGGATGGTGGAAAGTGCTGGGATGGCATTGAAGATCACTTCTTATTATCGATGATTTATTCGAATAAAGCCAAGCAACAAAGTACATGGTTACAGCATCCCCTATTATTGTCATTGTGATAAAGCGTCATTATTTGATTTCCAATGAACGTTGGATAAAGCGAGTGACATCTTTGTGTAATGCAAAGGCGTTAGCGCGGCTCTTTATTTGTACTCCTTTTTCTTATCCCTCTTTCCCTCGACACCTCTTCTACGCAATGGCCGCTCAACTCTACAAAACTGACAGCGGTCGACTCTTTCATGCAGGTGCCATTGCCATTGTGACCGTAGGGTATGTAATGGGCGAGCTCACCATTGAGTTTGGGGGAAAGACGAAACGCGACAGCAGATCCGATTGACGCACAACCATCGACGCTTGCAAATCAAACGTTCCTCATTGTATGTTCTTATTCCAACAACAGGCTTCCTGCACGAGGCAAAACACATGTATCAAGATCATTATGTCGCTATTTGCGATGGCTTGGGGTAGCCACTCAAGTATTCAGTGTGGGCAACTATCGGCGTGAACGGCTTGGTTCCGTGGTGTCCAAGGCCATGTTTGATCCTGGCAAGTAGTGCATGTGTAACATGGCGGGCATAAACTGACACACAAGCGATGATGGATGATAATAGACAACGAAGAAGCTGTCGCAAAGCGTGTTGCTATTGCCAACGAATGTCTTGAGGATATGATATCGTGGTTACAAACGGGTGGTGGGCAAGTCGGCATTTACGATGGCAACAACGTAACGGTCGCCAGGCGTGAGGAAATTTCGAAACGGCTGTTGGCACAAGGAATTCATGTAAGTAGTTGTTGCAATCGCTGCATATGATAGCATCATGATTCACATTGAATGATATAGCCTTTGTTCATTGGTAACGAAGCACATACTAGGTGAATTGGGAGGAGGATGAAAAGTTAATGAGCATGACTTGTAGAATCATTGTGCGACAAACCAGAGATTGTATTCGCCAACATCAAGAGCGTCAAAGTATCATCACCAGATGTATGTCGCCAACGCATTTAGATTCATCATTGTTGCTCATATGGTATCATTTTGGTAGTATTATGGATGGGAACCAGAGGCAGCCGTGGAGGATTATGAGGTATGTGCACAGGTGTTTACTATGACTATCACATTAACTCTTGGTCGTATATGATAGAATCGAATCAAGGAACATGAAGCGTATTATGAGACGATCAATGATGTTTCAATGCCATTTGTCAAGCTGATCAATGTGGGCGAGCATTTGGTGGTCAATCGTGTCCAAGGCTATTTGCAGGTCAGGGTTTGAATTTGACTCGGGAAGACTTTCTCACAAAAATGAATCGGATACCTCCACATCTACACAGTCGCGTATCGTTTATTACTTGATGAATCTACACAATCGACCACGACTCATCTTTTTCGCTCGCGTAAGTCCACAAAACGTGTTGTTGCTCTTGTATTCACCTTTTGTATACGTAGTCTGGAATGTCTTTCAACGATCGATCTTACAAAGTGGATGCCGAATTGTCACCAGAAGGATGGGAATATGCAGAAAAGCTCAAAAGGTTCATCATTGATTACCGAAGCCACAAGGAATCACCTGAAAGCAAAAGCGCGGATGAGGAGCGATCATTGAGTGTAAGTAGCAAAAGCAGGTTATGGCATTGTTTATGTGGCAAAACAAAAAAACATTAGGTGTAACTAACACACATGTTCTCGCCCAGGTCTGGACAAGTACACAAAAGAAAAGCAGGCAAACAGCAAGCGTGTTCTCGGAGGAAAATGTTGCCGTGCGTCAATATTCCATGCTCAATCAACTTAATCCAGGCGAGGTGGATGGGCTAACACCCGAGGAAATCAAGGTACTTCATGCATTTGTGGATATGTACATGGATGGAGGCAATGAGCTAACGTTTTCTTTTTACTAGCAACGTTATCCCGAAGAAATGATGCGGGCCAAAGAGGATCCTTACCGACATCGATTTTCCAGAGCGGAGGTGAGTTGTTGTTGTGTGTCATCCATGCCACACACACATCCTACACGTGGAGCGTGTGTGGTACCGGAGCAGAAATCAAGCGTTCCGATGACTGATATGGGCTTGTATATGTATGTAGTCATACCACGATTTGGCTGTGCGTCTTGAAGCTATCATTATGGAACTTGAACGCGAGAAAAATGATGTTTTGATCATTGCCCATGAGACGGTGCTTCGATGCCTCTATGCCTATCTGTTTGATCGCCCTGAAAGTGTAAGTTTCTGGTTTAGTGTACATTGGCAATATCAACAAACAAAGGGCGGCTGACAAATCTCTACCACCACAGCAAATACCACAAATAAGCATCCGCCGTGGAACAGTGATAGTTGTTACGCCGTCAGCATACGGGTGCAAGGAGGCCCGACTCGACATCCAAGGCTGAAAACGGGTTACGAATTCTTTACCCCAATGCAACACTACTCTTTTTGGAATGAAAAAGATTTTTTATTTGTGTGTATCAAGATGGATGTAAAATGAAGGGTTTTCTTTTGAAAAGAAGATGCGTGTTGGTATTTGGTCCCGGGAAAAGGGGGTTTGTTACAGATGAAGGAAAAGAGATATAACTTTTAAGAGAATGCAAAGAGAAAAGAAAGAGACAATGAGAAGAATGCTGATGACAGAAGGAATGCTTGGCGACGCTGCTGCTGTTGCTGCTGCGCTTATCTCAAATACGGGCAACGGCTCCGAAGATGACCATATTTTCCACACCAAGTGCTAAAAAACGATAATGCTTGTATGAGCAAACACACCATAGAGACAAGCAAAATGAGAGCGGATCGTCTACCATTGACCACCATGTGTGTTGATGGGTGGAGGGAAAATGTTGACGACAGGCTGAGGTTGAGAAGTAGAAGAGCAACAATGGACCATGTTAAAAAGAGAAGAGTATGATAGATGATGCCGTTTTTAAAATGTGAGATGAAGATGATGGGTCGTATGTTGATTTCATTCATGGTCGCCTTTTATATGGCAAAGACCAAAGGCTAAAGGGTGAGCGCATGGGCCTGTCAAATGCCCACCATTTCAGAATCAATGTGGCGTTGGGGGGTGGAGCACAGATGTTTATTCATTGCCCCATTGATGATATCCATTTGCAATGAAATATGTGTTAGTTTCAAGGAGGAGAAAGCGCCCAAAAGAGATCGAGACCTTCTTCCTTTGCGCCTCTCCTTGTCTGTTTTAGCTGCACAGACGATGGCTTGTATCAAGTTTTTCCTGTGACAAAGTTTCAGCACGTCGGTCTCCTCCTTCACCTTGCGCACGGCCTCATGAATCAGAATAGAATATGAATAAAACGTATACATTGTATGATCCAACGTATGTTTATGGCCCCCAACAAGCAAATGAATTTGATCTTTTTCGTTTCAAAGGCTTGGTATCCTTGTCATTCGCTTGATGGAAGCTACAACTAACATGTCAAGGCAACCAGCAACCGGTCCCGTAAAAACTTAATATAGAACGCGCCACCATCAGCAACCAGGTGGTGTGCAGTATTGTGTTTACTTACAACATTCACATCCCGTTTTTTTGGGCCTCATGTTCCCCCCGACGGCTGGGATTCTCATTCTTATGTGTATAACTTTAACGCACGTCCTCAACACTTTGATTAGATGTGAGATGAGTTTATGAAACGCAAGTTCATTAAGGAAAAGGGGGGTAACGCAAGGACCCGAGGTTGGCGCTTTTCTTTTCTTTTTCGGCTCTGTATCGTTTTTTAAGCTTCATACACAGGGAAACGTGTTCCGTAAACATGGTGTTGGGTTTGAGAGCCTACCAGAAAAAGGCCGTGTGTAGGGCTAATGGCTGTTATTGTTGATGTTTACTGGCGCTTATTAGCGTGTTTCTGTACAATGCTACATTAGAAAATGACACACACATACACACGTTGCTTGTTTGCTTCGACATTTTCTCTCGTCCTTCCTTTTACCTTTTTCTGCGATTCGTGCGTACAAGGCCATCAACGTTGCACAAAAGGAAAGGTGAATAAGCTCGCTCTCTCTGTTGCATGAACATGTACACCACCTGTCAAATAAACCCTGTTTCGCATATCATAGCGTGGGCCATCATCATCATGAACAAGGTTACACATGCCATCCATATATAACCTCCAACCTTGCTTAATGCATTTCACCAGCATGGAAAAGAAACGAGCTCTTAGGATGTTCACATGCGATGTCATTATGACATACGTTTACATAAGGTGGTCTTTAACAATAACGCAAAGAGCATGAAACAAATATGGATTGGATGACAAAATTCACATCAGTGGTCGACGGCAATCCACTTAATAAGGCTACAACCCGCTTTACTATAATAAACATACACGCGTAATCCATTGATCCTGCTGCTTGTTGTTGGCGCTTTATCCTGGTATACTTTTTGGTTGGATTTGGCGAACTTGCCAATTCAATTTCATCTCCATTAATACGACAACGCCCCCAACCACCATTTGTCTCTTTTGGAAAACGCGTACCAACATTGTTAGTCAGGGTAGAAAGTCTGTACACACAAATCAGGGTCATTCATCTTCATCTTTAGCAGCCTCGTGATGATCGCTAGTTTAGGCGTTCAATCCCATAACGCTACTACCACTTTTGGTGATACCCATGCTTATTTATTAGTTTACAGTCGCATTTTGAATCCATGGTATGGGTCATTGCTACGTATCATACATATTACAACAAGTGCTGTAAATGGGGGAATACAGGGATGAGATCAAGGTAGTAGTAGTAATATCATTACATGAGTTGGAGTTTTCATTGATTGCCTTTGTATACGGCGTAGGTGTGATGATGCATAAATCGGTAGCTATTGATTGAGTGGGATGATGATTTGCAAAAAAATTGTGTGATACAAAGTAAGGTACAACTGATAATGATGCCTTCTTATGGTGTGAATCGGAATTGGGGATGTTTATGACCGAGTTGATCGATTTGGTCTTGCGAAAGGCCATGAAGCACATGGTCACGTTTTCCTTTGTCGCGTTGAACATTTTCCCATTTCATGTAAAATGAACATACAGCTGCACACACAAGCACCAATGCGCCCATAGCAAGATTGATTTGATTGCCGGTTGTGTATTCTGGAGCTTGAGAGGGGAGATAGGTCCAGCTTGATACGATGCCTGCCAATTCGCCCAAGCTGATAATGAAAGCGCATGCAATCGATCGCACAGTGGGTCCAGCTGTGTTATCTACTGACCAGCCAACAAATATGGGGCTGCATGTAAATCCACCACCCGTTGCGAAAAAGATAGCCATGTAACGTGGACCAATCGAACCCACGGTCAAAAGCACGGCAAATCCAATGATGGTTAAAGGTGCGCAAAGTGCAAACATGAATACGCCTCGTGTGTGCCATCGATCGGAAAGAATAGAGCATCCAATGCAAATGATACATGCAAAGGCATAGGGCGGCACGGTCATGATTTGTGTTACTACCGAGTTCCATCCGAATTCTGATAACAAGGATGGCTAATACGTAGTAGCTTTATCAGTGCTTGTGCTCTAAAGTACATCGTAGGAAAATTGACTTACCATAAACAATGCAATCGAATTCATGGATAACAATGAACCAAAAAGACCCAAGCCCATAAGCCACGTGTTGATATTGAGCATGGCGGTCTTAAAGTGCTCTCGTGTGATGGCTTCTTTCTTCCCTGCTGATAGTTGCTCAAGCTGAATACGTAATACACCGATACGTCGCTCTTCTTCGGTCAAAAAGGTGCAGCTGCCAGGGCTGTCGGGCATCACAAAATACATTGCCACTGAAATTATCATCATGATAATCCCTTCGAAAAAGAAAATGTTGCGCCATGAATGGATAATGCCCCAAGCAGGTATCTTTGAAAAGCCAATGGCGAGGAGACCTACAATACGAGTCAATGGTTTGAATGATTCAGGAATGTGACATAGCAGCAGTACCTCCAAAAGCACCAGCTACACTTGCACATGATGCATAAACGCCCACACGTGTGATAAGCTCATGTCTTCGGTAGCTACATGATTGTTGTCAATGTTAAAGCGTTGTTCAAAAAGAGCATGTGTTTGACCTGCACTTACAATGTACCAAGTGCATAGGAAATGCCCGGCATAATAGCAGCTTGTGAAATCCCGATTAAAAATCGCATGGCAAATAAACTTCCAAAGCTGTTGACGAATGCATTGCACATGGTGAGGAGGCCGCAAAGAGTGCAAATCGAAGGAAGCATGATCCTTGGGCCGTACTTTCGAACGAGTACATTGACTGGTCTATGTACAAAATGAGAACATGTAATTGATGTGTGTATGGATCATGGCAAACGTACACTTCAAAGAGCACATAGGTGATATAGAACGCAGTCATACAAATGCTCATCTTGTTATCTTCTCCCAGGTCCAATTCCTCTTGTAAGCCAAGCACTTTTGCATTGCCGATATTTGCTCTACATTATGATGTTGGTCTATGTTATATGCTAACCCGATGATCCGCCTTCTCACCTCGTTAAAAAAGCCCAAAGGTATAGGATGGTGACACTGGATAAGACACGGGCATCGAATTTGCGCCGTAAACGTGCCTCAATCTTGGGATCGATCTCTTCAAGTGTAAGTGCAGGTGCCTCTCCTTTCGATATGGTGGATTCAATGGTGGTTGCCGTTGCTGTATCGCTTTTGTAGACTTCAACCTTTTCCATTGTTGTTCTACTTTTGGTGGTATTATGATTCCATCACTCCATAATAGCGTTCTCGTGTACCTTTATATAGTCTCATTGTACGAAAAAGATGCGGCATAACCAATTGGATTCTATTCCGCTGCCATTTTAGCTTTTCTACGATCACCGCGGCTTGAATAAATCGTAATCCCCACATTTTCCCCACACAACAATTTGTTTCCCCGCTTATCAATAGTTGGTTCCTGCTTACCTTCGTCGTCATGTACATAGCCTATACGTTCTTCCATTGATCTCCAATAGCAACCATCAATGACCTGGTTTCATAGCTGGCAGGCGATCACGTTACTACTTGCATCGAACAATAGAGCCTCAGTGTGCGTACCTTTTGGCTTGTCGGATAGGACCTCATTCTGCTGGGCTCGGGCGGAATAAGTAGTTGACGTATCATCGAAGCGCGGGAAGAATTGCCAGACATGGGACATGGATGTGATGAATGATGCTTGTGTGTATATATATAACGTTTTCCCGTAGCCATTCTAGACCTTTTAAAATGATATCCTTTGGTAAATGATGCAACACAGACAATTCTACGTTCACTCACCATGATAACTTTATCATTTTGCGACCTGCCGCCTATTCCCCGCCTTTTGTTGATTCGTATCACCATTGACGAACGTATTTTCCCACTGGCGGAACATCCATCCGAAGTGCTATTAAGGTTAATCGATTAAAGCACACGTGCCCCAATTCACCCAACAACGGTTGCATAAACGTGTCTGTCAACGATGCCATTTATTGATTGATGTGGATACTCTAGTTGCATGATTTCATCTTTAACAGTCGTCTATCAGCACCAGCATGTTGTTGAGTGCAGTGTATCCTTTTGGGCGATTGCGAATGCGAGAACAACACCCGATGGAGTTGCGATTGGGAATTGGGATGGCAGGAGGAACGTAATGAGGAATGGGATTGAAAAGAAAGATGGGTTCAATGTAAGAGGAAAGGCGAGCTGAGAGAAGTTTCAAAGATCTTCACGTGGTGTGCATGATGATGATGAATGTTTATCGCTGGGTATCACCATTTTGTGTAATCAAGGAAGGAAAGGGTTGAAATCAACATTGGGCTAGCAGCTAAAATTGAAATTATATGCGGACATGGATACGCATTGACAACGACGCAATGGTTTGGATAATGTCATCATCATGTCGTAAATGGCGTCCACGCGCACATACACACACACATCGGAAAGAACTGGGTGAATGATGCCCATTTGTCATCGAGTATGCTAAAATTACCGCTTCCCATTGTCGTCCCGACAACCATTGATTGATAAAAAGTTTATCTCCTCTTTTCTTTGATCCTTCTTCTCTTTTCCTTTCCATCCCTTTATGAACGACAAGAACCCTATCTCATTTGAGGAATACAAGCTTCCTGCTGTGGGCCATGCGATATCTGGTGCTGTTGGCTCTACAATTGCCAATCTCTTTATCTATCCACTTGACATGTGAGTACATCATACACGCTCCGAAACTTTGATAAAACGAGCCCTTGCTGATCTCATGTATGTACACACAAAGCTCCACGACTCGATTACAACTCGATGACACACACAAAAAGAGCATCTTGGAGATGATAAGGACAATCTATGAAAAGGAGGGAGGATTGAAAGGATTGTATGCTGGTCTCGGTTCGGATACACTCGCAACAGTACTATCAAGCTTTATCTATTTTTACTGCTACACGTCGTTGCGTAATGTGCAAGAGGCCTTAAACAAGAGCATGGGTAAACGAGCCTCTCTCAACGTTGCTCAGGAGTTGTTTCTTGGAGCTGAAGCAGCATTGATCTCGCGCTTTTTCACCACCCCCTTCTCGAACGTAACCACACGCCTTCAAACAAGCAGGAGAACACCTGGAAAGCAACAACAAGGATTTATCGACACAGCCAAGGACATCTATAACGAGAAGGGAATATCTGGATTTTGGACTGGGTATCGTGCTTCCATGATGCTGGTATCCAACCCATCCATCACGTATTTTGTTTTTGAAAAGGCCAAGTCTTTGTACCTTGCTGGAAAAGGTGTCAATGCTGTTCTCAGCTCGCTCGAAGTCTTTCTCTTTTCAGCACTCGCCAAATCCGTTGCCACAATGATCACGTATCCATTTATCTTTATACGTACCAGCATGGTAGCTAATCGCTCGGAGAAGTACAGCTTGGGTATGCGAGCATTCATGAAGCACGTGATTGATAAGGAAGGGTTACAAGGATTGTACAAGGTAACGTGTGGGTTGTAAATGTGGCGATTTGGAAGAAGAGCTGCTCATTTTGGAGGTAATAGGGGATGCGAGCGCAAATCATCAAGGGCTTTTTCAACCAAGGCATCATGTATATGATTAAGGATCGTGTGGCTACTTGGCTCACATTACTCTTTTACACCTCCATGATGCTCAAACGACGCTCCATTCAGTAATAGCCATCCATGTCTTTCATCTTCACAATACCCCCCACCATCCATGTATATAACAAGTAAAAGCAATTTTTTTCAACACACGTATTTTGGATATACACAAAGAGGATAATGGGCCCACTAAGAAGCAGCCTTTTCGAATTGGGCGCAGCCTTCAATGGGAGCAACATACGAAGCACGATCTTTTGTAAAGATTTCAACAGCAGGCTTGAGCACTTCCGATCTATGTATGATTGTATACATATCAGCAATCGAGTTTTTCAAAGACACACAAGCTTACCCTGGAATGCCACTACCAGCGGGTGCATCTAAGATGCCTGTTTTGACGACCGTCTTGGTGCCTTGATGCTTCATGGGCCGGTTAAAGAGAGGGCAACCACAGTTGCTACAGAAGTACTTTTGCTTTTCAAAGCCGCTATCGATCTCTTCCTTTGGAACAGTATACATCTTGATAAAGCCTTGTGGATCATCAATTTCGATTTGGTCTGTTGGGAAGATGGCGTTGGTTTGATAAGGTGCACTGCCAGATTTTTGACAATGAACGCAGTAGCATGTCATGACCTTGACGGGGTTACCCTTAAGGGTGAGCTTGACATTGCCACACAAGCAGGATCCTTTAAGAGGCGTGGTAGACATGATGGATGAAAAGTGAAAGAAAGTAAATGAGTCCACGTCTATGCAATCATCAGGTTTATATCGCATTGTGCAGCTCCGCCGCAATGTATGCGGAAAATGCACCCGAAACTAAAAAGTCAACCTACACAGCCCCCACCCTTTTCCCACCGTCATCCCGTACACCCATTCCCGAACAAATATTTGATCGTATTAATAAGCATTTGCTATCGTTCTTGGAGCACTAAATTATGCAGCACCTCAAATGATGAGGCTTAGAGTGCTAAATGCGTTCTTACGTTATAGCCACGTTCAGCCTTGACATGGATGGTAGCTTACAACAGAAGAATCACTACATACACGCATGAAGCTTTGAGTTTAGGAGCATCTTTGTTGGATTCATGTTGAAGGGAGATGTAGAATGCACTACGTGATGATGTTTGATTATGATGCGAACAATAAAGTGGGATGATGAGTATGGCTAAATCAACGGCTGGTGGATTGCTATACTAATGAAGCCTCTGAAAGCAATCTTTTTGGTGTACTCATAGTATTTCATTATGCGTGTGCTCACGGGGTTATTGTAAGCAGTGGACATAAAACTACTCTCACGGTAACGCCGATTGGCAGAATGCAATGGGGCATGGACGTTGTCCATTGTCATTAAGTGTATGTGGTAGGTCTTTATTTGGATCTCACTTTTATCTCAGGTGCATCTAGGTACACTTTGTAATGACGCACAGCTATCATAAGGATGGGTTCATTGAAGCATGGTTTAGCACTACTACTGGTAGAGCATTTTGCAGGTTGCGGAAAACTATCCCATAGGCTAAGTTTGAGCGGCGATATGCGATGAGATGGCGGATTAATTCAAGCAACGGGCAAGCAACCGAGAGGTACAAAGATCCGTATAAAAGCATTAAATCTTTAGCTTTCAACGTTTACTTTACTACCACTTTTTTCTTCTTCTTCATACCTTTGTTTTCTTAATCATTATGTCTCCTGCCTGGAATCGTCTCATCCGTTTCGTTGCTTCTGATGGCAACACTTATTATGGCGAGCCCATTGTTGCTTCCGAAGATGCCACTGTCGACCAACTTGCCACTCAAGGCACTCTTGAAGCCAAGGTTATCTCTGGCGATGCTCTTTCTGATGATGCTGTTGTTACCGATCAAGTTGTCAAGGTATCCAAATTGCTTGCTCCTCTTGCCCAATCCGAGGTTCCCATTTTCAAGTGCGTTGGCCTTAACTACAAGGCACACAGTAAGCATCATTCTACTACAACTCCCTTACATGTGCTAATTAATGGTTGCTTTGAAATAGTTGCTGAAGGTGGTCGCACTCCTCCTCCTTATCCATCCATCTTTATCAAGCCCACCCATTCTCATGCCGATGCTTTTGAGGATATTCCTATTCCCAAGCTTGCCCATCCTACCACTGATTATGAGGGTGAATTGGTATGTGTGTGTGACGCTATTAAAATGGGGGAAGAAGATGATGGATCATTAACAGTGATCATTGTTAGGCTATTGTGATTGGCAAAACCGGCAAGGATATCCCTATCGACAAGGTATCTGAATACATTGCAGGTTATACCACTTGCAACGACGTATCCAACCGCCAATGGCAACGTGATCCCAAGTTTGCTGGTGGTGTTCCCCAATGGTGCTTCTCAAAGGGCTTTGACAAGTACGCACCTTTTGGTCCTGCCATTGTATCTAACAAGGTAAACAAGACTTGAGGATGACAGTGTAATAGCATGGGTATGATCATACTGACATTGAATGTGGATGATAGGTTCTTGGAGAACGTCCTGGTTTGGATCTCACCACCAAGGTGAATGGTGAAGTACGCCAAAGCACCAATACCTCCGATCTCTTGTTCCATGTACCAGAAATTGTATCCTTTGTCTCTCAAGGTACCACCGTTGAAAAGGGTACCATCATCTTGACCGGTACTCCCGCTGGTGTGGCTATGGGTATGAAGGAACCCAAGTGGCTCAAGGACGGTGATGTCGTCGAAGTTGAAATTGCAAAGATTGGCAAGATTTCCAACAAGATGGTCTTTGCATAAATGTATGCCTTTTCTTTACTTCCCTTTTTTGTTAGCTTTGTACCATAGAATCTCTTTTTTTTGTACTTTCGATATAAAACATGCTTGCTCAATCATACGTATTCACGTATTAATGCCTGTTGTTGAAGACTATGTTGACAATGCAACATCGTACATGTGATGTTAGTAGTAGCTATCCTAGCAGGCGATCATCAACATTGAGCCATTCATCCGTTGTCTCTCCTATATTCGGCCCCCTCCCATTCAACATTTTCATAATGAAGCGCGGGCTCTCTATTATCACAAAGTTGATCAGCATGTCTCAGCGAACCTTCTAACCAAATTACAAGATCGAAATGGGGAATCCCAAGGTAATGCATACTATTTCGATAAATCATGAATCCGGCGCTGACATCCATGTCCGATCTCCATAGTCAACCCCATATTGCATCCTCCCATTCAATATTTTCAAACGAACATGAGGTCTTTGTTAACACAAGATTGATCAGCATGCCCAAGAGCACCTTGTGTGAAAGTTTGAGGTTCGAGAGGGGCAATCTCATAATCAAGGATTGATGTACAGTGTTCATGCATTTATACAAGAGGTGTCCGACCTTTTAATTTCCACTCCTTCCACTCCCGCAACTTCTTGTCTCTTCCTCCCATTCTCAACTGTTGCTCCATTCAAGTACAACTACCACCTGCGAACGATTGTCCTGTTTCAACCCATCATGTCGATCCTACAATTGCCTTGATCCGATTGTCTTTGACTGAATGGCAAGCCCATGGCGTGTATACAGCCTTCTTGTCACTCTTCTACAACACACGAGTCTCTTGACACTTCACCTTCTCTTGTACGTTCTTCTATCACGACCAACCGTAACAGCATTCATTGCAGCAGCTGCTATTAGCAAGATGTATCTCCATTGTCCCATACAGCATTCGCCATCCTGGCACTCTACTCTAACACACACGCTCTTGCGCACTTCTTTACCACCACCAAACGTAACAGCAGCTGCCATTAGCAAGACCTTTACTCCATCGTCTCAAATGGCGTCGTATACTTGCAGCAACTTGCCTTACAGCCTTACTTCACGTAGACAGCAGCAGATAGCTCTTATATAGAAGCAGCTTTATTTACGCGTAGCAACTTGCTTCAATACATACAACTTCTTATGGATATGGATATGGATGTGGAGATTGGTTTGGTACGTGGATCGGAAGGAATTGGATGTATACAACGCATGGAAAAAGGGCTTTTGTTGTTATGAACCCATTGTCAACTTGACGTTGATGTTATCATCGTGGATGGGTGGTGTGTACCTGATTATTGTACTTTACATACTACCATGGCAGCGACTATCATCGTCCTTTTGCAACATGTCAACCAAGTCCAACATTACAATCCAACTGCATGTTTTCACACACCACATCTCACGGCCATCCATTTACCTTAGCACAATGCACGCCCAAAGGATAGAAGCTTCCGCATTGATGAATCTCCCCTATTGCAGCAATCCGATCTCTCTTGTCTACACGTTTTCTTTCTTTCAACATGGCACTCAGCATTACAGCTACGCATTACTTGAGTAGCATTCTTGCGCCTAAGAGTAAACTGCCTCCTTCCTAATAAAAGCCCGACACTACTCTTCTACTCACATTTGAAGCTTCAAACTTTGGCATCACGTGCTTTCAGATACGCTGATCATTCTTGTTCTCACAAGGATACCACGCTCGATTATGCAGTTGCTGAGTTTGAGCTGACTTTGTGGCTTACTTATGCACGCAAGCAGTCAGCAGCAGCAGGATAATAGAAGATAGAACTTATAATGGCCTCCGTGGAAAATTATACTAGTAACCATAGTGCTTTTCGTTATCGTCGTTTGTCACGTTCCATATACGATATTGATGCTTGTTGGTTGTGAAGCATACGGTGGGTCTAGTCGAATAAAGATAATACTCAAAGCTGTTCTTACGACGCATCTTCTTGGGATCTATATGTAATGTCGTCATTCCCAAAATGATAGCTACGGGGACTGTTATGCATCATCCCTATAAAGTATTGTTTTGATTGCGAACCCTATCGGCTGTATACTTATGATGGCCAAGAATCATATTCGATTATAAAAAAATGATCATGTTCTTATACTTGAATGTAGACAAAAAAAATCTTCTATGATCAAAAAGCCAAAGCAGGTCCTGTACAAGGACTTGCTAAGTACACGTATCACAGCAACCAAAACCAAGATTCCGTTGCTATGGAAATGCGTACCTATTCTACTGGCTGCTCCCCTCAAGGATGGGTTAAGCACTCTAATTTTTCATGCTTGAATAGCAAAGATGAACACGTGACCCATTTAATATGGGGTATGCACGATGGTGACTTTTGTATGCACATACCTATCACCCATCTTTTACGATGCAGATAATCTTGAGCACCAAAATGAGGGATGAAAGATCCATCTACCGGCTCAATGCCTCTTTTGTAACACAGCCGCCAGCTGTGCAACCATACCCGTCATTATTGTTTTCGGTATCCGTGCAAGTTGGGGGGTACCGCATCGGATCGCTTTCTTTTTGGGGGTTGTGAAGGGAAAGCGTACGAGTGTCTTCTTAATGAAATACCTCTCCACGATCTGTATAAAAACGCCATCATTCCTCGTTCTCAACGTTTCCTTACAAGCACCCACTTCTCTCTCTTCTCTTTTCTTTTCTTTCTTGCTCTCATAAACACATATACACAACATCATGTCTTCTTCTCCTGTTGTTTGGAATCGTTTGATCCGCTTTGTGGATACCAATGACAAGACCTACTATGGCGAGCCTATTGTCCCATTTGACAATGTCACTGTGGACCAGCTTTTGGCTGATGGTACCTTGGAAGCCAAGGTCATCACTGGTGATCCTCTTACTGAGAGCGCTGTTATCACTGATCAAGTCGTCAAGGTAGCCAAATTGCTTGCTCCTTTGGCACAAACTGATATCCCCATCATCAAATGCGTTGGTCTTAATTATAAAACAAGCAGTATGTTTCATTGCTACACAAGACCCCGTTAGCCATTCTTTTTAACCATTGCTCCTACTACCATACATAGATCCCGAAGCCGCGGCCAAAATCCCACCCTATCCCTCTATCTTTATCAAGCCTTCGCATGCTCATGGTGATGCCTACATTGATGTCACCGTCCCCAAGGTTGCTCATGATACTTTGGATTATGAGGGTGAATTGGTAAGTTGATGACTATTATTATTACAACATCTTTGGAGCTGACATGGCTATGTAAAGGCTATTGTGATTGGCAAGACCGGCAAGGATATCCCTGCTGACAAGGTGTCAGAATACATTGCTGGATACACTGTTGCTGATGATGTTTCCAACCGCCAATGGCAAACGGATCCCAAGTTTGCTGGTATTGCTCCCCAATGGTGCTTCTGCAAGGGCTTTGACAATTTCTCTCCCTTGGGCCCTGCCATTGTCTCCAACAAGGTAAGCAATAAAAAAAGAGGCGGGTATACGGTTATACATGATTCACTAATAATGATCCCGCATATATACAACAGCTCCTCGGAGACCGCCCTGCCTTGAACCTTATTACCAAAGTGAACGGTGAAGTGCGTCAAGATGCCAACACAAGTGATCTCGTTTTTGGCGTTCCTGAGATTGTGTCTTTTATCTCTCAAGGCACCACCATTGAAAAGGGTACCGTCATCTTAACCGGCACACCTGCTGGTGTTGCTATGGGTATGAAGGAACCCAAGTGGCTCAAGGATGGTGATGTTGTTGACATTACAATCGCCCAGATTGGCAGAATTTGCAACAAGTTTGTCTTTGCATCATAAATGAATGATCTCTTCATTATTCCCCATTTCCCCCCTTTTTCGCTTCTTTGTATCATAGAATGAGAACTTGTCAATAAACCATACATGTACAAATATACAGGATTAAAAAAGATAGAGTGTAATGTGTGATGCGCTATTGCATAGTTGTACAAATATGTGGGGGAATACTCTACAACACATTTGTTGTAATGCGATCAAGGGGCTCGATAGCTGGGGATGGATATCCCTATGCTGCATGGTGGTGTTTAGGGATCAAAGCTATAGATGGTGTGTGTGTGCTTGGGGAGTCTACCTAAAATAGGGTGATAGGGATCTAGAGTAGCATCGGAAGCTTGCTGGATGAGTAATAGCGTGCATGGAATTATTACTATAAGGGATAGTAAAGGACGAAAATGAGAGCATGAGAAATAGCACAAATGCCCAGTGATCCGAGAAATACTGGTTGTTGCATGGATGGACGCATTTGGCAAGTGCAGTGCACATATTTTTGAGACAAAGAAAGAAAATGAAAGCAGTCAAAGAGGCATAGAACAGATAAAGAACATGATCATTGTGTCTATGTGTGATTGTATTTGATCATTTTAGTGTATTTGAGTTGCATTGTACAAAGGTAAAAACAAAGAAAGCTTCATAAACAAAAAAGCCAGTTTTCTATCTCGGGATGAGGGATGTGTAGTAAAGGGATGATGTTTTGCGGGTGATGAAATGCTTACAAACAAGGGCAATGGGTAGTACAAATAGGAAGAGGGGGGTGATGGTGTCAAAATAGCTGTGTGTGTGCGTGTGCGTGTGTGTGAGACATTTTCTCCTAAAGGCGAGCAACGTCGTCCACGGCTTCCTTTCCACTTTTGTATTCAGCCAAGCGCTTCTGAGCTACCGTAATGGCATTGTGTCCAAAGAGCCAAGGTTGGAAATCGCCATCTGCCCATTGATTGGGGTTCCTGGCACCTGCAGGCAATCGACCACTCATTCCCAAGTCGCGCAACTCTTGTTCATCGCCATCGGGCATGTGCCAGATATCGCCATTCTCGTATGCACCCTTTTGAATGCGTTCCGCACGTGGACGTCGCAGCTTTTCATATACGGTCATCAGAGCGGGTACTTCATTCTTGGATTCAATACCAGTGAGTAGCACACCAAGGGTTGCACCATCTTCGACGGCCTGTGCGGCTCCTTGTGCAAGGTAGGGCAACATGGCATGTGCAGCATCGCCAATAAGCACCACACGACCCGAAGGACTAACCCAATTACTAAGGACCGGGAGATCAGCAAGTGTCCACTTGAGACAATGATCGACTTTGTCAAGAACACGGCGGATGATTGGATCAAACTTGCGATAATGCCATTTCATCTCCTCCAAGTTACCAGGTTCGTTCCATTGGCCTACGGCTGCTTGTCCTGGATGTGACATGACCAAGTTATACAATTGGCCATTGCGAATAGGATACGCCATCACGTGTCGTCGATAGCCAATCCAGCAATTCGAATTGGGATCATCCATCAAATAGGACACCATGGGATCAGCTCGCATCTTGTCAACGGGAACAGTGGCTCGATACGCACAATTGGTCGATACACGAGGCAATACTTCTTCATCAGGCATCACTGCAAGTCGCACACGTGAACGAATACCTACATACGATATTCAACTTTAACGTATGATCATCATGTCATCAATGGGATAACAACAACAACAACATACCATCAGCACCCACAATCAAGTCGCCTTTGAACGTGTCACCATTCTCAAGGAACACGGTGGCAGTGGCATCATCCACCTTATCCACACGAGCATTCAAAATCACCTTGGCACCAAGTTCGACTGCAGCATCATAGAGCAATTGCTGGTAATCAGCACGATGGATCAACCAGTAACTATACCACCAATAACAATGTGAGTATACATGTATATATGGATGGATGGCTTCATTGTTATGGACTTACGGATAGCCATAGGTATCAACCATTTTAGGCAACAAGGGGGTAGGACCAATGACTTCACCCGTGGAGAAACGTCGCATGTTGATATTGGCAGGCCACACCACCTTCTCCTTGAAACGCTCATACAACTTCCATTGATCAAGTAAACGAGTGGTGTTGGGAGGGACTTGGATACCAGCACCCACTTCACTGAGAGCGGTAGCACCTTCGAGAACAGTGACGTTATGACCAACTTTGCGAATTGCAATGGCAGTAGCAAGACCACCGAGACCACCACCAACAATGACAATATCAAGAGTCACTTGGGAAACCATGTTTGTGAGAGCTCAAGTAAATGAAAATAGTAAAAAGTGGAAGGAAATGGATAATAAAACAAGTCAAGTGGGTGCCTCATATATATCTACTCCTTCTGTTCTCCGGTGTCATTTGCTAGCGTGGGGTCATCATACGTGAACGTGTAAAGAAGCTACATTATAGAACAAGCTTTCCCGCCAAATGGAAAGCTCCCTATTGGTTAGCATTTCCGAAAGGTCCATCATTAAACTTCTCCCATGATGATGACTACTACATCACTTTCAAAAGTCGTTGTTTCCCTCCTCATTGAGAATCTGTAACAAGTCTTCCACCATCAGGTCATACTTTCTGAGGCGATCATCCGTGATCTTTAAAAGAATACAATAGAATGCTAACGTGCGTTGCACGTTATTAAGTCATTCAGGTACATACAATTCATCCGCATTGAAGATGGGGTAAATAATTCAAGTGGGATGTGAGACTCCGCACGGGTGGATTTTCCGTGTGGGTGTGAAATGTGGGGGAAAGGACCTCGGAATGAAAATCCGTGTTGAGGGGTAAAAGAAATCGCTCACGATACAAAGACACATGCCGATACTTATTGTTCGCATCATATAAAAGATTACATTCATTGTGACGAGTGTATGGTGATACCACACATTTTTTACTTTAAACAATGACTCAAAAAGAAGACGCACTTGGCTTTCTCGAAAACTACCCTGACATCCATGCTGAACCTTTATGGACAGTGATGAGTGCCATGGTGCCTCCAAGACCATCACCTAAATCCAAGCCCCATTGTTGGGAATACCAAAAGCTTAAGCCTGCCCTCCTCGAATCTGGTAAAAAGATTGCTGCCGAGGAAGCTGAACGCCGTGTCCTCATGTTGATCAACCCTGAAATGAGTAAGTATCATCTCATGGATACCTATTGCCTCATTGCTCATCATTGTTGTGTGTATTTCCATAGAGGCACCTTGCACCACGGATACGCTTTATGCTGGTTTGCAACTCATCAACCCTGGAGAAGTGGCTCCTGCTCATCGTCATCGGGCATTTGCTTTACGCTTCATTATCGAAGGTGAACGTGGCTTTACAGCTGTGGAGGGTGAAAAGATCTATATGGAACGCGGTGATGTGATTCTCACTCCACCATGGCAATGGCATGATCATGGCCATGAAGGTGATGATGTCATGATTTGGTTGGATGGTCTTGATCTTCCCATGTTCCAATACATTCCTGTCAATTTTGCTGAGATGTATGAGGAATCTCGATATCCAAGCACGTAAGTTTAACAAGCAAACATGGATGGATGGATGGAAATCTTAGTATTACTTTCTTTTGTATACATAGGCCTGTTGAAAAGAGTGCACTCAAGTTTCCATGGGCTCCTGTACAAGAGGCATTGGACAACACCGGCGATGCTGCGTATGCCACATACACATACACACAAGCGAACGGCAAACCTCTTTCATACATTATTGGTGGTGAAGCTGAACGTATCGGTGCTCAAGCTGTGTCGCCCAAACGTCGTGAGACTTGTTCACGTGTATTCCATGTCTATCATGGCACTGGTTATACCGAGGTGGATGATGGCAAGGGTAACAAGAATGTGCTAAAGTGGACCAATAGCGATACATTTGCTGTTCCCTCGTGGTATTCGGTCGTCCATCACAATGAGGCCAATGAACCTGCTTATTTGTTTAGTTACAATGATAAACCTCTCTTGGAAAATCTCGGTTTATACCGCTCCGAGTAAATCTAGCACATCCCACCTTCTCCTCTTTGTAAATGTTTCTTTGATATATACGATTCATAAAGTGTATTGTATAGCTTTGTTTATGGAACATCTTGATATGCCAAAAATATGCCATCATGTTTGTGTACGTGTTTTGCATTACGTCTGCGTAACATGATAAATAAACAACCATCTTGAATCATCATGCATCCATACAGGCAAAGAGACATAGCACGCTTAATTATTGTGTATGTAGCCTTATGATCGAGTTGATGTTATGGTGGAGGTAAAATGAGAATCACCGGGTCAGCCATCATTCATATCCTTTCGTAAGTTTACAACCATTCTGGTCACCTGCTGCAGCTCCATACTCTACGAGAACATCTCGCTTGTTGTCCCTCTTGCTAAACCCAGGGTACGTATCGTTGTTTAATGATTCTATATAGCTATATCGGTGATTGTGGAATCACACGTATACAAAACGGACATGGGATCGCTATGTGATCTCGTGGTGAGATAAGGATGCTTCTTCTTTATTCAAGATTTGTGGTAGACCCATTGTAATTAGGCTGTTAGAATGAAAATGAATTTGATATGTGAAAGATGTAAGCAAAAGGTAGCACATTTATTAGCCATGAAGGATTTTCATAATGTATCATTAGGGTAAAATAATGGTTGCTTGCAATAGGTGTATCTCCATCACTGACATCAAAGCGAGCGGACCATGAGTCTAGATTGGTGAAACATGAGGGCAACAATCGCGCTAAGCTTGTTAAGCGGGGGAGGAATGCATACACTTCTCTTGGCAAGCCCGACGACAGAGTAGCTGCTTTACCTTCCTCTCTTTTTCTTATATACCTACCTTCGAGAGATGAGCATTCACGTCAACTTTTCTACACACGGCAAAGAGATAAACGATGCATTGCAAGCTGTCTTGAGTGACAATGACGCCACCAATTGGCTTGTACTTGCTTATGACAAGGGCACCAACGATCTACGTCTACAGGACACCGGTGGTACGAATCTCGAGTCAAACAACTCTCTTTTCGAAAAGCTCACGAAATTCAATACTAGATGGTGGTCTCGAGGAACTTAATGACGAGTTCTTTGACGGCAAAATGCAGTACGCTTACACTCGCGTTATCGACCCCAACACTGAACTACCCAAGTATGTCTTTATTGCCTGGGTAAATACTCGTTCTATTCGATTGTCTTTTTTCCTCGGTTGCCATTTCCTCATCTCGCTTCTATTAGTGCGGCAGTGGTGTTCCAGAGACGCGAAAGGGTTTCTTTAACTCTCACTTGAGTGAAGTGTCAAGGTTCTTTAAGGTATGTTATATATATGAGTGTGGTGATCATCATGATGCTTATTCTTAACCAACGCACCTATTTAATAGAGCTTCCATGTACAAATCAATGCACGCGATGAGGTAAAAGGTAGTATGTGGGATATTTGAAATGGGTTCTAACATGTGGGAAAAACGATAGGCTGATGTCGATCCGGATCTTATCATGAAGCGCGTTTCCGAGTCATCAGGTGCCAATTACAGTGTACACAAGGAGCAACGCAAACCACAACCTGCCATTACGCCTGTTGTATGTATAAGGATTTGGGATGGATGGGAAATGTGAGAGAGCGCTAAATAGAATGTGGGTATAGAACTCGGTGTACAAAAAGACGAAGATTCCTGATATTGCTGCTATGCAACGTGAATCCATGCGACGAGAAGGAGCCCCAGCACCCGTGGTACGTTGTATACATCAACATGCTTGATGATGATATTAACAACATGCATAGGGTACCAATTACAAACCTGTTCAAACGGCACCCAAGCCATTGGCAAGTCGTTGGAATGCTGCTACTCAGTCTCAAAGTGATGGTGGAGCTGCCGCTGTGCGTGCTGAACGTGAAAGATTTGAGCGTGAACAACGTGAACGCGAGGAACAATCAGCAAGAGCTCAAGTGCAACGTGATCAAGATGCTGAACAACAACAACGTGCTGCTGCTGCTGCTGCTGAGGAGGCTGAAGCACAACGACGTCAACAAGAAGAGGATGAACGACGTCGTGTAGAAGAACAACGTCGTGCTGCAGCAGCTGAAGAAGATCGTCGTCGTCAACAACAAGAACAAGAAGAAGCTCGTAGACAACAAGAGGAACAAGAACGTCGCGCTGCTGAAGAAGAGGAACAACGTCGTCAACATGAGGAAGAACAACGTCGTGCTGCTGCTGCTGCTGCTGCTGCTGCTGAGGAAGAAGATCGTCGTCGTCAAGAAGAGCAACAACGTCTTGCTGAACAACAAAGAAAAGAAGCTGAAGAAGCAAAACGTTTGGAAGAAGAACGACTTCAGGTAAAAAAAAAAAACAAAAGAATCTATATACATGAGATCCCATATTAATTAGATCGAATTAGGCCGAGGAACATGCTCGTCAACAACAACAACAACAGCAAGAAGCTGCATTGCATGGACAATTGGATGATGTAAGTTATATATGATTATGTATAGAAGGGACTTTTGCTGATGAGGGTATTCAATGTTAGACCGCAGATCGTGCTGTTCATGCCGCAACGGCAGCTGCTGGTAGTGCAGTGGGTCATCCTAGCAATGGTTTGTCAGCTGTGGTCCTCTTTGGATATGCTGCAGGTTGGTGTTGTATAAAACATACTCAGCTGTAGTTTGATGGTGACTAATTGATACATTGCTAGGCGAGGAAAATGAAATGACATTGAACGAAGGTGAAGTGGTGGTACAAATCGATCAAGTTGATGAAGGATGGTGGTTCGGTATGAGCGAGGATGGCAAGCGACAAGGTCTTTTCCCAGGTAAGATGGCATTGGAGCCACTCTATCAAAAAAGACACTTACACTAACGACATGTTTTTGTGTTTCTCTAGCCAACTATGTGCAAGTCTTAGAAGAAGAGGTTGGTACTATTCTGATTGATAATGACACTAGGATGCTAAAGATTGCATTTATAGCCACAAGCTCCTCCTCCTGCTCCTCCTGCGCCCCCAGCTCCAGCAGCAGCTCCAGCAGCAGCTCCTCAATCTGCACCTGCACCAGCACATACTTCCCCTCCTCCCAAGCAAGATCAAGGCGCCACAGCAATTGCACTTTATGACTATGATGCTGGTGAAGATAATGAGATTTCATTCAGAGAAGGTCAACTTATCACGTATATTGAATTTGTGAGCGATGATTGGTGGCAAGGTGTGGCTGCTGATGGAAGGACAGTAGGCCTATTCCCAGGTATGGATGCTTTTTCTTTTTTCTTTTCACGAATGAATAAGTTGCTAACTTTCCTTTGTACAATAGCCAATTATGTAGAGTTGCAGAAATAGGTTATGTAATTTGAGATGCTCTTGTATACCGAATCATAAAAAAATCGACCTTTTATATTGTCATCCACTACCAACATCAATGAAGAAGAGAATGAAAAGACGCCCTACTTGAAGTCTAGCTGTCGTAGTATGAGGAGTGTGTACAATGCGCGCGTTGAGACAAAGCATATTCAAAGGCCGCTTAAATCCTTCATCCTGCACACACACACACACACCGAGCACCCATCTTGGACTTTTTCTTAGAACACCTTTCTCACGACTATGCCGTCTGATGAGAATGCACCGCTCATGGGTTCCAAGCCCAAGCATTGGAGCAATGTGAAGAAGCGCACAATGGCAAGTTCAACCTTATGCATGACGAGCCCATGGTGGACGAGGAAATAACATTTAGACTTGGTCCCATTCTAGTTTACACGTACAGTAATTGCACTTGCCTTGCTCTTTGGTGTTGCAGGTGGTGTTGCATGGTTTACAAAGGCAACATCTTCGACTGGTGGTGGTGGTGACACGAATGATCCTGATTTCTCTTCGTTGCGTGGTTTTTGTGATGATATCGAGGCGATCCAACCAAGTGAATACCTTGAACGGCATGCACGATTAGCTGAGACACTACCTGAGGGAGGTGCACTCGTGATGGAGCCAGGTCCCACTATGTTGTACTACACCAATATTGAATGGTCATTGAGCGAGCGTCCTTTCCTTGTGGTGTTGCAAAGAGCGGCAAATAGCACTATTACGACAACGGTGGTGACGCCTATGTTTGAAGCGACACGTGCATTAGAAGCGATTCAAGAAGCAAAGTTACCCATGGAGATTTCGATCAAGGTGGTAGAATGGATTGAGCATGGATCACCCTATGAGACGACGGCAGAGTTACTTGAAGAGGCGTCACATGTCTTTGTGGAACCCGGCGTTCGATTATTTGTTTACGATGGCCTTGCAGATATTCTGTCACAGCAGCACGGTGTTGTCACGACCATGGCATCAAGAGCATTACAGACCTTGCGTATGGTAAAATCGCCTGCAGAGATCGCCATCATGCGATGTGCCAATCGTGCCACTGTGGCCGCTGCAAAAAAAGTCCGCCATCACGTGAAGCCTGGCATGACCGAAGCTGATATTGCATCCCTTGTGACTCAAGCGCTTACAGCAGCTGGCCTTACCAATACTTGGGTCCTTGCCCTTGTGGATGAAAACGCTGCATTCCCTCATGGCGAACCAGGAGCCACCAAACGCGTAACAAAACACAGCACGGTGCTTATCGATTCGGGTGGCGAGCTTCTTGGCTATCAATCAGACGTCACACGCACCTTTTTTATGGACAATGGGGACCGTAATAGCCACAATCAAACCATCGTGGATGCTTGGTATCTTGTGAAAAGCGCACAACAGGCTGTATTGCATGATGCTCATGCTGGATCCACCTGTGCTGAAGTTGATCTCGCTGCAAGACATGTTATTGATCGAGCTGGTTATGGTCGTTATTTTACGCATCGTTTGGGTCATGGCATTGGCGAAGAAATGCATGAAGAGCCTTATGTAAGTTTGGATTGGGTGTGCCATAGGGGGAATGGTGGCGTGTTTCATGTATCAAAACATGGTATATTAACCCACGTGCCTACTCCATGATAGATGAATCAAGGCAATACACATATCAAGTTGCAGCCAGGAATGACTTTTAGCGTGGAGCCCGGCATTTACATTACCCATGAATTTGGTATTCGTTTGGAGGACATTGTCGTCGTCACCAAGGATGGCAACTTGGAGCTCCTTACTGATAGTCTTGCCGATAATCCTTGGACATTGTAAATGGTGGATCACAGGTGCGCATGCGCGGATCATTGCACCCTCTGTTTTTCTCCTTTATCCCTTTATTTGTGTACACATGTGCGAAGAATGAAAGATAAACACAGAGGACACTTACGCCAAATCTTATCTGCTATGGATGGTGTTGATGATGATGATGATGATGATGATGGGGGGTGTTTCAGATTCGGTCATTGTACAAACCTACGTACACGAGTGATTACGCGAGAGAGAGACGGCTGTTCGGCAATCGGCTGACCTTTTACATGCACCACCGCCGTTTGAAAGGCACGGGAACAATCATCAACGTGGTAGGCTATAATATATGCACCTATACTATACATACGCGTGACATTTAAGGATGACCCTTCCTTCGATGATACAAACAGAAACCATCAAGGCGAGCACAGGAATTCTTGGATCGAAGCAACAATACAGGATGAGAACATTCTTGGTGGAAGTTGGCGTTGCCTTCAAAGTGCAAGTGATTGTTGTACTTTTCACCCTTGGCATTATCCACACACACGCACACAACACGCTATACGTATCATGGATGGCGACAATGAAGGGGGAAATTTGGATCGAGTGCTTGAGTGATCGACATGGTTTTCATTCTTTTATCAAGCTTGGCATTCACTTTTTTTTTATCGAGGATTACGTACATGCAATGCACAGATCGATAGCAACACCACCGTTTTATGCATGGTAGCACAAACCAACGACTCTTCCATTCTTTAATCCAGCACAAAGGGTCGATCCTATTACCCGCCCCCAATCCATGTGTTTGATAGCCCATCGGCTCACCTCACCACAAATATTTTTATTGCCTTTCCTGGATATATTTGCCTGTTTCACTCATATAAAAATGCCCCGCTTTCCTTCGCCGTTTACATTCAATCATCCCGCCTTACTCTTCCCCTTGACTCTAGCATCGCATGTCAGCTTCCAAAGGCATTGGCACATTCGGTAGCGTATCTCTACTCGTGTCCTCCATGACGGTACGTCCATCCGCACAATCATTGTCATCCTTCAGATCACATAATTGATGATTTTAATATGAAAAGGGACCGGGTCTAGCAACCATTCCACCTCTTTTTCAACAGGTATGCATGCATCATAGTACATACAACAATGCACCACCCTTGCTGATGCCTCAACTCTATTATGTAGTCTGGATGGCTAGCCCCTACCATCATTTTCATTGTGGTTGGTGTCTTGTCTGCTTTTTCTACCTTTTTCATGTGCGAAGTATTATCAAGTATCAAAGGAAATGAAAAGTTCCAGGTGCGTGTGTCATCATGTTGTTGTCTCGTTCAATTTATCAGCCTATACTCAACAATGATGCATTCACATACATAGGCCAAAGTTGAGTTTACCACCGTTGCTCAATTGATCTTGGGCAAGAAATACCACTTTTTCTTCCAAATCATGCTCTTCATTGCACTACAAGCCGTCAACGTGGCGAGTATCATCATTGCTGGGCAGGTAACAAAAAGATTCTTCCTTTTGTTTGCATCTTTGAAACATTTCTCAACCCTTTCCCAAATATGTAGACCTTTGACGGCATGATCATTACTCTTTTCAAAGGCACATGTGGACTTGGTATTGCACCGGGCGGTTGGTTTTGCATTACTGAAGCAGTTGAATTGGGCAATTCGCCATTCTCGAGCGATGATTACTATATCTTTACATTTGGCTTTCTTTTGGCGGCTGTCATGGTGATTCCATTGGGCTTCTTCACATTGGTGGACAATATCATTGTGCAAATGACCTCGTTCATTGTGTTGCTTGGTGTACTGCTTCAATGGATTGTAGCCTTTTGCCAAGAAGGACTCGACCCCTCATTGTTGCCAGCCGTCGGACCCAATTCCAAGATGGTACTTGGCATGGCAGTTTTCAATTTCAGTTACATCACCACGGTAATAAGAAGAAGCATCCTATAAACAAAAGCCATAGGAATACTAATGCTATTGGATTCTTTTAGATACCTACATGGGTGAATGAGCTTAAACCTCATGTATCCATTCACAAGACGCTTGGCATCTCCGTTGCCATATCCGCCGCCATCTATGTTATGATTGGCATCTTTGGTGGCATGGCATATCAAATGGAAGCATCTGCTGATATCACAGCCATCCTAAGCCGACAAGGTTCGATTGCCTCCAAAGTGACCGCTTACATATTCCCTGTGTGCGCTCTTGTTACCTCGATTCCAGTCTTTTGTATTGTCATTCGCCAAAATTTGATCCGTGGTGGTCTTTGTGGCAACCCTATGGCCATCTTTGTGTCTAATCTCCTTCCTTGGCTAGTTTGCATGTAAGTCTACTATTACCAACTTTGGATGTGTTTCTATGTAAATCCCATTTAACCTTTATCTTTCTCTCCTTTTAGCCCACTGCAAACGAAGGATTGGATTGGTGTCATTCAAAATTGGAGTAGCTTATTCTTTCAATCGGTAAGTACATAGGGCGTTTGTGTAAATGGTGGCGGTATTGCTGAGCTTGCTTTTTTTATCTATAGACGGTCAATTACATCCTTCCGTTCATCCTTTACTTTGCCTCTCGGAAATACCTTGCGTCGGTTGTCACACCACCTGAAGAAAAGGCTGGTCCACCAGAACCCACTGATGTGGTCATGTACCATCCCGAAGAAAATCGCTCTGTATCCATCCGCCGTTCTGAGATTGCCTATCGCACCTCGCGTATTAGTCGTATGGAGCAATCGGTGTTGAGCAAATCACCTCGATTTTCGGGTACACCTCGTTCACCCTTGTCACCACGTTCACCTCGCCTTCATCATCATGGCGGTGATTTTTCACCTGCACCACCTATTGTATTTTCGGATGAGCAGCAACAACCTCCTCCTTCATCCCTTCTTCAAGTGCCATCAGCCATCAGCCCTCAAAACTCACCACGTATGACGACGACGACTGCTGGAGGAGGTGATAATAACAAGCAGCAACATGGATCACCTATTATGGGGGTCACTGATTCGCCAAAGTTGAACGTGCCTGGTTCACCCATTACATCTCCAAAGATGAATTCACCAAACAATAAGGCTCTCAAGGTACCTCCCACCACTTCTACAAGTCAAGGTGATAGCTCTTCCAATTCAAACAGCAATCAAACATTGGCCGCATCCCCTGCTCAAGGCCTTGGTATTACACCATCCACTCCCAATAACAAGGAAGACGAACACAAGACATCTTCGTGGATCCTCAGTGGTCTTTCATTGCGCAACAACAGCAACATCAATCATAACAACAACAACCTATCGAGCGTCATTGAAGAAGAATCCAAAGTACAAGAGGATGATCAAATGGATGACCTACTTGAAGGACCTGGGTTCCATGCTTTCAAGCCACGTAGGTGGCTCAATCCGTTTTACATTGCTGTCGTATGCAGTGTATGTATGGGCGGCTCGATTATCTTTATGATCATCTACGATTTGACCTTATTGGGTATGGGTACAGACGTCTTTGACTAATGTATATATATACCACCACCTCTTTTTATTATTACCCTTTTCTGCTTGCTGCTTTATCTTTGTATACCAGCTTTCATCTTTGTAATGACCTTGTTTTTTTATTACTCGCATGTAAAGTAACGTCATCATGTACCATCACAATTCGAGAAGAAATAAAATAAATTTCCCGGCCATGTGTGTGTGTGATGTGATTTGAGTATGACCCGACAAGTTTATTATCTCGGACAACAAGCATCTATGCCGCGGGCATTATGTGAGCCTGTTTTCTATGCATGCAAACATACAACATAGAATAGAACAAAAGCAATGCTTCCAAGATAAAAAGGACGTGGTGTGTTGTGTTTTTTGTTTTTTCTTCTTCTTTGCCATGCTGTCGGTAACAAAGTGTCTCTACGCATTTTTGCTGCTGGGCGTGGCTGCACCCCAGGTCGTCGTCGTCGTAGTAGCATCACCTGTGCTTCGATCTCCTTTCAAAGTGTCACTCACCAAGTTTGGTCATGATCCAACATCGTTCCTTGCATCTGGCAAAGTAAAGCAGACAGGTTACAATCATGGCAGTGGTAAGCATACACTACTCATCCCTCCCAAAAAAACCAACCACTCATATTGTAGTTTAATCTACTACTAGGCTACTATGGCGCCATCAGTGTCGGAAGTCCTCCGCAAGATTTCAATGTTGTCTTTGATACTGGGAGTGCTGATTTATGGGTGGTGTCATCCGAATGCAGCACACGCACCATATGTTTCAAACATCGACAATTTGATGCTCTCAAATCAAAAACATACAAAGCGGTGGATGACGAAGATGGCGACTTTGATGATGATGACGATGATGAAGATGGCGACGACGACGAGGAAAATGTTATTAGCAGCAATAGCATTGATGTGTGGTATGGCACAGGTCATATCAAGGGTCGCTTAGGACATGATACGGTAACAGTGGCAGGTTTGACACTGAAGGATCAAGCTGTAGCGGATGCCACATCCCTTTCTCGTGAGTTTATCGGAACACCTTTTGATGGTATCTTTGGTCTTGGACTAGCAGGATTAAGTTCATCTGCTGCCAAACACAAACCACCCTTCTACACCATGATCGAACAAAATCTTGTATCAGATCCTTTATTTGCTATCTATACGCGTGCCAACGATGGTGAAATTGACTTTGGTGGCATAGACGCTAAGCGATTCAAGGGTGCGTTACATTACACGGATGTCATTGATACTAAATATTGGATGGTGGATATGCCTTCTTGGCAAATGGGTGATGTGCTCAGTGACAATGGTGGTCGGCGAGTGATCATTGATAGTGGCACGACGCTGATCATTGCTACCCCTGATGATGCTGCTGCTATTCACAGCACGATCCCTGGTGCACTGAACAATGGGGATGGCACTTGGTCTGTGCCTTGTGGCAAATTGGACGCTTTACAACCACTCATATTGTCCATGGGTGAGGGCTGGGCTCTTCGCATTCATCCAAAAGATTACATCTTACAGCCCATGGGTCATGCATCCTCCATGTGCCTTTCTGGTATCTCGGGTCAAGTGCTTAGTGATGAGCATGAGACATGGATTCTCGGTGATGTCTTTTTACGGCAATTTTATACAGTATGGATCAATGCTATCTATGTATGTGTGTGTATGTAATCTAATTTTGGGATGATGTAGGTGTTTGATGTGGGGAATAAGCGAGTCGGATTTGCCGAAGCTGTTCTCTAATGGTTCTTGTTTTCTTCTTGTTCCTGTTCAAAAGCAATCGCCTCAAAGATGGATTCAAGCTCACTCGTCTGGTTATCAGCAACAAACTTGATGGTCATAGGTCGCCTTATTCCTGCATGTGTCCGGATCATCGATTCAAGGCGATTGGCATGTTTTGCAAGTGCACGATGTACATGTCCCTATCATCCCATATTAATCCCCCACTTCTTCTTTGGTTCATAAAGTCCTTTTTTTACCCTTTCTTCCTTGGAGGATCCTTTTGCTTCATAAAAGATTTGACATTTGCGAAGATTTCGGCCGACTTTGACCTATTCCACCACAGGTTAGTCAACAATTCACCCATCCCAATAAGATAATGAGAACCTACCGCTTGAATTCCTACATTGGAAGGCGTCAACCATCGAGGAAGTGATTCATAGGAATACATGTTGTTGATACCACGATGAATACGTTGTGCAAAATGCTGCTGTGTAGTCGTTGGAGCTGAATCATTTTCATGCATAGACCTTGCACTTTGTTTGTAGACTTTGTCGAGCGTGGCTGTGGGTGAGGACTAGTGTGCATAGATAAGTGATTCAAGGCCTTGGATCGGTCAAAGACGACATTTGACATTTACCTCCAACGATCGCTTCTTTTGACGAGTCTTTTTAAAGTAGCGTAGATATTGACCAGGCACCATGTACTCATCAAGCACTTGTTGATTCAAGCTATTGCCTCCATGGTCATTCTTGCGAGCTGCATTCGACATGAATCGCCGTGCTGTGTTCCACCATAAACGACCTGTCTGCATTTTTCGAGATACAAAAAGAGCGGGAACCAACCCAACCCAACCCACCACATCCATCGTTTGGCTGCCTTTGCATACCGAGGTTGAATCCCCGATAGCTCGTTGTTGCCATGTCGACCCTCCTCATTGTTTATGATGCATTCTTTGTTACTTGCTTTGCTTAAAGGTAAGCATAAAACAGCTTGTGTTTGATAAGTTTAGACGGCATCATTTACATATAAAACATACTCCTCGTTAACCACCAATTTGCTTTTGGGGAGTACACACATGGTTTAATATAAAGGCATTATACAGGCCCCAACTCTCATTTGTATTACCACATACTCTCAACCTGCTTTCAAGAAGTATAGCTATGGCACAAGGTCATGGATGCTAAGCAACCAAGTTATTTTGATCGCTTTGCAGTGTCAAAGCGCCAGGTCACACGTTACACAAGCGTTGATGGTCTTTCTTGGCAGCAGCATCTGGTGATTACTCTCCATATCATCATCTCTCCACGTAATCAAAAGAAGAGGAAAGAATAATAAAGAATGACGATGTCCTTTCAACCTGACAATGATCCCGTATTCCTTAATCATTGTTTAATACGACTTTTTATCTTTACAGAGCAAGTACACGTAGAATAGGAGGTTTTGATTTATGTCAGCCAACCTGTTTTGGTTATAGCAAAGTAAAGATGCATGTATTTACTCGTTTCAAGATGATAGAGCTTTTTGAATGTACATAAGAAATGAATGGGGATGCTGCATAAGCAGTGAGCGTTTACTGCGATCCCAGAGAGAGAATAGGATGAAACCGGCAGTTTGATGAATGATATCATCCATACTTGGACAACTGTATTCTAAATTGCTCCTTCGTCTTTTTCCTTTTCCCTCTTTCCGAATAACCACCCCATGTCTCGTAACTATCAAAGAGTATCTATCGTTGCCATTGCTACCACCTATCACATTGCATTGCGAAGACTCATTTCGGTTTACTTGAGTAGGTTCCAACAGCTGACGACCCACTGCATTCGAACGAGAGCATTGATTTGCAAGCTGGCCATGCTACCACTGCTGCTGGTGCTTCACCTTTATCACCCCATGCATCCCATCCACACACCATGAACCGTCAAAGAACCGATCTCGAAGAAACATTTGGTGAACCACTAGACGACGACGACGACGACTACGACGACTCGAATGAATCCCGTCGTTTATTGGGTACAGCTTCAGCGTCTTCTTCGTCTTCTTCCACAGCTATTCCCGTACAACCACTACCACCCACATCCAACAATCACCGACAACAACAACAACACCACCAACCAGCAGTATTGCCTGTCACCAATGATGGCGTGTTCGCCAACATGTCAGCTAAACCTGAACGAGAAGCAGATAAACTTGATGAAACACCTCCTGTAAGTGTGTGTGGTGCATGCATGTGTGGATCATCATCATTAATATCGGGAGAATAGGCATACGAAGATGCCGCAGCCGACGCCACACCTCCATATTGGCAAACTACCATCGTTGCACCTGCTGGTATGGATGACATGATCCTGGTCGAAGGTATGCCAGTGGGTAGCTTATTTGGTTTTGCATGGAATCTTCTTGGTAAGTCAGCCCCTCCCCCCTACATCTACTAAAGCTTACACTCATACAATTTGATGATGATCATCATCATAGTATCCGCAAGTTTCCAGTTTGTTGGTTTCTTGTTGACCTATTTACTGCATACTTCACATGCTGCCAAGGTAACCATGACGACGTCTCTTTAATGATCCAACATCGTTGAGCTAATGGTTGTTGTTCTTATAGCAAGGATCAAGGGCTGGTCTCGGGATTACTCTGGTACAATTTGGATTTTATATTCGCAGTCGTAAGTAACGTTATCGAATGGATATTGGATGATGTGAGTACATATTGAGAATTTGATCTTTTATTAGGTGGATCTCTTGAAGATGTTGGATTGGATGATGGAAGCAATAGAAACCAAGATCAAGAACCAGAAGAAGAGAGTGTTCAAGCCAACATCATTGCTTATCTATTAATGCTACTGGGATGGTTCATTATTATCCGCTCTATTGGAGACTACCTACGTGCACGGAAAATGGAGCGCATCATTGCCACCGAACCTTCAGCGGAAACTATGGTTTAAACACCCTTTGCCACTTTACCCTATACCACGCTTACTCTACCTTCATCGACCCTTACGCCATACTTTGTGTCTACATTTTTTTTTTCAATTACCCTATATCGTTTTGTATCATTGCATCGATTGTATAGAATTTTGCTTTACAACGAATAGCAATGGATGTCTTGTGTGTTTTATCAAAAATTTGGCTTAATTTGCGAGTGTCGTGGAGGGACTATTAAGAGCTTTGATGAACAAATCATAGATAGCATCATCACATTGAAATGAAAACGATGCAATGCATGTCTAATAAGGAAGAGGCTTTATTTAATAGAGATGGGGAATCCATGGTGGTGTGGTTGCACGGACTTGGGATACGCCATCGTCATGGAAATGGTAGCACAGCAGCCGCAGACATCTGTAATTGTGAATAGTCACAGCTTACTTTTTTTTCTTCCCTCTCTTTCACTTTGTTCACTCCCCCCTCTCACTCTGCATTGCCACACACTCGCCAACCATGAGCGACAAGTTGACCCGTATTGCTATTATCAACGCTGACAAGTGCAAGCCCAAGAAATGCCGACAAGAATGGTAGATGTCACTGTAAAGGGTTGGATCGCGCGTCTCATGGCTAATCACAACCCTATAGTAAAAAGTCTTGTCCTGTCAACAGAATGGGTACGTGTCCCCTACACACACTTTTTCGCTCACTCTCTTTTTTGCCGTCAATGAGAAAAGACTTACCATTGTGTTGTAGGCAAGTTTTGTATCGAAGTGTCTCCCACCTCCAAGATCGCCTTCATTTCGGAAACGCTTTGTATTGGTTGTGGTATCTGTCCCAAGAAATGTCCTTTTGGTGCCATCAACATTATCAACTTGCCCACCAACTTGGAATCTGAGGTGACGCATCGTTATTCCGCCAACTCTTTCAAGTTGCATCGTTTGCCAGTGCCTCGTCCTGGTCAAGTCCTTGGTTTGGTTGGTACCAACGGTATCGGCAAATCCACCGCTCTCAAGATCCTTTCCGGCAAGATGAAGCCTAACCTCGGCCAATTCGATAATCCTCCTGATTGGGAAGATATTCTCAAGTACTTCCGTGGCTCCGAATTGCAAAATTACTTTACAAAGATCTTGGAGGATAATCTCAAGGTAAAAATCTCTCTTACATGTGCGTGTGTGGGTATGTGTGGATGGTGTTTTAACGCGTCACATTTAGGCCATCACCAAGCCTCAGTATGTGGATCACATTCCCAAGGTCGTCAACGGCAAAGTGGGTCAACTTTTGGAGGACAAGATGGAACGTAACAACCTTGATGAGATGATTGATGAGCTCGGTAAGGAATCAATGAGGGGGGTTGATAGAATCAAAGCATAATTATACCAACCTACTCCTTTTTTTCCAGAACTCAAGGGTATCATGAACCGTGAAGTTGGTCAGCTCTCTGGTGGTGAGTTGCAACGTTTCGCTATTGGTGTCGTTGCTGTTCAAAAGGCAAATGTGTAAGTAATGGATGATGGTTTTCAATGAAGGGATGGCTGATCTTTTATATGTATAGTTACATGTTTGATGAGCCTTCTTCGTACTTGGATGTCAAGCAACGTCTTAATGCTGCTCGTGTTATTCGATCATTGATCACTGCCGAGAGGTAAATATAGAGAGTGTGTGTATGGATGTATCAAAGGGTTATATGTTGACATGTACCTTTGATTGCAGCTACATTATTGTTGTCGAGCACGATTTGTCAGTGTTGGATTACCTTTCCGATTACATTTGTATCTTGTATGGTATGCCATCCGTATACGGTGTTGTTACTCTTCCTGCTTCGGTCCGTGATGGTATCAATATCTTCTTGGATGGTCACATCAGAACCGAGAACTTGCGTTTCCGTCAAGAATCATTGACTTTCAAGATTGTTGAACAAACCGATGATGCTGCTGTTGAGAAGCAAAGAAACTACAGCTACCCCGATATGACCAAGACTTTGGGTAAGGATACATCTATATAATTCAAACGTAGTACGTTGATGACTAATGGGCGGGGTGGATGATGATGATAGGTGATTTCAAGCTTGAAGTCAAGGCTGGTGAATTCACTGATTCTGAAATTGTTGTCATGTTGGGTCAAAATGGTACTGGCAAGACCACCTTTATTCGTTTGCTTGCTGGCTTGTTGAAGCCTGATGGTGGTGAAGGTGTCCCTGAATTGAATGTGTCGTACAAGCCCCAAAAGATCTCTCCCAAGTTCAAGGGCACTGTTCGCATGTTGTTTATCAAAAAGATCAAGGCCGCTTTCTTGAACCCTCAATTCCAAACCGATGTTGTGAAGCCTCTCAGCATTGAAAACATTCTCGATCAAGAAGTGACTCACTTGTCCGGTGGTGAATTGCAACGTGTTGCTATTATCCTTGCTCTTGGTCAGCCTGCCGACATTTACCTTATTGACGAGCCTTCCGCTTATCTCGATTCCGAACAGCGTATTATTGCTGCCAAGGTCATTAAGCGTTTCATTGTCCACTTTAAGCGCACTGCATTCATTGTCGAGCACGATTTCATTATGGCCACCTATCTTGCTGATCGTGTCGTTGTGTACGAGGGCCAACCCTCTATCCATGCCATTGCCAACACCCCTCAATCTTTGCTCAGTGGTATGAACAAGTTCTTGGCATCACTCGAAATTACTTTCCGTCGTGATCCTACCAATTACCGACCAAGAATCAACAAGTACGACTCTCAAATGGACCAGGAACAAAAGGCCACTGGCAATTACTTCTTCTTGGAACAGTAGAATCAATACACTTTTTCACTTTTCCCCCCACTTCTTATCAAAAGCAACCATTGTATACAAAACATCCCCTCCCAACCTTCCCGTCCACATGCATCTTGTTGAGATAATATAATATAAGCATTCTTTTTTTTCTTCTTCTTCTCTTTTGGATCTCCTTATAACAATTTACGTTCTGCATACAATGCTTCGGCCCATGCCTTGACAGTAGGATGTTGGAATTTGCCTTGGGTGGAGTCAAAGAAAGATTGGAGTGACTTTTTATCAGCTATTGAACAATGTGAGTATGGCAGTTGCAACAAGTAAAAGTACTTTTACATACACTTTTCGTATTCAAGGGCTTGAACAATCATTTCAAACTTGTCAAGATCCTTCACCAGCAAGGCTTCGGGTGTCTTTGCGTCTTCATATTCTTGCCAAAGATCCACAATTTCCTGAGCCACAGGTGTATTGCCTAGCATTGATTGGAAATCTTGCATAGCAGCCTAATACAATACATGAATGACCCCATGACTATTGCACATGCACACACACTTACACTTTCACGCTTGTACTTTTCTTCCTTGCTAACACCAGCATGAGGTGTGATATCACCCTATATACAACTTATTATTCATCCAGCACTAGATAGATTCATGTATACACTTACCACCACGGATTCTGCCAAATCGTGCACAATAGCCATTTTCACGCACCTATTATGTATCCAAACATTTGTATCACAAATTCACGCACCCCAACACGACGCGTTTTGCTTACTTGTTGCGATCCAGTGCAGCATCGTCCACGAGCATGGCCATAACGCCCATACGATGCATATGATCGGCGATCGATTCAGGCTGCTTGATGCCATTGTCAACCCACCCGGTTCTTTTAGTGACCTATACACATACAACGTTATAAAACAATATTCTATTTTGCTGTTGGCGACTTATGATACCTTGAGGTTTTGAATGATATGAAGAAACTGGATAACGCTAGCAGGGCTACTTTGGGCCATGGTTGGTTGGGAGTTGGGAGGAGGGATATAAAAGGACAAAGAAACGCCCGGTGACTGGAACGTGTAAAGCGACAAGGGAAATCTTCAATTGGAGGAGTCTCTTTGTATATCATACATTCATCCTTGTATCTTCCTTCCCATTACATATGGATGATAACAATGAAACACTTTAATTACTGGAGATGCCACCACGTTCATTCACTCTGCTGTATCCATTGTATTCCCATAACTCCTTGCATGAATACCTCCAAACATCATTCACTGGCTCATCAAATGCAATAAACACTGTTGCCATTTTATGATTGTACATAGGTAAATGATACTACAGTTTCCGATCCAGCTGTGCCTGAGTCGACACGACATGGCGATGGTTGAATGAGACAAAGGATGGGGTGGTATCGACTTGATCAATCGTCCTATAAACATATACCCAATGAATAAAAAAGAGAGCAACCTATTCAATAGGCTCTTTATACATACATGGTTGCCATGTGATCTGACAAGAGAATGTTCTTGAAAGGTGCTGCCGAGATGATAACGCCAACCAAGGTAACGAATGCTGATACAACACATTCCACAATGATCTATCACAAACCACACGTTATTCATTAACCATAAATACACTATGTTGCTATAAAACAACGTACTTCGATAGGTAGGTTTGCCTCTGTCCGATCAACAGCTTTCAGGTAAGCACGATCTAAGGATGCCCCAATGAGTCTCTCTGTACTGAAATCAAGCACATAGGGTATAAAGACACTGGCGTGTATACGAACGTTCATAAGTCGAGTATGCCGAATGGGCGAGGAAGAGGGTGCTAATGATGGCCAGGACCTTGCCCAGATTGCTCATGTTGAGGTGAGTGGGTGGGCGTGTATGTGGGTGTGGAGGTTTAAAGACAACGACGACAGCAGCTGAAATCCGAAGCCTTGTACCACTTTCAAGCAAACGCGTCCATTCATCATGGTGATGCTATCCAATAACAGCCATAAACAGCACGTTGATAATAATGGCCCATCTTTATCCATATCATTCATATACGTATCTAGGTACACAACCTTGTTTGGGTAAATCCATCGTCGTCATGAGCACGTGCTCTCTCGCTCTCCCATGGTGATAACCAAGCCTGGCTTAGTGCAACCTGATTTCGTGATGCCATTGGGGATTTTAGCCAAGTTGTCTTTTCCCAGGAAACAAGAGCCGATCTTATTGTCTACTATACGTGCAAGATACGGATGGGTGTTTGTGATACGTCTCTTCTGCTGTGCCACATGAGAACCAAGGAAGAAAGGATTCATTTATCGTCTTTTACTTGCTCCTCGCCATCCAAATTCAATGCGAATGGTTCCGGCAGAAAGTGTGGGCCTTGATCTGCTTATGGCAATGCATTTTTTTGGATTATGCAAGGTATCATCAAAGGTTGGCAAGTAATCCGAGCACACGGACGACTCATAGTATAACCTTATTACTAGCCTATTGCTCTTTCCATGAAAACACGATTCTGTTCTTGACTTGCCGTGGGATACATGTCGATGGGGATGACCGAGGGAACGTGACACGAACGAGCCGTCAACCATTTGGTCAATTTTACTCCTATGCGTGGTACCATGTATTATGTATGTTTTGCAGATGGCAGATGAAAACAAAAAGTTGTAAATATATAAGCTGATGGTCTTTGATATGTACTTTTCAGCACGCGCATCTTTATCACAGCTCAGTGATCAGGAGAAAACGAGATTACCGTGTTGTACGGGGAAAAGGTATGATAGGAACTTTAAAGGTCGTTGTGCAATCATCAACATAGATAACTCACACACGCTTTAGAATTACTGCTCGTGAGAGACGTGGTGAGTCACATGCTGCTGAAGCCATTACACTCGATGGTATAAATCTCACCACCGATCATTGACATGTCATTTCGCTTGGACTCTTTCACATAGTATTTATGACAACAGCTGCTGTCGACGAGAAGAATACCATCCCGCCAAAGGTTATGGAGGCTTCAATGGATAGCACATCATCCGATCATGATTTGGAGAAGCAAAAAAAGGCATCCACCAAATTTGTATATACACCTGAAGAACGCAGGGTGCTGAGGAAGATTAACTTTGCCACGGTGCCATTTGTTTGTGTGGTGCTTTACATCCAGGTATATATATTATTTGTTCTTGGCAGGCATGCATATGCAGAAATCTAAATCCATGGGATGGCCGCCGTATGTAGTTTATCGACAAATCGACCCTGAACTTTTCTGCAGTACTTGGTTTATACGAAGACACGGGCATCGATGGTAGCCAATTCAGCTGGCTTGGTTCAATCTTCTATGTGGGCTACTTGGCTTTTCAGGTAGGTGAAATTGGAAAGGATAATGCATCATCCAAAGGCTTACACTTTTACATCCACTACTACATAGCTTCCCAATCAATACCTTATTCAGCGTTTGCCCACATCAAAGTACTTGGGCGTCGTCCTGGTATTATGGGGTGTAAGCTTGGCGTGTACGGCAATTGCAAAAGACTTTTCCCAGCTGGCTGGGCTTCGGTTCTTGCTTGGCTTTTTCGAGGCATCAACGTATCCTGCCATCTTTTTATTAATCAGCACTTTTTATCGCCGAACGGAGCAAGTGACCTGGTTTGGTACAATGTTCATCGCCAATTCTGTTGCAACAACTACAGGTGGTGCTATCGGATATGGCATTGGTAAGGCAACAATATCAAGATAGTGTTTGGACGATAAACAAGGATGCTTATCACGCATTGTGTACATACACACTTCAGGTCGCATGGATGGGCTTCACAACATGAGCGCATGGCAATGGTACGTATGAATGGGATGTGGATCAAAAAGTGGGCATTTGGAAGGAAGGCTAATTTGAGAGGGGGGATTTTAGGTGCATGTTGATATGGGGATGCATTACGGCATTTTCTGGCATTGTCTACTTTTTCTTCCTTCCTGATAAGCCAAAGTCAAGGTGGTTCCGCCTCACACCTGAAGAGGAAAAGATTATCGATGACAGGACACGTGACAACACCGTAGTACGAAGCAAGATCATTAAACGAGAGCACATCCTGGAAGCTCTTAAGGAACCTCGCTTTTATTGCTGCATGCTCATTTCGTTCTTTCTCAACCTTCAAAATGGATGCATCACCATCTTCAGTACTCAAATCATCAAAAACATGGGATTCACGGTAAGCAAAAAGAAGTGTATGCAAGGTGAGCGATATTTGACAAGCTCATTATTGTGTCCATAGAACTTGGAATCCATCCTCCTTAATATACCCAAAGGCTTTTCCACCATCCTACTGCTTATTTTTGCAATGACCATGAGCAAACGCTTTGATGTGATTTGTTACATTGGTGCACTTATGAGCCTCATTGCTTTTATTGGTGCCTTGCTCCTTGGTGTGCTACCTGTTGGAGGTGTCATGCTTTTAGGCATTTTCTTGGCTTCAACAAGTCCACCTTATACCATGCTGCAAACTCTCATCTCGAATAATACTAGCGGGTATACAAAGAAAATCTTTTACACATCTGGGAACATCGTCATGTATTGTCTTGGAAATTTCGTTGGACCGCTCATGATGGTGGATAGTCAGGCTCCCCGGTACATTGGAGGCATGATTGGTTATATGGTGGCGGATGTGTTAGCTGCTGCTCTGTTTTTGTATTGCCGATGGTCCTTCAAGCGAGAGAACAAGCGACGCGAGCGCATGAAAGAAGAAAGCAAGGTACCACCACCACCCGAAAACAGAGAAGAGATTGATTGGACCGATAAGGAAGACCCTCATTTCGTGTATCGTATATAATAGTAATACTAAATTTCGCATGAAAATTATCCTATGTACATTTAAAGAGTGTTGCTTATGCGTTACAATGAACATAATACCACGCATGGTCGTAAAGAGACAATGACAGCCGATACGGTATCCCTAATTTCAAACAATGACCCTCCTTATTTGGATGACTTGTAATATAGACATCATTTTTATTGCGAGCTACTTGTGCATGGTAGTGTTTAGATCTTAATAGGGGTATTGGTATGTTTAATCTTCCTCTTCATCATCACCATCATCGTCATCGTCGTCATCATCATCTCCATGGATACCGTCTCCTGGATCTTCACCATCAGCATCCTGGTGATGGTGTGCCTTGAGTTTTTGAATATGAGGACCATCAGTCACGCCGTCTTCTTCTCGCTTCTTGATAATACCAGCAATGTGGTAACCATGTGAACCGGGGGATATGGTCTTCAAGAGACTATCTGCTTGTTGTCCAAGTAGTGGTGCAGGAGATCCACCACCACTACCTTTCTTGAGCTGGTCATTGTCGTCGTTGGGATTGCCATCAGGGTCATCGTCCTTGTCATCCAAATCATCCCCATCATCATCGTCTTCATCATCATCGTCATCATCTTCGTCGTCATCATCATCATCTTCATCATCGTCGTCGTCGTCTTCATCATCGTCGTCGTCCTCATCATCATCGTCGTCATCCTCTCGTTTGACATTCTTGTTTAATCCTTGAACCAATTGACCAAGCACATCTGTACCTCCACCTTCATGAGGGTTTTGTAAGGCACCTTGATTCTCGGCTGCTTCATTGCCGGTTGTGTAAATTTGTACGTTATCACGTCCCGCGAGTCGATCTTCATGATTCTTTTCTTGCTCTACTATGGGTGCAGCTTGCACAAGTAGCGCCAACGCTGCCAATGAAAGTGGGATAAAGTGAAGAGTACGCATACAAAAAAAAATAAAAAGTTACCGGGAAAGCCAAATGTACATTTGCAGATCAACCTTTTTATAATGTTTCATTGATTGTCCCAGTGGCACATGGTTCCAAAGGAGTGGTGATGGATATCACTCTCCTTGGCTGATTTATTGCTTCTAGGAGTCCAAGAAAACCGATGCAGCTCTGCTATCACAGAATGGGACACATAAAGGAGGAGAAGAAGTACATACGATGATCACTGATATTGATGTTCCACAACATTCTTCTTTTAATGGTTTTTGGTCGAACACTTATCATGGCCCATTGTTCAGGCCAACATGACGTGATGCGTAATAGTGTTTTCGCAATAGAAAGTATAATGATGATGATGACGATGAATGAACCAAGGAGAACCCGTGATAGCACCATGTGCTCACAAAGACATCACTCAGTCGTTGTTGGCATTCTCCTTATTTCCTTTGTGCCTCCTCACTGACAGGATCTCCTTTATTGACAGGGATCTGCCATGGCGACAAAACTTTATCATCATCATTCATGTTTATAGTACCACAAGCAAATTTGCATTTGTTTATGCTGTCAAAAGTGGGTACGTAAAACAATGGTAGTACAAAATGCAGCCTGCATGATGACGGAAATGGCTTAGGCTGGGTTGCTCTTTTGGCAAAGTCTCGGCACACATTACTGTTGTTTCTTGTTCCTCTTTATCCATGACCATTGCGTATTTATTGCTCGACAAACTAAAACTCTACAGCAGCTCTACAATACCCGCCTTGCTTTTCTATATCCTCACATGCAAGCAATCTCATGACACAAGCAATGCCATCTTGTCTGCAATCGTGCTATTGAATTTCGTTGTCCCTATAACACACAATGGAGCGCATGGCGACAAGATTGATCACTCGGTGGTTGCAACTATGGCGAGCTATCTTGGTTTTGGTATGATACGCTATATGGTTGATCGACATCAAGGCAAACCCACTGTGCCCTTTTACCGTGTACTCGACACGTGGAATCAGCGACCAGATCAACCACAAAGCAGTGAAGAAAAGACAACATCCTCCAATCAACAACCACTTGACACGTCGACGATGCAAAGCAACACATTCAAATGGCTCATGTTGGGTATATTTCGAGTCCTTTTATCCATGCCGGTAATGGCTTTTTTGGATGGCTTTTTACGTGTCTGCAATGAGCCGCCCCTGGATCCACCTTATACATCTCTTATGTTTTCCGGCCAATCGATTCCAATACCCACCTTGTATTACCATGCTATCGCCAGTATTGCTCTTGTAATGCATCTCGTCCTTGTACCAACAGTTTGGCTCGTCATTCACAGCTTAAAGCTATCCTATCTTGCACTCTTTTCCCCAAAGACAATGTCCTCTTATCATGACGAGGTCGCCGAGTTTGTTCAACGCCCACCCTTATTTGATCGGTTATGGCTGGCATCATCTGTTCATGACATGTGGTCTAGGTATGTTTGCAGCTTTATGGCTGAGCAAGTAAACAATGTCCCGGCTGCTCACCTTATCATAATAGACGCTGGCATCAGATATTCCGATCAGCATTTCGAGACATTGCCTACCTTCCAATAAGACGATTGTTTCCAAAGAAGCCAATGCTGGGTCGAGCACTTGGAGTCATGTCGGTCTTCATTTTATCCGGATTGATGCATGATTACATTCTACTTTGCATGGTCGGCTATCAGCAATACATCTCTGTACCTGGTTCGATGGGAATGCAGACCACTTTCTTTTTGCTTCAAGGCCTGGGAACAGTCATATCCAATCATCATGCCATCCCCAAAATGCCACGCATCCTAGCTAGGCTCTTGACCTTTCTCTTTTTGCTTTACACTGCACCCTTTTTTATTGAACCTTACATCCGTATCAGGTTGAACCGCATCGCTCGTGTTCCAGGATATCCACAAACACTCGACCCCTATCTTGGTCCCGTTTGCCCTTACGGTTCAAGATTAGACGTCTAGATACAATAGCGCTACATTCTATATACCAATAAATAGAGCAAGAAGATGATGTTATTCTGGCAGAGAAAATGATGATGATGATGCTGTTATCAAGGACAAACTTGTAACCTCAGCTCGATGTTACTACGTTGAAAACACCCGACCTTCAAATCTATAGATATCCCCCTTCCAATCAGAAAGCGACCAAGTGATCCATTCTTGCTCATTTGAGCTGATAGTACAACACCCTTATGAATAACATGTTTAATCCAATTCCATCATTCACTGAAAGTCGAAGAATAGTATATGGTAGTGTGGATGTTTATCGAGCTAACATGATAAAGGAACAGGATTGGATAAGATACGGGTGAATCCCGTAGAGGGAATAGGGATAATTGTGCCATCATAGTCTTGGTTGCTGCCGCCATCATCATCCTTCATCCATGGTTGCAAAGTAGCTGCTGCACGCATTGTATCGAGTATTCCAATACCATCCATGACTGTAAAACACCTTTCGTCAAAGATATGGGCCCGCTCCTCAATGCCATCCAATCCATCATCACCATCCTCAGCCGTATCCACGTGACATGACCCATCCCTCTTGCTGACGACGACACGACAAGTAACCAAAGCAACATTCCAGGATTCCTCATCATTGCACTTGATTCCATTCATCCCTCATAACCATTGCAAATCCAATAAGAAAGAGCCACTGTGATCTTTGCTGATATGCGTGCTTCCTTTTCCATCGGGCTGTTTGTCTATATCGCAGCTCAACCAGGCGAGGGATTGCTTGTATTGCTGTGTACTCGATAGAGAATATGGCACCCCATCCATTGGCATCCGTGTGTACTAAAGCACGTTGCTGCAAGTAACTTGAGACAATGAAGTAAAGACCATACTAATAGCAACCGCTGTTACCCTTGGTCGTGGCAGAGGGCAATGGAAGAGCGTGTGTTGTAGTAGAGTGACAAGGTTGTGAATGCTGTTTGAGACAAGGAGTAAAGACATTGCTAATAGCAGCGGCTGCAATGAATGCTGTTACGATTGGTCGTGATAGAAGAACGTACAAGAGAAGGTGAAGTGTCAAGAAACGCGGGTGTTGTAGTGGGGCGTACACGGCATGGACTTCTCATTCAGTCCAAGACAATCGGATCAAGGTAATTGTAGGATGGACATGATGGGTTGAAGCAGGACAATCGTTCGCAGGTGGTAGTTGTATACTTGAATGGGCCAGCAATTGAGAATGGGAGGAAGAGAAGGTGAAGTGGGAGTGGAAGAGGTGGAGTTCAAGTAGATTTCTTTGGTGTTGAATGACATTTCTTTGTTTGGGCGTTGCTCAGTCAAATCCCCTCGGATCAAATAAAGTTCAATGATGGGCATGCTGGGCTGGAGCAGGACAATCGTTCATATGCATTGGATTGGGCAACAATGATGAAAGGGAGGAAGGGGCTATCAAGTGGCGGTTTACAAATAACTTTGCAAAATGATTTTTCTCATATTGGATGATACTTCTGTGTTTGAGCGTAACTCAACCAAATCCACTCGGATCAAGAAAGTTGAAGGATGGAAGTGATGAGCTGGAGCAGGACAATCGTTCATATGCATTGGATCGGTCAACAAAGGTGAATGGGAGGAATGGGCTATTAGCTGCCATGTATGATGTGTTATTAGGTAGTGTAATATCATGCGTTGACCCTTCCTTTCATGCAAATCGGCTGGGTTACACCAACATGCCCTTCTGCATATCTGGCTCTTTTCGTTTTCAGCTACTTGATAATGGACAAAGACCACTTCTCATATAGCATCACGCTTACAACATAAAGGTGTTTGTATCTCCAAACTTTACAATGAAACGTGAGGTTTTTATTAGAGCAATGTGCTCGGCTTCGCCAACAGCACCTTGTGTGCACGTTTCGCGTTCAATGTCGCAAACAGCCCAAAAAATATTTTTTGGTCGTCGTCGTTGAAGAGGTCGATCCCCAGATCCAGTTTGGCTGATGGCGACATTGCGAAATCTGGGATTGGCAAGCTTGATCATGAAACTTTCACACAAGGTGCTGTTGGCCAAGCCGAGCACATTGCTCTAATAAAAACCCCATGTTTGATTGTAAAGTTTACAGATACAGGCACCTTTATGTTTGTAAGCGTGATGCTATATGAGAAGTGGTCTTTGTTCATTGTCAAGTAGCTAGACCCTGGAGAGCAAAAGATGCAGAGGGAGCTCTTTGGGTAACTGGGTTAAAAAGTTTGGACTTCAGGGACCATGCATGACAGGTACGCAACCCTCACTTTTATGTCATACATTGGCAGCCAATAGCCACTTTTGTGCATTCCCAACTTTTGTGCATTCTATTGTATGTGGACGATGCTCCTGCTCTAGACATTCATTTCCATGATTAAAGTAGGTTGATCCGAGCTGATTTGGTTGAGTTACGCTCACACAAGATTACATCGGTTGAGCTACATCGAGCGTACTCTATGTCCAGAGTGATGTAATCTCTCTTTGACCGTAGCTCAGTCAAATCAGCTCGGATCAACCTACTTTAATCATGGAAATGAATGTCTGGAGGAGGAGAATCGCTCACATGTCATAGAGTGGGTAACAGTGCCGATTGTGAGGAAATTGCTGTTAGCTCGCAATGTATGGGCTGTTGTCAATAGTATACAGCATCATCCTTCCATCCTTCCAGTCATGCAAAGTAGCTGAGTTACACAAAGGGGTCCCTCTGAATCTTTTGCTCTGCCAGGGTCCACTACTTCACAATGAACAAAGACCACTCTTCATATAGCATCACGCTTACAACATAAAGGTGCTTGTATCTCCAAACTTTACAATGAAACGTGTGGTTTTTATTAGAGCAATGTGCTCGGCTTCGCCAACAGCACCTTGTGTGAAAGTTTCGCGTTCAATGTCGCAAACAGGCCAAAAAATATTTTTTGGTCGTCGTCGTCGAAGAGGTCGACCCCCCACATGTCTTCCGCGAATTTTATCAAATCGCCTGATAAGGCATCAGGCACCCAAAACAGTCAACAACGTCACCCATCTTATGCTCATGCTACGCGTGCTCATCCTCCTATAAAGGAGTCTCTGATATCAAAAGATACTGACAATACCATCCGTTCCAGAGTATGGAAGGTTGGTGGTTCCCCAGCTTCTTGTCCTAGCATGTTTTTCGACTTCACGTCTCGCCCCGAAAACCGCGCTGCTCTACTTTGCTATATCAACGAATGCTATCCAGACAATTGTGGTGTACGTCTTCATTCTGATCAATCACGCCGCATTGTTGAGCTCTTCCTTCCCACATCCAAGCAGTGTGAAGAGACATCTGTAACAGGCATCACCTTTGATGATGGTGAATGTATTCTTGCCTCAAAGCCCATTTCCGCTGATACCCGTTTAGTGCATCTTCAACTCTCCGATCTTCCATTCACTACACTAGACAAATTAAGACTTGGTCTTCGCAAATCCCTGGCACCTTATGGTAGCCTTAGTGACTATGGCATCTTCCGTGATCATGCATCAAACCTCTTCATGGGACGAGGTTACGCTACCTTGAAAATCCCAGCCAACTACAAGTACAAGCAGCTTTCCCACACTATCCCTTGGCTTACATCAGATGATTCGTTCCACGCCACTTGGGCTGAAATGCCGCTACACTGCCTTCGTTGTCACACAGCTGGTCATGCGACCTCTGCTTGTCCCCGCCATCCTAGCCGTAGCCGTCTTTGTTGGACCTGTGGCCAACCAGGTCACCGAGCAGCCCAATGTACCAACCGTCAAGTCAAGCCTACACCTGATACTTATAACCCACCTACACCATCATCGCCTTCATCGTATTCAGTCAATAGCTCAAATTCAGATATCTCCATGCTCAGCGTTGATCCTTCGCCTTTTGAAAGCCACAATGATGCCATTATTAGTGACTTTATCCCCGATGACCAAATTGATCTCAAACCTCAGCCTCCTTCCCCTGATCGAGACGCCATGGTACAGCACGTTGAAAAGCGTTATCCTATGTCCGACCACGCTAAGACCATTATTGCCTCCTTATCGATTCCTGAACTTGAACGTCTTTGTCACACTTTGAAAGATCAAGGTAAATCTTTGTCTTCGTCCACACCAACTACTCTTTCCTCGGTGAGTTCCCTGTCAAAGGGGAACAGTGATCCAACATAAGTCTAAAGTCATCTCCTTTCCTTCCTATAACATTTCTTCATCCTTGTAACGTCTTTGGGGTATCACTCTCAGACATACTCCCAATAAAAACCGAGGCTAAACAAGCCTCCATATAACGAAGAGGTCGACCCCTGGATCCAGTTTGGCTG